TAAGCCACTTATAGAATGAGTATTGAATTGTATGATCCGGATTCCACGGAATCAACCCATTATAGAGGAAAAGTTTTCTCATCTGTGTTCTGTCTGATAAACTAGAACACTTATACATCAGCCAAGTGGTATGCACGATTATATATCTCTATAAATAACGGGGGTCAGAACAAATACAAAATTGTATAAAAGTTGATGTCTTAGTTACCCCCACCCCACCCCCAAATAATCGTGAAAAGAAAACAGCGATAATGTATATTCGTGTAATGCCATGGTTGATTCAACCCATAATGCTTGTAACTGTAATATTATGTTCAATGTATGATACACATATAAAAAAAATCATTAACGTATAATCAGCTGATCTTTCACGATTCGAATACTCGGATTTTCTTTCCAGACCTACGGGGTATGTGTCCTTTGGAGTGATAAGTAACTATTGCTCGTTGTGTTATTAGTACTGTCAGCATCACCCTTGATTGCTTATAATGAGTGATGGCTTTGTTTGGAGGTTAAATCTGTAATCAAGAAAAAAGGGGATATGTATGAGCTCATCTGTTTAGAACCACTTAGTTTATTAACTGACCAGCGGTTTTATCTTCATTCATCTTTTGGTTTATTACAGATATAAAGATATCCAGACAATCAGTGCTTTCTGTTGAACTGTTTATAACTGTAATTGAATAAACCTTTGAATAGAAAATTTAATAAAGAGTGCTTTACATGATCTACCTATCGGATGTTAACCTGCAAACATAATGACTTATATTTTCAAAAACCATTCTCTAACTACCAACTGTTTGCCAAACAAACCTTGAATAGTATTCATTTCAGTCTGCAGGTTCTCATTTATTAACTTGGCATAATTAATGAGCTGCCAGTGGCGAAATAAATCATGACCTAATTGAAATTTGTAATTTTTCTTGTAAAAATTTAATCTAGTGCCAGAAACATGATGCGACCCATCGTGCAAGGTAAGACTCGGTCGTTGTCTTGTAGTCGAGGGATTCTGCAGTTTGCAGACCCCAAACAAACGTCTCGTTGAATGAACTGTACTGTATGCCAACACGACCAAATTGATGTAAATACATGTAATGAATTAAAGTGTGCACGTGAAGTATAATTTAAATGTGTATGTTGGATTCATATACCAAGAAACCACATCTACTGTTTTACGTCTGTGGGGTTAATAGTTTTTTAACCCTTTGCCCTTTGCAAAACTTCTCCTTTTTTTATTTTACACGTGCTTTGAAAACTAAAATGAATCCATGCAACCATGAGCTCTTTGGAAATTGTGGCTAGTTATAATTGAAATAATATATGGAGGTTTAACTTAAAAATAGACGCATGAGCCCTCGTATATGCAAGTAGTAAAATGAAGCATGCATAATCAACCAAAGATAAAATAGAGCAGATGCAGCAATATGTTGTTGGTACGTTGTGGTTGATTGCAGAAGCGGCAAATTTGTGATTTATTATAAGCCTCATTGAATCATAGATGTAGATAATGTTCATCCCTGGACCCCACCCCACCCCACCCCCGGTCAATCAAAACGTATGCTTAAAATGTAGCAAAAACATTTAAACTTGAAACTTTTATTTTCACTAAAGCCCCCACATGGGGTATGTTAGTACAATAAGAGTTTAACAATTGAACAAATCAACGTGAACAGTTAACATATAATGAACCACAAAAAGAACTTTTATATGGACAGTACTGAGGAGGTATGACGGAATCGGTTTATAATTGATTTATTCCCCTTTGCTTCCTTGATTCGAGGTTGATATCAGATTAGGGAATGTCTCTTTGTATGTCTCTTCATGTTTGGTCAGTTTAAAACTCGTGTCTTGAGGTTTGTGTCCCGTCCTTAATTAAGGTGAAATGAACAAAATCAAAGTCACAGGAATTTGACTCTTACGGTCTACAATATTGTATAAGAAAAAAGGAGACATTAAAGCTTGACACAAAGGAAGCATAAGACGAGAAGGGATGACATGAACCAAGGTAATTCAAAAATGATACAAGGTAAAAAAAAAAAAAAGATTCGAAAAAGTGAAATATTTTTCCACCCCTCAACTTTTGAGGTTTCTTGAGTATTTTAATCTTGGTATAGAATACATTACATGAAAGAGGATATTCCACAACCTTGAACCAAAGTGATTATTGGAGTATTTGTGTTTCAATTTGCGGTTTGTGTGTGTCTAAGACTTCCTCACTCATCTTTTGCAAATGCGATATACAGGACATCATGAACACTAAACTTGCAATTTTAAAATGTATAGTTAGTCTGTTCAGCATGCTAATATAGTATTGAAAACTGGATTTTATTTGTTTTATTACAAAAACAAATGTTTTAATTTATTCACACATTTTATCCCTAGCTATCACTTTTTCTTCATGACATTACTTTGACCTTTGAAATATTACCTTTATCAGCATCATTCTTAAGTTTGAATTAATTTCAATCAGGGGTCCAACAGTGATGGTCTGGACCAAACTTGCATGGATGATGCATCTAGGGGTGTACACTAACCAACCTGCTTTGGATGCGGGATCTGACCTAGATTTTCCACATGAGTGAATTTTAGCCGTATTTTAACCAAATTAGCATGGATGATATATCTAGGGATGGACACTTCCAGACTTGCTTTGGAATTGAATCTGACCTACATTTTCCAGATGAGTGACCAGGGTAATGTTTTTGGAGTAGCTTTATAATTTTATGGACTGTTATGATTAAACTTGCATAGATGGCACATCTAAGTATAAAAACTTCCAGACTTGCTTTAGATGTTGGAACTGACCAGAATTTTCTTGATTAATAAACAGGTTAAAAGTTTTTTTGAGCAGGCCTATTTCCAAGTAACCATAAGTCCTATTCAAACCAAACTTGCATGGATATTGATCTTGGGATGTACATTAACTGAAAAAAAAACATGATGCGAGATTTGCCTTACTTATAGATAACATTCGTCGAGTGAGCTTCGTAATCTTTGATTACCTATGTTTTTTGTAACACATCACCTTTAGAAGAACACTTACTAAGAATAAAGGTGCATGTACATGTTTAATCATACTTAATCGAAACAGATTTTCTTTAAGGTCAAGATCTAGTAAATGACTTTAGACTGTCTTTTTGGTGCTAGATCCATTATGACGTCATAATTGTTTTAAGCTTAATTTTTCCCGTACTTTATGGCTGTAAGAGAATTGTGTAGCAAATGAAGGATTTTCAATGTATTCAATTTGAAATCATGTCAAAAGTAACCCCGATATCTATATTCAATTTAATATCATTTTAAAATAGATGTTAAGAAGAAATGAAAAACCGTTTTCTGAGAAACTGTAGGCAATATTGATACATTTCTTTTATCTGAGATGGAAAAAACTCCTAAATTTATACCCGACTTTCTTCGTTTTTCATTAAAAATTACAGTTTAAAATATGTTTTTTGTCTAGTTTATCAAAAAATTATGTCCCGAAACACCCTATTTTTGCAAGCCATATTTGTAAAGGATCATTAAAAGAACTCGTTTCTCAAATTTGAAAAATCTGTAGGCATCTTTCATTTACTAGATCTTGACCTTAATTAATTAATTGATAATCCTTTAATGTTCAAAAGATACAGACAGGTCATCTGCATAACCATCTTTGATGGAATTGACGGAAATCAGGAGATGAAAAAAGAAAGACAGAAAAAATAGTATTTCTAAAAAAAGATTACTTTCCCCCACCTTTCTCATAATTTTATGACCTTTACACCACAGTTATTGACATTTCATTGCCTGCTAACCTTCAGCTCTGTGATATGACCTTTGAGTGCATATTTAACCTTTAAGATATGACCTTGAGTCACGCCAAAAGGTCATCTTTCAAAGATTAAGGATACTGGGCTCTAAAAATTGAGATAGTTACAGAAGACTGATGTATATTTTGAACTCTTTGAATTTGGGCTACGATATACTAGTATATATATGCATGTAGTTGTGTCATGACCTTCACATGGACAATAGTATACTTTTTCATGGACAACAGTATTCTTGTTTAAAAGAATAAATTTATTGCAGACAGTTCTAAACATCTCTTCACCTAGTATTGAATTTTGATATGTGGAAATGGAAAAATCATCGCACAACTTAAAGACATGGCTCAACTACATGCACATTTTATAACTTATCTTTGAAAGATGACCTTTAGGCGAGGTTAAGCAAGGTTAGGTAAGAAGCAAAAAGATACTCTTTAATTATTTCGATTTAAAAGAGGGAGGTAACAAAGAAAAATGTCAACTTTTTTCATAACATTATAAAACTTTCTCGTCAACTGTCAGGTTTAATGATATGATCCCAGAAGGAAGGCCCGTTTGCAGTTTTATTCAAGGGATGTGCAACTTTAAGGTTAACTTTCATATACAACCAAAATATCATTATTCATTGTACTGGGACATTTCAAACAGATGTCCATCTTAGGAAGAAATGTGTGAATCCACTAGGAAATGCTGGTGCTGTTTTCCATAAGATATCTCTTAAATCTCGAAATCTAATTATTTTAAGCATGCATGTATTATATCAATTTATTCTTTTCTTTGGTGTGAATATTATCTTTCTTTTATTCAGTCTTAAATCTATTGTTTTTTTTGTTGTAAATATAAGCGTGGTTTCGTTTGTTAATGTCATTATGATGTAATGCTAATGGTGTTGGATTAGGTTTGGATCTATTTACGTCATGGTAACTACGTAGTAAATGATCACAGAGTAATTCAACAGCGTGCTGGGATTATAAGAAAGATGAGAGATTGCAGAAATCAACCACAAGATTCTAATGTCAGGTCAGTTAGGAAATGACATCCAGGAAATACTCAAATAAATGGAGGGAGAGAAAAAAGAGATAGAGAGAGGGGGTGCTACAGTAATTTGTGGAGATGTGTTGCTTTGGCTATGGAGACAAATCAAAGCTCTTTTTTTTCTTTTCCTTCTTTTTTTCTTTTCTAGAGAGGGAGAGAAGTTGTTTTATGAAAAATTGCAATAAGAGAAAGAGACAGACGTACAGAGAGAGAGAGGGAGAAAGACAGACAAACGGACAGAGAGAGATGTCCACATGAGAATTTCTGTACCGAGATTAAGAGAATTACAAACACACTTTTGACTGGTTATCTGCGGTGATCGAGTGCAGTAGGTAGGTTTTAAGTAGAGAATGTTATGTTAGCATTGAGAAGGCAATTAATTTCCTTTAATCACTCTTTGCAACTTGTCATTAAGGATTGAAGCAAGCGAATAGGATGTAAGTCGCATTGTTAATTAAAAGTATAGACTATTCACCGAACCACGACAAACAGATAATTGAAGTTGTACATAGTGACTATATAGTTCTTGGTGTCTCTGAAATATATGCTTCTTTATATTAAAAACTTTAAAATATACTGCTTGTTTTTAATTATGATACATTCAGAATTCATACAAAACAAAAACAAAATGTTTCAGGGTTATTAAAGTAGATATCTTTCGGAATGTCGAAACAGAAATGGATGCTATTTTGTAAAGTGTTTGACAGGACCCCCAAAATTTAACCGAACATGACCCAACCATGCCAACAATAAATGTCACAGAGACCCCAACAATCGTACCTGTATGACAGTGTTTTAGAGCACCTGCCAACTGCTGCGACAGGGATTGTATATGCTCTGAAAATATATATTTTTTATTTTGTGTACTAGTATTTTCGTACCCAGATTTTGATCGTTGTTTTGAAGTGATTTAGTATTGGTCGATTTCATTTAGAACCTTAAATGTATGCCCAAAATATGATATGTTACGACTGTCTAATCTGTTTCAAGTAGACGAGGCAAGGCATATATCACATATCATGTACATGTATACATGTATATCAAATTAATAGAGTAGGAGTAAAATCCAGAAAAGACACATTTCAATGAGACTCTTATTTAAGAAACTGTTCCTAAATACATCTATAATATAGAACCTCTAAAAGAAGGAGGAAAATGCTTCCATTTAATCCATATTTCGATGGCTTTTGATTTATAAATGTTTATCTTTTCTGAAAGATGATGAGTTAGACCGTTTAATTTTATTTGCCTTTAAATATTCTAGATATAGATTTTACCACATAATTATATCTTTCTGTGTCATTATTAACATACAATTTGAAATTGAAGTGTTAAATTTTTAAACATGTGAGGAAGAAGGCTAAAGTCCTTCGCTCTGGCCATTTTGGGTGTCCCTGAGAATGATTTAGGTACAGGAAGGTCTCAGATCTCTGAATTTTCTTACTTTCATCAGAATTTTATCATTCCAGTTATGTACATTTAAGGACAGAAGATATAAAGCACAAGGTAGCCGTTTTATGCACGTTTATCAATTACATTGTGTGTACAAAAAAATATGGTAGCTTCCGCTCCATGTTCTCCAAATGGAGAATCATCTTTGATTTGGGTGAAAATTTACAGAAATTGGTCACATTAATAGTCATTACGTATGCTACCAATCAGCATCAGTGTTGTAGGTGTGTGTAATTAATACCCTTTATTAAAGAATGTTAAACAATAACAATTTTAAGCATATTTATATTAAATGAGTAGCCGCATTTGTACATGTAATTATTCTTTATAAAAATAATTGACATAAAAAATAATTTTTCAATTTATCGAATAAAGCATATAGAGTTACCTTTCTTTGGGTATTTTCTTGAATGTGTACATCTTTTCTCTCGTCAAAATTCAGTTATTATTGACAACTTAAAGATTTCTTAACTTTTTCAAGACTTATATTTCCATGTTTTCTTTACAGTTATCAAAACAACTCATTTTTTTTTATAGTAAATCTCATGGATAAGATCATAAGCATGGGAAAATAAAGACAAATTGCCGGCATGTTTTGAAATTTTATGATAGTACTTCGTAAGATTCCATTGAGAATTAAGATCCCGTCCCGTCTCCTGATTTTACAAGGCAGCATCATAAGAAAAAAACACACTATAAAATTTCACGCTGTTGATTACTAGAAACGAGGATAGAGGTGAATCCTTCCATATGTAGAAATATTACGGACCTTATGATCCAAATTTTAACCCCAGGGGTATTTTGAAATTATATTCTAAACATTTCTTAATATTAAAAAATGATCACGATTTTCTTAAATTATCCTCTATAACCAATATTTAATATTTGTAGATGGTTTTTAAACACTGCGCTTTTTAGGCAACTACATATACATATCTTGAGAGGAATTCTCCTCTTCAAAGAGAGTTAACTCTATAATTGATACTTCTGTATAAGCAATATTTACCCCCGCCCCCTCCCGCTTGAAAAGTAAGAGGTATATAATGGTGAAGGTGTCCGTATGTCCGTTACACTTAGGAGTAGCCATTCCTCTTATAACATTTAAATGAAATTTAAGGAAACTTTTATGAATTCTTATTAGAAACAAGTGTGATGGCATTGTGCATCTATTATACGTTTCCATGGGACACATATTTGGGGTTTCCCATAGCCGCTAGCTGGACACGACACTGCCCTTTTTTCTATAATATTGGGGGTATCCATCTGTTATCCGCAACTCCGCCTATACCACTGAATATAATTTAATGAGACTTTCACAGAATCTTTATTATATAATGCCATTGTGCACTTCCTATTTTTGATAGGACACAAATTCGGAGTTATATATTATACAAGGAGAGGATATATATGGGCATTGCTTGTTTCCATACATTTATTCAATAAAAATATGTTTAAATTATTTGGGGATTATCACAGCAAAACAAATTCAAACCATGACAAAGAGGACACCAAATAATATGGCAAGTCAAACGTTGCAATATTCGATCTTTTCCATTTGCATTGTATAATTTTCCATTTGTATTGCATAATTTTTATTTGTATTCTATTATTTTCTATTTGTATTGTAAAATTTTTCATTTGTATTATACAATTTTATTTGTATTCCACAATTTTCTATTTGTATTCTATAATTTTGCATATGCATTGTAGAATTTCTTATTTGTATTGTAAAAGTTAAAAGCTGTACAAATAATGTAGCTTAATGTTGTATTTTTTTTATTTTGAATATGTATATAGAAAAAGTTATTAAAAACAACAAGATGACAATTTATAAAAAAAAAAAAATTAAATTGTGATACAGAAACATCATGCTCTGATAGTGATAGAAGAATATTACTTTGCAGATTTCTTAGTTAGGAATATACAGAACAGAACAGAATATTTTATTTCTAATTTAGAGCCCAGAACAGACAAGTATGAAATTATTACCATAATAAGGGAAAGATATGCCAATAATTGAATGAATAGTGTAACAATTAGCAAATAATTAGTATACATGTACATCTATATGGTGAAACAGTAGTGTGATTGGTTAAGGTTCATAAACCCTCTGCTCACTCATATAAAATGTTTCTTTAACTCTTATGATTTTCGACGTTACTTATTTTTCTTATGAGGTAGGGAGTATTTTTTTTTATTAAAAGAAAAATAAGTAACGTCAAGTGTCTGTGCAATCGAAAACTTACAAGTTTTAGTTTGATAAGTCCGTATTAGAATTTGGTAACTTGAGAACAACAGTTCTCACACTGGGTGGGGCTGCAACAATCCTTCTAGTTAACCAACCATACATTTATATCTTTGTTTTATTTACATAGTTTTTGTGACTTGGAGTGTTTAAGAAATAGAGGATATTCAATAGTTTGTAGATGAATATGGAATTTATTTCACTCGTGGGACAGTATTTTCTGATATTTTCACGAGTGCAAAGCACGAGTGAAAATATAAAAAAATCCTGTCTCACGAGTGAAATAAATTCCATATTCATCTACAAACATTGACTTTTCTGTTTATTACATTTTCTTTGATTTTCCCTTTGCCTCTGTCTTTTCTTAACACAGTGTCATAGACTTGATGTCATAGTTGAGTGGTTGAGACGTCATAGCTTAGCAGTTGTGTGATTGAAAACATTACATAGCATGGATTTTAGCAACATTTGCAGTTTTAGCTCTATCAAGATGCTTAGTTACTATTTCTATCTTATGACAGGCCTGAAATTATTTTTTACTTACTTTGATATCCTTTCACACTGTGAGAGAATATCATTTTGGTATCCTTTCACACTGTGAGAGAATATCACTTTTATTCAATAAATAAATCACAGTATTTCACTGTTGAAAATGTAATAAACTAGAAAGCTCTCTTCAAATACATATAAATAGGTGCAATCGTAATTATATCTAACTTAATTCTTCACCGATAGTTCGACTAATGATGTTTACAAAGGGGATGACGACCCAACCCTTGGATCGATAACGAAGTATTATGCATAGACCAAACTGTGAAAACTTTTCCAATACTAGATTAGCCCTGGTGATAACTACACACACACACACACACACACACACACATATATATATATATATATATATATATATATATATATATATATATATATATATATATATATATATATATATATATATATATATATATATATATATATATGTACATCATAGGTCACTGTTTGACGTGACAAGTTATTAAATGTATGTATTTTACATAGTCTTACATATAAAAATAGTTGATAATTATAAATATTTAGTACTATATTTAGAATTCCAAATCGAGATATTTTAATCAAAACATAAAAGCATGCCAACGCTATGTACGGAATGATATCAAAATGTCAGCAACCGTGCTCTAGAATGCCAGCTCGATATTTTTGTTGAAGTTGTTGGTCACTGAATTATCAACCAGTTTTATTATATAATATTTACTTTCTTAAAATCATTTGAATATTTAGATATATCGACGATGTTTTTTTTTCAATTACCAGTATTCATTAGCTCACCTGAGCTTTTTTTTTTTTAAATCGAAATTTGTCCGTTGTCTGTTGTCGCAAACTTTTTACATTTTCATCTTCTTCTCCAGAACCACTGGGCCAATTTCAACCAAATTTGATATAGAATACTTTTGAGTAAAGGGAATTCAAGTTTCTTCAAATGAAGGGCCACGCCATCTTACAAGGGGTGATAATTAAAAAGTAAAGTAATTGGATGGAGTCATTTAAAAATATTCTCAAGAACCACTGAGCCAGAAACTTACTTGAAAACTTCCTGACATAGTATAGATTCAAGTTTGTTTAAATCATGACCCCCGGGGATAGGGTGGGTCCAGTATGAGCGATCATAGTTTTACATCGAAATGCACAATAAAAATCTTTAAAATTCTTCTTCTCAAGAACAGCAAATCCATGATTAGTCGTATTTAAGTAAAAGCATCCTGAGGTGATATATAGATTCAGATTTGTTCAAATCATGACCCCTAGGGGTCTCAAGAACAGCAAAGAAGTAATTAGTTATATTTATAGTGAAGCATCCTTTATAGGTAGTGCTGATTCGAGTTTGTTCAAATCATGGAACCCCCCCCCCCCCCAAAGGTAGGATTGGGCCACAATGAGGGATCAAAGTTTTACATTGGAAAATATAGGAAAAATATCTAAAAATCTTCTTCTCAAGAACAGAAAAGCCATGATTAGTCATATTTATATGCATGGAAGCATCCTCAGGGATTTAAGATTCAAGTTTGTTCAAATCATGACTTCCTGAGATAGAGTTGGGCCACTATGAGCGATCACAATTTTACAAGAAAATATAAAGTGGAAAATCTTTAAAAAAAAAAAACATTCTTCTCAATAACATCAAAGCCATGATTAGTCATATTTGTATGGAACCATCCTCGGGTAGTGTAAATTGAAATTTGTTCAAATCAGGATGACCCCTGGGAAGTAGGATGGGGCCGCAATATGTGATCTTAATTCTACATAGGTATAGGAACAAATCTGGGACCATAGTGACTCAGGTGAGCGTTTTGGCCCATGGGCGTCTTGTTTTCATTTTAGTATCCTGTTGAAATAAAAGACAGCTCAGAGTCTTGACGTTGTGGAAGGCGATTAAAAACGAAGTGTTTGATTAAGATTTTTTGTGAAGTATGCATACCAATAATAAGTAAGTAAATAAACTATTTATTTCGATTTTTGGGCCCATGAAGGGCATACAAGAACAACATCAAACATAAATAAGAAAACAAAGACATAAAAAAGAGAGAGATCCAAAAGATGGATGACGGCAATCATATAAAAGTAGCGACACATCTCCAAGTAATTCAGATAATTATGTAATGGTTATATATTCATCCTGCGACAATATTGTTTCTTGTTTGAAAACTTTTAAATATGCATGTACATTCTGCAGAACGATTTACTATTTCACTGTTTCCATTTGAATAAGCCACACTAATTTATTCTTGTTTGATAAAATTGAGAAATTTCTAATTTAATTTTGAGTGTATTCTACAAGGTCTTTTCTCTGTGATTCATATCTAGAACATCAAAATGTGAAATGTTTCGTCTTCTATCGAGGTTGAGGAACAATTTCTACATTTTCGATCTTTGACAGGAATATTTCTATATCTGTCTAGTTCGATTGATAAGTTTTTAGAACTTAGTCTTGCACGAAAATTTGTGCATGAAGCACCAGAATACATCTTGTCTTTTTAGGTCACCTGCGTCACTCATGTGACCTTTTGCAATCTGTTTTCGTCCGTCGGCGTGCGTCGTTCGTCGGTCGTAAACTTTTGAACATTTTCAACTTCTTCTTTGGAACCGCTGAACCAATTTTAACAAATTTTGGTATAGAGCATCTTTGGGCAAAGGGGGACAAAAATTTTGAATTTCATGTTCCCTGTCCCCTTGGGGCCTGAGGGGTAGGGCCAAAAAATCTTCTTCTCTACTCCTAGACATCAAGCAGTTGTGATGATTATAACATACAATGAGTCCTTTGCCTAAATTGTGAAATTCATGCCCCAGGGTCAGGTGTTCTGGAGTTAGGGCGGGGCTCTATTGATCACATAGTAAAATTGCATATATTATTTAAAAACTCCCTCTCTCCCCCTGTATGTTAAACAATGAAACTAAGTGCATGGTTATGTTGAGCAAAGGTGCCTCTTATAAAATTGTATCATGGCCCCTGGGCCAGGGGTTCTGGTGTAGGGGGGACTGTATTGATTATATATAGTGAAATGCTTTATTTATTTAAAATATTCTTCTCTGCTCCTGGGTATTTGGTATATGTACATGCATGGTTATGAGCAAGGTTCCTTTTCCTGAAATTTTGAATATCATGGCCCCTGGATCAGGGATTCTGGCGTTAGGGTTGGGCTCTATTGATTATAGAGTAAAATTGCACTATTTCTTTGAAAATATATATATATTTTTTGCTTCTGTGTATTTTGAAGACATGCTAAGTGCATGGTTATGATGAGCAGGGGAGCCTCTTCCAAAATTTTTGAATTTTATGTTCCCTTCGGTCAGGTGTTGTGAGAGGGGGCTCTGTTGATTATATAATGAAAATGCATTATTTCTTTTAAAATCTTCTTTTCTGCCCTGTGTATAAAGCAAACAAACTAAATGAATAATTATGATGAGCAAGGGTGCCTCTTCCAAATTTGTGAATTGCACGGCCCCTGGTTAAGGGGCTCTGATGTTAGGGTGGGGCTCTGTTGATTATATAGTGTATTTTAAAAACATACTAAGTGTATGGTTATGATGAGCAGGGGAACCTCTTACAAAATTTCTGAATTTCATGTACCCTTTGGTCAGGTGTTGTGGGAGGGGACTCTATTGATTACATAATGAAAGTGCATTATTTCTTTTACGATCATCTTTTCTGCTCCCGGGTATGAAGCAAACAAACTAAATGCATAATTATGTTTAGCAAGGTTGCCTCTTCCAAAATTGTGAGTTTCATGGTCCCTGGTGAAGGGGTTCTGGTGTTAGGGTGAGGTTCTATTGATTATATAGTGAAAATGTAATATTTCTCTAAAAATCTTCTCTGCTCCTGGGTATTAAACAAACTAACTAAGATAAAACATAAGTTGAACATAATTTTAGCTCGGTTTGAGGATGGTGTATTTTGTGTATTGGCCGTTTTCTGTTTCTGTTTAAATATACTGAATGTAATAAAAACGAATATCGCTGCCATTTGCAGTTTTTTTAAAAAAATCTATGTACATGAATACACAATGTACATGAAAAGTAAAAGGTTGACACTCGCCATCTTGGATTCCAGGGGTGCCTTGGTTCACACTTGATTTTAATCAATGTCTAGACTTTTCCTATCGATGTCGGGTGAGATCTAGCTTTAAATTCAGCGAGATTCGTCTAGACTTAAATTTTGGAAAGCTAGGCGTCTCTTTTGAAGAGACGTCTGTCCAAAATTTTTAGTCTCGACGAATCTCGCTGACATTAATCTAGCTTCAAAAATGATTAAATAACTTTGTTCTATCGTCTATAAGCCCTACCTGGGTCAAACTTGCATAGATGATGGATCTAAGGATGGACACTACAAGACTTGGCTTCGGATGCTTGATCTGACCCACATTTTCCATATGATTGACCATGTTAACTTTTTTGGAGCAGGTCCATTCCAAAGTAACTATAACCCCTATCTGTTCTAAACTTGCATGGATTATGCATCTAGGGATGGACACTACCACACTTGATTCAGATGCTGGATCTGACCTTCATTTTCCAGATGAGTGAACATGTTAAAGTTTTTGGAGCAGGTCCATTCCAGAGTAACTATAAGTCCTACCTGGACCAAACTTGCATGGATGATATATCCAAGGATGGACACTGCAAGACTTGCGTCGGATGTTCGAACTGACTTACTTTTTCTGGATGAGTGATCAGGATTGGAGCAGATCTATTTCCAAGTAACTATAAGTCCTACTTAACGAGGTTCGCTCCTGAGCTTTTGAGCAGATTCTTATCTTAACCTATATTTCAAAAATTCTGCATAATGTTTTAATTCTTACAATAAATTTGGATTCTACAATGCCAATTTAACTATATTCAGTTAAAACTCCATGATTAAATTCCATACCAAAAGCATTAAGTGAGGAACTATATTTTGTGGCGGAAGGTTTTTTAGAAGAAAATGATCATTTTTTTCTCTTTCGAAGAATTAAAAGTATGTTAAGTTTGGATTCCTATTTTTACATGTAGTCTGCACACATAGTTCTTTTGTGCAGTGGACTGTTTTATACTGGTCCTAAATTATCTATTTAAAAAACTGCCATGAATTCTATCATCATATTTGATAAATATAGCAAATATATTGTGGAAATGAAGAAAAAAAATAGCCCTAATTTAAGCTTAAAATTAGCACTATTTTAGTAATATCTAAAAATTAACATCACAGACCCCCACTTTTGATTTTCTTTTCTGAATATATACGATACTTTTAATCATTCTTCTTAAATTCAGTAAAATGTCATTACTTTCAAATGATTTTTTTTGCTTGTTAAATTTTAATACCAGAAAAATGAAAATGTTTGAGTGCAAAAAGGTCAAATAATTGAACATGCGGATTAATTCAAAAATTTCTTCGTTGTTACAAATTTTAATGTGTCTATTTAAGATGAAATAAGACTGTGTTTGTTCACCATAATTTATTTGAACAAAAAATATTGAAGGCAAAACTTTAAAAATTGATTTATGTGTAAGACGTATTTACAGTGCAAAAAGGTCAAACTAAATGCTCTGTAGCGCCAAAAGAAGCGCATTGACCCCCATTTTTTGTTTTGATTTTTAATAAAGCTATGTGTATAAATTCTAAAAATATACTTGATAAAAAATTCTCATTACTTTTGATGGCAGGATCCAACCTCCTTAAACCAAACATGCATGGACATTGATCTCGGGACGCACACTAACTAGAATAAAATATGGTCCGAGATTTGCCTTACATATAAAGAAAAAATTCGTCGAGGTGAGCTTCGTAATCATTTATTACTTATTTTTATTAAAACTGCGAATTTCAGCGATTTTCGATTTTTTTTTTTAAATCAGTGAATTAAAACACACAATACACAAAATATCCAGTCCTGAAATCGAGCCCGTTTGACACAATTGTCTATTTTCGTGATTCTTTGGAGAATAACGGACATGTGGGCACCGCGAATTATCATGCATGCGATTCAGTGTCGGCCATCAACTCGTACACACCAAAAGCAGACACAAGTTTTTCCTAAAAGATGTATTCTGCCGATTATGCTAAGGTGTCAGCCATTTTTACAGAATTCCTCTGGTTTCATCCATCAAAATAATCATATTATTTTTCGCCCACTAACCCCCTATTGTATATTCATATTTTGTTTATTTTGTTTTGATACTTTTATACAAAAAAAAAAAAAAAAGAAAAGTTTAATTCCAGATCATAAGTTTTCACAGCTAGAAATTTCTTATTCATTGCCTATGAAAACTCAAGAAGACTTGTTTCACGCTAAATTCTCGACGCCTTGAATCTCAAAAATATGCTCTCTAACTCATATTTTTCATTTTCTTACTTTGTTTCAGTCGCCCGCGTGGCACAGTGGTCAGAGCGTTTGCTCTGGAGTCGCGGAGTAAGGAGTTGATCCTTACGTCGTGGGTTCGAATCCCACTGCGGGACGTGGAGACCGGTCCTTCGGATGAGACCGTATAAACCGAGGTCCCGTGTCGCAGTAGGCGCTGGCACGAAAAAGATCCCTCACTGGTCAATGGCACTGAGTGCCAAGTATAGGTCTAAATTTGCATCCCTTGTTTGGCAAGTGGTGGCGTTTCAATATGAGTGAAAAATTCTCCAAAGGGACGTTTAACAAACAAACTTATTTTGTTTCAAATAATGAATTCACCGAATTAAAATGTCAAATTGAAAAGTTTAATTCAATAAAGATTTTATTATTCATTATTATCAAACTTTAAAACAATAGAAGAATCACAACGGAAACACCCCTTGAATTATTTATTCATTATTCACACAATGTCAATTGTTAACGATATATATATACAGAAGAACATTCTTTGAACATAATAAAGAACAATAAAAATAAATCAACAATTTGATTGTACTATAAAAACATTCTTCATTTTCTATCATAAAAGCGTGGTAGTGATTTATTTTAAAAGTATTTTCAAAGGAACTGCAATGGTGAAAATTCCAAAAAAAAAAATTAAAATAAAATAAAAATAAAAAATAAAATAAAATAAAATAAAGTTGTTATATTCCTGCAATTTAACTTTTAAGTGTTTAATAAACTTAAAATCTCTGACGCGGATTATTTGACTTTATCCTTGAGCATAACTGTTTAACTTCACTTCGAAAATGAATATCTGCGAAAAAGTAGATACACGGGTTAATGACGCTGTTAAGAAGAAGAGTGCACACCGCTACCCTGATGACAATACTCAAAGTTTTTTCAGCGAAACAGAACAGATCTGTCTTGAACAGGAGCAACATGGCAGTAACGTTGGATGGAAATGTCGTCATAATGAAAGTTAATGTCGACGCGAACAAGGTAATGGTCGTTCGCCTCGTTTCCAGAAGTCTGGTAGCGCTTGAGAAGCACACGGGATTGTTTTGGTCGTATTCGGGATATACATCATTCCGTTGCGCTTGTTTTTTGTAATGTCGAATTACGTGGATAATTCTTCCGTACATGGTTATAATAAACATGGTAACTGTGAATGCAAGAATGTTCAGTATTATATAATAAACTGTAGGCACACTGGAATCGATATAGCTATCGGATATGAAGCAGAAGGTGGCATTTAGACCCTGTATCCCAGTTGGAACAGTACGATGTCCAACAAATATAGCATGTGGCGACGCCACTGCTGTGGCAACGAGCAACAGAATAACGTGGTAGAAATTTAGTTCCTTTTGTTCAATTTGCCACATAAAAGGATAGAATACTTTCCGGTACCTCTCTATTGCTATAACGAATAGTACAAGATGACAGAAGAGAATAAGAGACGATGACAGAAAAGCGCCCACTTTACACTGTATTTCAGACGGATGGTCGATCTCCCACAAAAAGAGCCAGACTGTTAGGGGCACAATAACTGTAACGTTAATCAATCCAAGAGACGCAAGCCACATTGAAACTAGCCTGTATGCAGTTCTCTTAAAAGCTGTCCGAAAAATGTGTAGCATGATAGAATTTGCTGGTAGTCCTATCAGGAATATGACTCCAAGAATCGCAATAGGTACTGCATTCCATTTGACTACTTCCAAGTTCAAGTCCGCCAAACCAGTGCTATTTGTTGGTCTAATATGGTGCTCAATTATCGCAGCAAAACATTTAAACATTTTCTTTCGATATCTTTAAACACAATTAAATACTTTTTTCTAGGATAGTCAACTTTGTCGTGAATGTTTAGAGAAAATAATAAGTACACGGATATTATTAATGTATCCGGAGTGACAGGAAGGATGCCTGGTCATGATTGTGTTTATAGCTATCTGTACAAAGCACCTTAAGACACAGCGTTTTAATGTTAAAATGACTTCCTCTTTACCTAGTACTTATAGGGGAGATCATCCTTGTTCGAATGCATATTACCAAACGCGGTGAGAAAATGGCTTTTTGGCGAAATTCCCCACTAATTATTAGTCCTTCGTGACAAAGTTACAAAAGGGTATCATAAATGTGAGTACATGCAAGCAATTGTGCATCCATGTCAATCTTGTGGACACAAAATAAAGAATAAAATTTGACATTCAAGTCTCATGCTTGTTAGAGAAATGGTTAGTAGCCATTAGAAGAAATCTTGATTTTTAGTCAAAAGCGAAGAGGTCAAGGCCAGAGACTTGAAAGTGTGAGCATTGTTCCATCCAAACACAATATTAATAGTAAGTTGTTAAACCTTTTAGTCTGAAACTCTATTACATATGCTAAAGACAAGTGTGACCGGTCGGCAGGGGACGCTCACTCCTCCATGGCACCTGATCCCACCTCTGATGTTTCAGAGGTCCGTGTTTGCTCTGCTCCTGATTTGTATTGTTTGAATGAACTTTTGAGCTTGAATACTGTTCGTTATCTCCATATATTTCATGCTATAGTACCGAAGGTTGATACTGATTTTAGAACTAAAGGTCTAGGTCAAAGGCAATAATTGACGGCCTCAACTTGCTACATTGGTGCTAAGTGGCGGGAGAGGAAGCTGTTGATATTCTGGTCAATATATCAAACATTAGTATTCAATTGCAAAGGTCAGGAGTTATTATCAAACCTTATGTTGTTCATATAATATAGCTTCTAGGGGATGAGATGCTTTTGGGGTGAAAAGGGCAAAGGCAAGTATTGACAGAAGTATTCAAAATGTTTCCATCCCCCCCCCCCTCTGTCTCTCTCACACACACACAAACACACAGATAGAACGAGAGGGAGAAAAATAAAGCTTTATATTTCGAATTGTAATATATTGTCAATCAACAAATATAATTTCTTAGAGTTTTCAGATCTTGTGTCATTTCTTGTGTAAAAACAAATATATTAATTCATTCAACTTCGATAGAGATTATCCAGAAATATATTGCGTCATGTCGCTCTTTGCGTCCGAGTACCACTTGTTATCCCTATGATGACTGCTAGCGAAAGAATGACCTGTTGATATCATTTCACGCTACTGTCGGCTGATAAAATATGCTGTATCTCGGATAATTGTATATTATAGCACTTGACATAAAATGACCAGGGTTTGCGAGTTAATTGATTGTTAGCAATAATTCATATATTGATTGTAGACTTCATTTTGATAATCAACAGACACCCGCCTCAAGGTAGTAATTTATAAATCAATTCCGTTAATCTGTTAATAAATGTTTAGATATATTTTATTAATGAGATTAAATGAAAATGAAGAGCTAGGGCTTGCTAAATGTAAATCTAGGAGAGGCATATATTTTTCAGGAGTATTGTAGGATTAATTCCTTTATGACTATGTCGTGACTTTATTTTCATGCCAATCTACCTATCCTTTTCCGCAAAATTCAGCACGAGAACTTGTAGAAAACTTATTTAACACTAAGCCCTAGAGATGAGTAATATCATGGCATACTCCTCATCTATCGAATGACCAATCGATTGTTGACAACAGATTCCTTGTCGCAAATACGGACAATAATTGTCAGACTGGCCACTTGACGCCTCTGTCAATCCGTCGTATCTCCTAAGGGGGTAGGCCTTTTACGGTATGGGACAGTTTTTATCGATACGTCGTTTAGCTGCGTATATATAATTGAAATAACCAATGCAATGTCCTTAAAGTTTTGGTCTTTGGTTTGCAGTAACATCTAAAATGAACAGGTCTTTTTGTGTGCTAACCACTATCTGCCTGGTTCTATTTACGATTTCAAATGCGCTATGTAAGTAATGTAATTTTTTTTTTTTTTTGAATTTTATCAAAATTTCAAAGTACCAATGAAAAGCCCTTTTTTACTTCTTCTTCTTCAAAAAGCTATGCCATGACTAAGATACTTAATCAAAGACTGTCCATCAAAAAGTTAAATGCTTTAACTTTTTTTTTTTATTATAAAATACAATTTTCTTTTGTCTTCTAGTCATCAAAAAGAGTATGTTTGACGACACTCCACAAAGAACACTAGAGTATTTTTCAAAAAGAGGATGGTGCTTCAACATGACTCCAGACTGTTCCCTTATGATCGGCCCGGGGGAGAAGATGTTACTGTGTAGTATGCCATATTACCGACGTGTTTGTTGTCGGTTTTGTAGGGAAAGCTGACAAATGTGACTGGTGAGTCCTATTACATTTCTTTTTTTTCAGCGCTAAGTCGATTCCTAAACTTGTTTATATATATTTTAGGTCTACTTTATTCAGGAATTTTTCGATTTTATCATTTTCGTCAAAGCATATTTAAAAACCGTTCCTCTTCACCAGTTCTCAATGGTTAGAGGTTTGATCTTCTACGAAATCTAGATAAAAAAGGACTACTTTATAACATTTTAATTTTTAAAGCCCAAGCTTTACTTTGGTACATCAGATTTTAATCTTTTTTTTAAATTTCATTTCTGGATAAACTAGACTTTTTTTATGCTTCTTCTATCAAAAATTGTTGCATATCAGCTATTTCGCACGGGATAGTAGGATGTTGATTTTATAAAAAAAAAAAAAAAAAAAAAAAAAAAAAAAAATTCTTCGGTTCTATCAACTATGTATGATGTTTGGTTATAGATGCACAGTTCTGTTTAAGAGAACACAAACTTCCAACTTACTAAATAAAGAATTTAAACCAATAAAAAGCATATTACGGACAAACATTTCATCAAATTAAATATTATTCCTTGTTTTAAAAAGAACACCGTATACAACGAAATTCAAAATGTGTCCGCTTAGTGTTGCGTATACGGTTCCTGCTTTCGAAGAAAGAAAATCTTGCAAAAATTGGTGTACATTGTAAATGCTTTTTAGAAAAGGAAACTATTACTAGTAATTTTGAAAACTTTATAACAGATAAAAAAGGAGCCAATTTACAACAAGTAGTTTTTGCACCCTAATTGTTCTTTGGAAAGTGCGTTAACTTCTTAATGCTGAAATATAAAGTCTATGTAATGTGTACAAAGGAATGTTTCAGTAAAAAAAAAAAACTAAAAGTACTGAGGCGACAAACAAGAAATTAATTATATTTCATAAAAAAATATTTTTTGAAGTCACTGAATTTGAATTCATTGAGCATTGGAACTTTGTGACTATGATATGTAATAGTACTAAAATCGAAAGGAATATTTCAGTAACTTAGATTCTATTTAGTAACACTTAGAAAAGCTGTATGCTATAGGAAGGAAGACAACTATCTTTTAAAAGCTTTCTTGATTTCCGTCGAGGAGACTTAGAGTGTGAAACTTCTGGGGTGGGAAGCATCATCCGTGTATGTTTTGGGGTAGGAATGTGCATATATTGCCTGGATCATTCGGGCCTTATAGTCATGCTTTCGATGTTTTAAAAAAAACAATCATCCAGAAAAATGTTGAATTAGAACTTTTCATTTAACTATACAATGTGCAAGTTGTATTTACGTGTCGGTAAATAAATGTAAATATTATTGTGCATTTCAAACATAATCTACAGTAGTAAATGGTGACCTATTCCAGCGACACATCCCCATAATCCAACATATTGGGAAAAGTGTGCACAAATTTACTGTGAAGGTCAGAAAAAGAGAAATCAAAAGGAAACAAGTCATGGTTTCAGTAGAATTCTCTATATTATATAGGTTTATAATTTGTCGACTCTTGTATATAGCAAATACTTTCCCCGAGTAAACATATGCATTGTATTCTAATTTCAACCTTTAAAACAGTAGCAACACTATATATAAAAAAAAAATTAAAAAAAAATAAAACACAACACAACAAAAGATCCACGAGGGTTATTTTAGTCAAGGTTTTGAAATCGGATGTTTAGAAAATTAGCCTGCAGGCCTACTACAGATTAGATTGAGATTGATGCTGGATGTACATTGTATACACACTCTCTATGGGGTGTTGAAATTTTTGGTCGACTTGGTGCAGGAAAATGACCTAATTTTCAATATGTAGTGTACATATAATTGATTTTGAAAACAGATCCAGCATTCGATCGAGTATTTGTATTTAATATTTCACATGTTCTATTTGCTTTTTCTTTTAAGTGGTCCAGCTTTCTTTTATAAATATTCACTTTTTTTTCTTTCAGCCGTTAGAATGAACACAAGAAAATCAAGGATGGCATTTCACCGCAGAGAAATATATACTAAACTTTATATTATTATATAAAATTCACACAAAACAAACCCTTGTATTTCTTTAGTTTTATTGTGAAACTGTAACAAATAAACCTTACACAACCAAAAAAATATTAAAACAACTTTTTTGAAATAGAAATACACGTATGCGTGACTGCAAAGCGCAATACATGATTTCACAAACTTCTAACGGTGTGTTCTAACAACTATATTTGGCGATTTTCGTCACAAAAACATCAATTTTGTAACTTCTGAGCAAATCAAGTGGATATAACCGGTAAAGATGCGCATCACGTCATGGATCAACTAACTGAATAACAGGGTTCCTCTTTTTGGGTGGGATAAGAGAACTCCAGTGATATGGGTCTTCTATGGACGGACTGAGGAAGTAAGGGGTGGGCAAAACAAAAGCAAACTGCCAGTGTGGTCCAAACACAGACCGGAGTTTGTCTGCAAATTTCCGGGGATCTTTTACATCAATGTTATTTTCTATTTCAAATGCTGTATTGCCCCTCACAACCGAGACGCTGGCATCTATAAAATGCATAAAACTTAAAAATGTCAACCCAAACATACCGTATGCCATAATAATCATGACTCCCACCTGTGACAGTGTCGTGTTGGATCCTAAGATGGCCCTCAGAAAAGAAAGAAGGGGCACAAGATCAAGATACGACATTTCGGGCCAATAAAACGTCCAGAGGTAAGTTACGCCATGGTAAATGGTAAAGACAGTAACAATGCACGCATAAAATAGGAACACAATGAAATATCGCAAGTTTTTAAGCCCCACACAGTTTCGTGCAAAGAAGCAGTGGTGATCTCGCTTCAGGATACAATTTCCACAGAGTTTGCAGTGATGACACCGAGGAGGGCGCCACCGTTCACAGGCAAGACACGGCGCCCACTGCCAATAGGGATATCTCGCTGCTTTAATGTGAGCTTCTATAATTGGAACTAGTTTATTTTGTTGCACCATCTCCGGTACCTGCAATTGAAAAATTTGAAGAGTTTTTGTCAATATAATTTAGTTAAGTAGATGCAAGCCAGGAGCGGATCCAGGATTTCGCTTTAGGTGTGTTAGAAAACTTTTTCAAATAGGGGAGGGGGGCAGACGGCTGTTTTGTTGTGCAGACGGGGAGGGGGGGGGGGCTTACAGATGTAAAACATGCCTATTTGCGCAGACTTAGTTACAGGATTGATTAATGAGTTGAATGCTGGAGAGGGGATGCAAATAAAATTAATTTGTGACACAAGTAAAAATGTAAAAATTTTGTTAAAATCAAGAGCAGATCCAGGATTTCGCTTTAGGTGTTTAAGAAAAACTTTTTCAAGTTTGGGAGGGGGCTGTTGAGTTTGGGAGGGGGGCTGTTGTTTTGTTGCGCAGACGGGGGGGGGGCTAACATGTAAAACATGCCTATTTGCGCAGACTTAATTCCAGGATTGTTGAAAATTCCATTATATTCTTTATCGTTTGAAAAGGGCGTAATTAATGAGTTGAATGCTTGGGGGATATACAAATAAAGCTAATTTGTGCTCTCTGAGAGTTTGCCAAAACATACTTGTAAATCTAATGTAGCATTTTTCAGGGGGGTGGGGGGGGGGGGGTGATACATCATCATCATGTATCATGTGATTTCAATTCATTTGTTATTTAAGTTATATACAATTAACACAGAAATTATTTTTTTTAATATTATTTTTGATCTCAGTACCTGAAGGTAATGATTGAAAATCATATTGAATATTGTTATTCTAGCAATAATTAGAACACACTTTAAATCATGGTTTGCCTTCCACTAGTTCAATGTTTGAATCATCAGCAACAATCTACTTCAGTTAAGCTTAAACTTCATATGAACCCAGTCTTTGATTTTTTCGGGGTGGGGGAACGCTCCCTTTAAATCCGCCCGGCAGTGTATGCTTAACATTATAAAAATCATTATACATATATATTAATTATATTTGTTTTGACAAGACATTGGCGTACAGCTCAGAAGATGTATCTTAAGCTCCCTAATAATATAATCCTCTTTGAATAGTTTAATTGTGTTTTAGTGCCTTTCTTTAAGCGACCTTAATTCTCTATGTTGACAAAGGAAAATTGAATGTCTTTTAAACAACTAAACTATATCTATATTGTGAATTTTAACAACTGGTGTCTTGAAGCAGTGGTTTATTCTTGATGTTGTTTTTTGGTTTTCTTGACTTACGTGTTGAAATAAAGTAAAACACGTGTTTGCAGAGAAAAACACATCATTGTAAGCGCTGCTTCGGGAACGCATGCAGGAACATTGTACTAATTAGTGGCTTTCAGTTGTCATAACTAATTAACCAGCATGGATACCTAGGCGACTCTTTGTCGTGATTTTTCTCCCAGAACACTCGTGTACATTTATTTTAGTAATATAGCATCTAATATAATATATTATATCTTTTAAACCATCATATCAACTGATATCTAATATTATTATTTGATTTTACGATAATATTTTTGCTACATGTAAATAAATAGCAATAAAAAGAAATGACTACCTTAAATGGATAAGGTCCAAGTACCAGTTTCTCCTTAGGATACACTGACGTATTAAAGCTGGAGTCTGTCACATGGATAAACCACCAGTTCACGACTATCTGATACACCAAAAAAGTTCCTATCACCTGATGAATGTAGGCTGTTTCTGGATATAGACGTGGTAAAGCTATGAAACACCCCACAAAATACATGAACGTTACTTCCAAGAATAAAAAATAAGGCATCCATTGATGAAGAAAGTATGGATTAATAATGTCCCAAATCCCGAGGCTGGAGTCCGAGGCCTTTGAGTGGTGTCCTCGGGTGGAGCCGTTCTGAGAGCAGGACGATTTTGTCGAGTTATTACTTATATGATATTGCGCAGCCATTTCGTTTTCGTCTTGAATATTTATAACATAAGTCATGTCAAACTGCTTAGTTGACGTTTATGTTTTAGCAGAATAATTAAATGTTCATATCATAATTGGTCACATACCGCTGCCAAATATTCCGGATTGAGGTAGCTTTAACTTGTAAAGATGATCAAACTTAATCTGAACATAGTGCTGTACATGATAACCCGAGATCTACAATGGACTTGGGGGACCGAAAAGATCCCCTTTCCGCTGCAGTATCACAATTACTCAACATAAAGTTTTTTGTCGACCCTGTGTTCGTGTCAAACTTCCATCATATCCAAACATGAAACCTGAAATTAACAGATGACACCTGGTATTTTTACACGTGCTTGAACTTGTAATCAACAGGTATCGAATCTTGCTCTTGTGAATATTTAATTCAAACAAGTATTTTAATATTTCAATCTATTTAATCCAATAGATCCAAACGCTTCACTGGTCATGATCTACGTTAAACTTCCAACCTTTCCAAAATCTTAATTTATAGCAGTATGACACGTGAAAAAAATATTTTGTATAGAGTATCTCTGATTCCCTTTCGAATCACCAGAAAAATGTTCTATTCACTCATTTTTACATGTAGAGCTCTAGATGTATTCTTTTGTCATCATTCAGGTATTTGGTCAATATTTAGTCTGTAATTAGTGGTATTTGTGAAATCTTTCACAACTACGTCAAGTGGACAATGATCCACCGACTGCAGTAGTCAAAACAGGCTTCAGCAAGAACAAAGACCCTTTACTTAAGGGAATTTTAAACGTAGGCATTTTATTCTATACCAAAGCTCAGCTGTTTCAGTCGTACACAATGAGTTCAAACTTTTTTTTTATACAAGTTATATCCAGTTATACCACCAAGTAACATATGTCTTTAAACCCCCCCCCCCCCCCCCAATTATTACTACAGACCTAACAGAAGAATTCATGCGCGGGTCGGGGGGGGGGGGGGGGTCCGGACAGCCCCTGTAATTTGCAGAGTTATAAAAAGTATATACTGAAGGAAATAAAAAATGACTTTGGTCCCCCACCAGAAAAAGTGGACCCCACCATCACCACCACGAAATAGGTGTTTTTCATGTTTGTAAAATGGATTTTAAATTTTGTTTTTGTTTTTGTTTTTTTTTTGCTTGTCAAAAAATTTTCGGGGTTAGAATTTTTTTGACTGGGATGGACCCCCCTAGAAAAAGTTCCTGGATCCGCGCCTGGACTTTTGCTCACATGTTTTTATCAAAGTTCATTATCGACCTACTTTCTACGTACATAAAAGTGCATGCGCCCAATCGTAATTTAGCTTTTTTTTTTTAAAAAAAATAATGAATCAGATATAATGAATTCAATTCACTATGGAATAAATATACAAGTATATATTTTAAAGCCCAAATGAGCTGTGATTATGGAGAAATTTTATTTAAACAGAAAAAAAATTCAATGAGAACGCAATCCTATCGCATTATCTCATTATTGAGCAATTACCTATACAATACGTTGCATGGGTCTACGTGCGTGAACGTCTATGTCAATCAGCCTAAAAAATGCAGCAATACATGGAAACACCAAAACAAAACTTCTATCAAATGTTTAACAACTGAAGTCATCTACAAACATAACCAAGTCGTTCTAATCCTCTATCCACTACATGTGTATTTACATATTTACGCACATACATGAGTGTGAAAAGCCCACACACCTTTGAACTACTCTAGCATTACTTCTATCTGTCTCTCCAACAATACGATATTGGCTTATCTCTAAAAATATGCTTGCAATACCTGACTCACTTGTTCAACATTTTTAGCGAGTTCTAAAACTTGACAACCAGGCTCTTGAGAACTATCAACAGACTTTCCTTCACACCAAGATTTCAAACACAGCAAAATACTCATATGGTTATAAGATATATAGGTATGGAAGAAACCTTTGTCAGTATTATCATTCTTTACTTTTTAAATCAATAATTTAATAATTTTTAAAAATCACAATATTCTATCTATCACATCAATAAAAAGAATCACAATTATAATACACACAGGTGTTTAACATTGCACTTGTAACAATTCAGGTAAATGTTTACATTTAAATTCAATCCAAATGTACAATACATGTAACTCAGAAGTTTTCAATATTGAAATTGTACTAAAATGTCAGTTATATCTCCAAAATTTTTGTTAATTTCATGTATACATATCTAATATTGTACTGTTCAGCAAACTGACCTCTGGTTCTAAGACCTTTTTTCAGGCAAGTCATTTCAAATACATGTATTCACTAAAAAGATTTTCAAGATACCTTAATACAGAGTGTAGAATTATATGGACATAATTAATCTAATCTGGAATGCTTACATTTAAAAACATAAAATATTCAAATAAGTTCTAGCTTTTTGCTGGTATACTAGTACCTCATACTTGCCACTACAAATAAACATACATAAAATCAATGGTGTACAGATGCTTTTGAAAAGCTTGAAATTTCTTTCTCAAAATAACTACAGACAATGGATTTCAGTCAAAAACAAAAAAAAAAAACATTTCACATGCAACTTATATTTCTAAAAAAAATTCTAAGACAGCTTCAGGATTGATGAGAATATTATGAATTTTACATTGCTTCTATTAATAGTAACTGTATCTTCTTTCTGAACTTGGGTCAAAATTTAAAACCATATGGCTATGTTGACTACTACCATGTCTTAAGATTTCTCACTATTCTTTTAATGTCAGTATCTTTTTGAATTAACAATTTTAACTTTTTATTTTATAAAAAACATTCAATATCCATAAATTGTAAAGTGATACATGCACTATATTCAAACATGAAATTGAGTAGTAAAATTCTTAGTACTACAGTGTACTACAAGTATGTTTCATAGATACTTGATACTAAAAGGTAAAACAGTATTATGTACAGATGTATGACTAGAAAAAACAGAGTCAGACATTAGTCACATTACACAAGAATAAGAAAGGTGTAGGAATCAGAGCAAATGTAATCATACAAATATAATAAGACAACTGAACATTAAAACAGAAATTCAAACAGTTGCACCTGCTTCTCAGATTGATTGATACTGTGATGTAATACATATACAGTTGAACTTCCATATCTCGAACACCGCTATCTCCAATGACATGGAAAATGTCTATTTGATTTGGAAGTCCCAATCACTTATTCTTTAAGTATTTTACCTCTATATCTCAAATCTTTGGATATCTTAAAAAGTTTTTTTCTCAATCCCATCAAGTTTGAGATAATGAGGTTTAACTGTATGTGCATTGCAATAAAAATCTTGCTTTAAAACATTCGTTTCCTATATATGTAAGGATAATTTACACAATAACATGATTTTAGTAAACTAAACAAAGACAAAAAAATTCACATTCACTCTTTTAAAAATTAATTAAATCAACACTTTCCTGCAACCTGATATATACTTAAGAGTTTTCAAGAGAGCACTTCTATGATCATAGAATAAAAATATTTAACATTCATAGTCCCTGAAACTTTGCAATTGTTCAATTCTCATCCATCATATCACTTCTTAGATTTCAGCAGGTTCATTAGTGATATGATTTTAAATGCATTTTTTCCTTGCTGAGAAAAAAACTGGTATAAGTTTTGTCCTGTCCTGCTACAGTAATGGCAAAGTCTCTAGTTTCACTTTCCCTGACTCTCAGAATGGAGTTTTGGCAGTCACGTTGATCATATCAGAAGCTCTGAAATTAATAGCAAATTTAAAGTTTAAAACAGATAATCTTTTCCTTTTATGGTGAAAACAACAAAAAAATTTTAGTACATAATTAGTACATGAAAATAAAAATTAATTCAGAAGTATAAATTTAAAATTCAAGTACAATTAAGTGCAATAACTCAAAAACTTTTCAACATTTTATATACATGTATTCTAAGAACTGGAGGGGTTGGGGTAGGTGGGTTATAAATGTGTCTCCACTGTAGGTGCAAATATCTACAAGTATGTGAAAAGTATGTGAAAAGGTATATATACCAGTACATGTGCAATTTATATACCTAGTATCTGTTAATCACATTTAATCAATATGGTACATATACCAGTACATGTGCAATTTATACACCTAGTATCTGTTAATCACATTTAATCAATATGGTACATGTACTGCTAACACAATTTCCAATTTTTTAATATTTAATGCTCTCATTCAAAGACTTTTTAAAAAAATATTCTTTCTTTAAAATTGTCATTAATATTAAGGTTCATAAACCCTCTGTTCACTCATAAAAAATGTTTCCTTAACTCTTGTGATTTTCTTAGAGAAATGTATTTGTTAAGTAAAATACAATCAATCTTATTATAGCATGGCTTGTGGGGCAAAATTGGACAAAAAAGACACTTCAACTTGACAAATTTATAAAGGAATTATAGATATTTATGTCATTAAGAGTTATCTCTCTTATCAGAGTATCAATGAACCTTAAATAATTATTAACTGAATGTTGCTGGATGAAATGTTTTAGAGCAAAAGCTTTCAAATTTGTGAGTAAAACAATTCTCTTGAGCTTTTTTATCTTTAAAAACAATGCTGTATTAATAGCTTATAAAGGTGTTAATAATATTTAAGCACAAACAAAATTACAAATGTGTAAAAGAAAGCCAGTATAAGAATAAAAATAACTTAAAACCCCCAAAACTAGGAAGCTCATATAATTATCTTCCACAAAAACTTACAGAAGTTTTTAATACCAATTACTGCTTCATCATCATCAAATCTACAAATTTTGAATAGAAAATGATTTTCTGTTCTGTCTTGTGAAAACAATGTGTAAGAACAGCTATCAAAGAGTATCCAATGAACATGTGTCATCTGCAGGTACTCCACAATATAGGAGATTAGGCCATCTTTAAAAATTTGTTTGGATGCCCTCTCCCAACCAACTGGCTAAAAATGGCCAACTCAAAACTTCTTTTAACTTCCAGGAAGCAATTATTTTTTTATGCATTCGGGAAAATAGATTTGAAAATTCAGCATTAATGTTGAAATTTTCTGGGGAAAAACATTCTCACCTAGCTACTGACCCATTTTTTTTACCCTGAGTTAAGAGAGGGCAAACAAACGTTATTTTAAACTTTGGGATTTTTCTCCATTTTTTTACAAATGTCTGCTCAATGTTTTTTCTAGTTACAATGCACACAAATAATGTTTGAAGAGGAGAGATGACCCAGAAATAGCGAAATTATAGAAAAACATAGGTAATCAAAGATTACTAAGCTCACCTCGATGAAGGTTATCTATAAGTAAGGCAAATCTCACATCATATTTTTTCTAGTTAGTGTTCATCCCAAGATCAATATCCATACCAGTTTGGTTTAAGAAGGACTTATAGTTACTTGGAAATAGACCTATTCAAAAAACTTTTTATCGGTTTACTAATCAAGAAAAGTTTGGTCAGTTCCAACATCCAAAGCAAGTCTGGAAGTTTTCATCCTTAGATGCATCGTCCATGCAAGTTTAATCATAACATCCCATAATATTATACAGCTACTACAAAAACATTACCCTGGTCACTCATCTGGAAAATGTAGGTCAGATTCAGAATCTGAAACAAGTCTGAAAGTGTCCATCCTAAGATACATCATCCATGCTAATTTGATTAAAATATGGCTAAAATTCACTCATCTGGAAAATCTAGGTCAGATTCAGCATCCGAAGCATTTGTTAGTGTCCATCCCTAGATGCATCATCCATGCAAGTTTGGTTCAGGTAGGGCTTATAGTTACTTGGGAATGGACCTGCTCCAAAAACATTAACCTGGTCACTCATCTGAAAAATCTAGGTCAGATCCAGCATCCAAAGCAAGTGTGGTAGTGTCCATCCCTAGATGCATCATCCATGCAAGTTTGGTTCAGGTACGGCTTATAGTTACTTGGGAATGGATCTGCTCCAAAAACTTTAACCTGGTCACTCATCTGGAAAATCTAGGTCAGATCAAGCATCCGATGCAAGTGTGGTAGTGTCCATCCCTAGATGCATCATTCATGCAAGTTTGGTCCAGGTAGGGCTTTTTTGGGAATGGACTTGCTCCTAAAACTTTAACCGGGACGCCAACGCCGGGGGTATAGCATAAGTTCATCTCGACTTTGTCAAGATGAGCTAAAAAACATGTTTTCATATGCAACATCTTGTGCCAAATGACTCATCTAGCCATATTTCATAGCAAATCTGAAAATATTATCAGAAAAATATTTCCCTTTCCTATATCACAGGAATATATTGTATCAATAGAATGCTAAATTATCATGTTATGGATAATTTAAATTTTCACTTTTCAAGTGCACCCAGATTCCTGTCAAATCCAAATCAAATGGGCCATCATTCTTAATATGTAGAAGTAAAAGAGAACAGAGCAGATAAGATGCCTCTGTGGCTCACCTGAAATTCTATTAATAAATACACAAATAACATTACTGATTACAAACTAGAGGTTCAACTGAACTGAATCATATATATCCTGCTTATTGCTGAAAGTTTTTCCACAAAATTAATTTCTTTCATTAATTCACCATGATTATCCCTGTATCCAAGCACTGGGCATTTCCTCCACCCCATCATGTCACACAAAATTTTTGCTGCTGAAGCTGATGGATCATGAATAATGTAGAACACATAAAAAAGGTAAATTACTTCAAAATGTTTTACATATGTGATTTGCCCAGTTTTTGGATTATCAATTTTGTCTAGATTGGTATAAAGACTGATTATGATACAGACTACACAATTTTTGCATAGAAGACAATTCTGAAGTTGAACTCTTAACTAAAACTCTATTTGATTTTTGTTTTAAGATAATGTAATTTAATTTATATATGTTATAGGATAAGAACTTTTGTTGTGAAAGTATGATCATCTAATACAGACAGACAGACAGACACTAGACAAAGTGATCCTTATGTTTATATGCTATTTTATACAGGTGACACAAAATAGCTGAAAATACATCAATATAAACAAATTCATAAATTCAATGTGTATAAAAAGAAAACATAATTTAAAAGTGGGCATGCATGAAAATTAATACTTTACACTCTGATACAGTGCAGTGTTATTTTTTTAATATTCTGAGTTTCGTTACATAACACCTTTTCTATATTTAAACCTGTGATTAGCCATTAGAACCTAGTACTCATTAAGTTTACAGAAACCAACCAGAGGTTTCTGATGAGACTGTAGCTCTACCAGTTTGTGCTTACATGTTTAATAAAGGAAGAGACAAATAGCATCTGTACTAGAAATTTAGTAGTAGCTATGGCACTATCAAAATGGTAGGCAGAGTAGCAATTTTTAAAAGAATTTCAAGGCAACTTTTATTTTTAGTAACCATTGCAACATTGTTCATTAAAATCAAAATACTATAGAAAGAATTACACATCTTTTTGTACTTGTATACTAAAGAATGGGAGGAATTAACTGGCCAGAAAAAATGCCGTAAATTAAAGTTTCATAAAATGATTATTTCTTTCCATCATATAAATCCCCGATATCTTAACCGTGAATTCATGGTACAGATGTGAATTTAAAACGCTCTTTTCGAGGTAAACTAAATAAATATCGAAGGCATGGTGCCTGAAGATTTCTTGAATATCAATAGATAATCAGGGTCACGCGTTTTTCATCGTCTGAATACATAGTCAGCGCATGTTTGTCGGCTGTTCTTAAGAAAACTGTAGTTGTATATTGAACAAAATAATGTCATATTAAAAGGAGAAGAGCCGACAAACGTGCGCTCACACTTAATTTAACAAAAAACATGTTCAAAACAATGTTCTCGTTTCCATTGTTATGATTGAGTTAACCTTGATTTAACTTCGATTGACCGTTAAATATTACAATTCATCACGTGATGTCCACCTGTGAGTGTACTCGTGAAAACAGTTACATTGTATTCTTCAACCTGACTCATTCTAAATCACATCTTTGAGCGTGTTTGGTTGCCGTTTTCAGAATTTAGCAAATTATATGTTGTTTTAATTTTGCGTGTCCACACATTTTCCTTTTTAATGTCATATTGACATTGCTGTAATATGCCATACACATATTCGAATTTCTGGAGAGAGGGAGAGAGAGAGGGATGTCAACAATGACGCCGATCGATAGCCCCGCCTCCTATTAATATTGATTACGTGACCTAAAAACCACTCCGGGTACATGCCAAATTCCGGAAGACGACACTAATGTATCATTGATTCAATTTTGATTCATGGCAACAGGGCATTGCTTTTGTACAAATGTTCTACCTAATATAACCATGTATACGTAACTCTTTCTATTGCTTGTAATATATTTTGGATTCACTTCATTTACAGCTTGGTAGAGTAGTCGCAAAAAGATCCAAAATAGGGCGATAAGTCCACCCATTCTTTGACTGAAATCAGACAAAAACTGTAGAAGGAGTCATGTTTTGAATTATTACTTAAAGATAGACAACATACATTATTCCTCTGTTTTTTGATCAGTTGAGCTATAACTATAATAAATGCATATAGTATGACATTGTTTTAAACACCTTTGAAGTTATTTCTGTGTAGAGTTGTATCTAATATGTTCAATGGTAGAATGCATCCCAAGTTGCAACATTTATGCTAGATTAGTCAAGTTTTAAAATCACTTGGGAAAAAGCTTATCAATCACCCAGAAAATAAAAATAAATGCAGAATCATGCAAAATCATGATTGATAGTATGATCCTTTGATAGTCTGATTAATATAGGAATTATACCTACTTGGGAATAATATTGCCAAAAAAAAAAAAATTAAACCTGATCACTCATCCATAAAATTTTAGACACTTGCAGCATTTGAAATCTTCATGTTCAACTTAGCATGATCATTCCACAAGGGAACTAAATTTTCAAAACTCAAATTTAGAAAATCCTTTGTTTTCATAACAAAACATAAAATATTGAGACCTGTGGAATCTTGAGGCAGAGATGTTTTCTTTGCATATCTACATGACATTTCTACAAAATATATTGGTTATTGCTACATGTACCACTAAATACGTAGGAGTTGAACTGATGACATGCTCAATTTTCCTATTTTCAAACCATGCACTCTAAACCCCCTGCAACTGAAATCAAAATCCCAAACCCTTGCTGCACATTACATGACATGGGCAATCATACGCAGACTTCTTTTTTTTAATTCCTCTAAAAATGAAGTAGGAGTTGTGATGACAAGAAAGTGTGACAAATGGCCAGGGATAGCAGGGATATGAAAGAACTCTGTATCTGTAGTCAGACTTGGTATACTTTACCATGTTTTGTTAATATTTATGCATCATTTCATATCAAACATTCCAAATTTCATTTATCATAAAATTAACACTTATCAGATTTTAGATGATTTTAAATTAAAAGTCAACAATGATAAGTAAAAAGCACTGTAAATACACCCAGCAAATAAGTTCTTTGTCTTCTGATCAATCAATTTTCAGGTCTACATTCATGATTTCCTTATTTAGAAGTCAAGATCAATGACAGAAAATGACAAGAAATAAACACTCTATACAAGTGAAAGGTTTTCTGGCTAATCAAAAAAAAAAAAAAACCAAAACAAAACATTTAAAACACCCACTAAGCATATGTTCCCAATAAAGAATTTTTGGACACAGAAACTCTAAAAATGAAAGGAATATTTTGAAATAGTTAAGTATTTCCCACAGAACAAATATACTTTTCTATGCTAAATAATAATAAGGTATAAACATCATAGGGATGTGTTAATTTTGTGATTTATGAGGTGATAACTGATACGGAAGCACATAATGACTTTTTACAGCAGCTTCACCACCAAGACTTATCATAAGCTCTCTCATCAGTTATCACCCTCATATACATCAATGAATATTCATTGTACCGGTATTTATATTTTGTCTCACATTACCTAGAACCCTATCTCTGGTTTAAACTTGTGTATAAAGGAGACTGAAAATTACCACTCAGTGCATATATACTTAAGATGGAACTTACACATTTGATCCTGGTATATGTGTGGGAAATGTTGGATTATTTATACACAGTACATCTCTCTTTAAAGATTTAATTAATGCTTTTCTTGAAAAAAAAAGGGGGAGGCAAATTTCAAAACCAGATTTTCTAAATTTTTTATACATATATTTCTGTGTTGGGGCCAACAATAAAAAATTCATCTGTTTGATGCACTCTCCAACTGACCCATCAAAATCACCCCCACCTGTTCATTTTTTTTCAGTACTTTAAAATTCTTTTTTTTTCTTTTTTCTTTTTCTTAAGAAAATACAGATTGTCTATATCATTTTTAAAGTTAATGTTTTCTCATTAAATTTGTCTAGCTGTCTAGTGTATACATTGAAATGAAAATATAAATAAATTTGTAAGTCTGAGTTTACTGACGATTATCAATGTGTTAGATGATACCTTCCTACCTTGAAAAATATGGGTTGACATACATAAAACAAAATTTTTTTAATGATGGCCTGGTGTGGAAAATCCTCTCTGTCTGGGTATATAAAAAAAAATGTTTTCTAATTGGTCAGACTTATTTATGAAGTGTATTTACAGCAATTTCAGTTATTGATCTTGTCTCTCCCCCATCCCCCCCCCCCCCCCCCAAAGTCTAAAAACTGAATTTAAATTTAGTTCACATAAACTGGAAACATACTATGAAGTGAAAAAAGTCTCATTTCAACTGAAATATTTGTACTACAATGTTGAATGCATGTGCATGTGAGTGGTGAAGTAAACAGATTTGTAGTAATGAACAGAGTTCACAAGGTCAGATGACTACCAGGTGATAATATGTGTGTACTGGTTCATGTATGTGTGACTGAATTATACATTATACAGAAATGTGTCATTTGCATGCATTTTACCCAAATGAAATTTTCAGCTCTTATCACACATCTTCTCAGGGATTGCTTTATATATATGGAGGCCAGAACACCACAAGAGGGTCAGACTAGCATCTATTAACTTGCCTTAATAAACAGATATCTAGCAGTTATAAGGACTTGCCTCAGTGTCAAGACTGTCAACAGGATGGGCTGGACTGTGAGCAAAGTTTCACTTTGTTTTAATTTATGATAACAAGATATGGTTTAACTTAAAAGTTTATGTACATGTTACTGTACTAATATCAATACTTACCGGAAACAAAAAGTAAATCAAATATATTAAAATCAAATATAAATGATGAGAATAAAAATGTGCTGCTTATACTGTTGTTAAAAATGAAGGAAATGAATGTTAGTATTTAAAAACATAAAAAAAACCCCAGAAATTACGAGATGCGATAACATTACTGAAACTGAGATATATATTAACAGTTATGAACTGTTATAGGTAAGAATTAAGACCCTTGAGAAGTTTGCTTTTTTTCTTGGTTTTGTACTCACTTTTTGCCATATTTAATGTGAATGATGAGAAAAATGACACCCAGAAGTACACACAGACATCCTGTCACAATGTAGGCTATTCCAAGGAAGGGATTCTTCCCTCCAAGCCAGGAGGTGTTTGTTAAGATGATGGATTTTTTCCCATCAAAGGAGGTCACTGGATAAGCTGAAAAAGATTAAAACATTTCAAACATTTCCACCAGTGCATTGCATAGCTTTTAGTGATAAATATCAAATACTTTTCTTTTTAATATATCAGTGATATTTTATGTACATGTACTATGCTTATGAAAATGCAACATTTTCTCCTTAATCCTGATCAAAGATCAAATGCTATATACCCCGTATAAAATTTAAGTATAATCAACACGAAGTGATTTCACAATATTGACTCCTTCATAAAAAAGCACACGTCTATAAAAATAATTTGCACATTGCTAAAGACTGTGTACCATATTCTATTTGAAGTTTGTAGCTTCCTTTTGGTAGACCAGTTTTAAATGTTCCATCATGGTTGATTTTTCGGTAGAGTTTGCGGAAGTTCGGAAGAGCAGCTGTTCTCATCCACACAATTAGATCTTCGTTGATGTAGCCATTGTTGTTGGCCTCAGTGCTCAAGTTGTAGACATACTTATCATTCCAGTTTGGTGGATTAGTAAACCCAGCCCAGCCTACAGAAAGAATTCATAAAACTTCGAAAGCAGATAACATAAACATTACATAAATCAAAAGACCAACAGTATGCCTATACAATACATCAATAAATATGATGTTTATTTTAACAAGAAATTCCAAATCTAAGAGGGTTTTTTTTCTATCTATATGTAGATTGTGCCTACTATGTATGAATACAAATACTGGAGTTTTAAACAAAGATAATTAAAAATTACAAATCACACCTCTACGAATGTTATCTATAAGTTAGACTGAGTCTCAAACTAAACATCTGCTCCTTAGACACATCTACACAAGTTTAGTCCAGGTAGGAGCTATAGATACATGAATGGACCTGCTCCAAACACAATTTTGGGCTAGGTAGGGCTTATAAAGACCTAGGAATTGATCTGCTCCTAAAACATTAACTGGTCACTCATCCAGAAAATGTACGTCAGATCCAATATCTGAAGCATGTCAGGTAGTGTGCATCCCTCGATGCATCATCCATGCAAGTTTGGTCTAGGTAGGACTTATACATGTACTTACACTTGGGAATTGACTTGCTCCTAAAACTTAAACCAGGACACAAATGCGAACTCCAATGCCAGGGTATAGCATAAGTTTGTCTCGACTTTGTCGAGGTGAGCTAAAAATTATAGGATTTTCTGACAATGAAGCGTGATACATGGATGGGTAGACAGGTATAACTCAACTTTCTTAAGGATATGTGTAAGAGTTTATGCACATTTTCTTCACTTACTTGCAGGGTTGTTAAATTTATCCTGTTTGTCTGAGAACCAGGCAATTCCTGTTGCTATTAGGCTTATATTTTCATTATTATTGTAATTTATGCTGATGGAGTCTGGAAAATAATTGTAAATTCTTAAATATATAGTACATAAATAATAAAAAAAATCTAATTATTCAAATTCTCTGATAAAATGATTCAGGGTTCTCCACAAGGGGTTTTACCATGGCGGCCCGCCATGGTTAAATTTATGTGCGCCATGGTTAAACGAGCTGCGGCATGGTTAAAATCGGCGGCCGCCGCGCCATGGTTAAATTTTTATTGCATTTTAGTATTTACACCTACTTTTTAATGACTTGAGTAGTTAATTGTGTTTATACTACGACTGCCATGCATCTGGCATGCCTCAAGGGAAAGCGGACTGTGCTAAACAAACATCGTCGCTGATCGGCGACTATGCTGTGAATGTGAAGCGTGACAATGGAGGGTCAATAAGCTGAAGATCAATATCTTGAGAATTAATTATCCTGTACTGTACATGTAGTACACAAACATGTAATTTCGGGAAATTCCAACGTGTTCACTATATGATAACAGATCATAATGAGCAGTAGGTGTGCCCAGAAAAAATGAGCGATTAATTCCTCATGCTTTGTTTTTAAGTATTAACTTTATTATCTTTCTGATAAAATGTAGGCCTACGTAAGTGCCAATCGTCGTCTTAGTTTTAGAGTTACCTCCCGTTTTTATGAAACTTCGCGTGGCGCTATTTTTAGCACGGGCACGTGGAGGAATAAACAATGGCAGCGAAAATGCAATATGTAGAAAAAATAACGTTAAGAAAAAGACATAATAGTGAAAACAAAATTACAGTAATGCAAATTAATACCCCTGGTTATACTAAGTTACTTTTACCATGTATGCCACCAGTAAGTTTTCATACTCTATCATGCAGTTAAAATATAAAAAGCTTAGGCATTAGTAGGATGTCGGCTTTCGTTTGTTTGTGTGTCTTTTAACTTTTTTTTAAAAGTACTACCAATTCATCAGTTTTAGTCATATTTAAATAAAACGTTTTATATAACAGGCAACATCAATTCTGTATATCAGTTTTTGAAAACTGTTGCCATGGTTACTCTATCAAAATATTATTTTGAAATTCCTTCAAAATGTTCCTACAGTTTTGGACAATTTTGGTACATTTGTAGAGTAATTAAGATACATAATCCTTTTTTATTTTTAATTTTTTAGCTTAAAAAATTATTGGTTATTTCAACTTTTTGTGCTGCAGTGGTTAAGTTTTGTGAATTAACCAATCATTGATTAATGAAGGTTAGGAAGTCTAACATGCATTCGTGTTTTTGGTCGCATTGCGCCTTCGAGCAGCTTCCTCCATGGTTAAATTTTCAAATGTGGAGAACCCTGTGATTATTTTCTTTCAACACACAATTACAAGATATACACGACAAGAAAACATGGAAAAATTTACTGCATTTTTATAGATTTAAATCAATGATAAATGAGAATCCTTGTCAAATAATTAAAGAATTAAAATATCCTGATTAAGACAGAAAGTTGGAAAAAAAAAAGAGGAAGATTAAAGTTTAAAATCATAAAAACATCTGCCCTGTTTTCATATTATTTCATACCATTAAAGAGGCTGTTAGCAATAGCTCCACAGGGTGCTATGGGTAATGTCTCGCTGGAGCTGATGGACTTAGTTCTATAAGGTTCACAGTCCGAGTTCAGAGAACTTGCTGTTACTGCATCCCCGTGTATTTGGTTGTCATCGCGTGACCTTACGTAACGTCTATGGTTTTGGTAATAGTTGGATAATCCATAGTACATGTATACATCTTTCTGCAAAACAGAGTACATGTATATCCTATTTGAAGACTTGTTCCATTTATGTGTGAAAATACATGTGCAACTATTTTTCTTGACACTTTGTCAGTTGATGTTAATACTATAAATTGAACATCTCAAACATTAATAATTTTCTTCCTGATATGGGTGTGAAAACAATGGAGAATACTTATACAATATTGATTTGCATCAAGGTTAAAAACATACTGGAAAATCTTCATCAAGTGTAAAGGTGACTTCACAGTAACAAACATGTCCTGATACATTGGTTCCCAGAGATTCCAGCTTTGATGCACAGGTTGTAGTGTTGTCATATTTGTCATAACAAAATGTGTAGTCCATCACCTTCTCCATAACCTATAATATCAAATTGCTGATTATAAAGACACATGTATTATTTTCACTAATCTTAACAGGGGGCAGGTAGTGGTTATGTGTGCTGATAAAGCAAAGATATATTAAAAAGTAAAAGTAAATTAGTCTTTTTGAATTGTCATCTTTTCCAAATATTGAAACAGGACTTTTAATTTCCTTCACATTAGATGTTCAGTCTGTCAAGTTTCATGTAATTGTTCATCAAACTAATGTTTGAAGTTAATGAATGATGTCCTGCATGTTTTTTTCACATCTTAATCTATTTAATATGCACAAACATTTCTGGATATGTATCAATATTTGGTTAAAATATTTACTGCATATTGTTTGGTAAAAAGTTAGAGTTATCTTTTAGAAGAATAATGTCATCTTTTAACTAGAGTCCTGGTTGTGACTAGACTTCCACCTGTTGGTTACAACTTGACATTTTTGGTTCAAGTTGAGATTTATGAGTCCACCTGACACCTACTTAACCTAAAAATGCAACACACCTGTGATAACTCCTCTTTTTAAAGTCAAAATTGTACTTACTCCATTTGAAGTTACCAGGAGTGCTATTCCAAGAGGAATAAATGCAATCCCAATGGCAAAGAAGGCAGGCAGGACTGTTCCAGCTGTCAGGATGGGCTGCCATGCTGGTAACTTCTGTTGTTTAAACTTCGTGTCTACATCCAAAACAATAAAAAAAATAATGTCTATATCCAAAAACAAATAAAAACATAACTTTATAAAATGCTATTTAACATGTGAGACAATACGTCTTACCACATTTTTGTGTAGTAAATTCATATATATCCCTTTGCAAATATACATTTATTAACTGGGATTGAGGGCAAGATGCGTTTCATCGGACCCAAGAACAAAATTGTTTACCTGGGGCTATTAGGCTAAAGGCAAACAATTTGGTTCGAAGGGTTGACAAAACACATTTTGCCCAAGAACACAGCCAATAAATGTTTTGTTATACCTTTTACTCTTTATTTTGACATATGTTGTGCTGGCTTCCATGTTTGCAATAATTGATAAGATATAGCTGATTCCGCCTACAGTGTGATGTAAAAAAAATCATAGCCGTCCACAATCAGGTATCAGGTCCAAATATTCACTCAGTGGTCCAACATCATTTTTTTGGACGGTTCAAAAAAACATTTGAAATATTAGACTTTTTTAACTATAGATTTATAGAGGAAACACCTTTTAGGGTATAACAAAATATTTTGACTCAGTTTATTGAGAGAATTGGTATTCTTTGGTTAAATTGATACTGGACTAAATATACCCAATCTTAATTGTAACACCTTTTAGCTCCTTTTCCTTTTCTTGTTGTTTTCCCCTAGAAAACATCACTGTCATATATTTGTTTCTACAATGGTTATCCATGTTGTAGGATAAATGTGATGGAAAATGGTGGGGGTTTGGGTTTGTTCTATCTTGTGTTTTACTGATGTTACGTGTCCTAGATCTGTATCTCTCCATGCAAAAATGTCTCTATTTCTAAGTATCATCTCTTTGGCTACTGTAATTTCATCCTCTGTTAAATTATCCTCTGCAATATTTAACACCTCTTTCTCTATTGTAATTTCTGCTATTGGTTGCTCTGGTAATCCCTGTATAGTGACTAACTGTATTTCAGCTATGATGGAATTAGGCTGAATTCTCACTGTTCTTGTTGTTACATTGCTGACTGCTACTGCAACTGGTTCTCGAGTCTGATAATCAAAGTCTATAAATACTTTCCAAAGACAAACCATGTTTATTTGTTCAAAGCCTTTATCCAGGAGATACAAGAGTTAGATAGAATGATCTGTTGTGAAATTGGTATTGATAGACCCGGTGTAATGTGATGGCTTGCCCCCTGACACAGCTTATTCTAATACACGTGTAAGTATATCAACATTACACCCTCAACTCACACGACAACGCATTTTACATGCAACGTGCACTAAATGTCAAGTGTTAAAATGACACAGTCTGAATATTACGATTTACATTTGATGAAAAATTCAATTACATTAAAAATTCTTTACATTCAATAATTGATCGAGTGTTACATTGTTTACATTCAGCCATAGCTACCACTTTACTCTTTCTGTTTTTCAAATGGGTCAAGTGAATTAGAACATATTTCTGGTTATTTCATAGGTATGTACATGTTCAAATTTTAATCAGATTCTTCTAAAACCTCACCTTTCGGCTTTCTGCTTGTTTCTTTCTCCTCAGACTGACTGCCTGGTGTACAGATCGCCATTACGGAAGTTTTTGAGCAAATAACGCCACCTGTCGAGTTTCATGTAGAAGGGGGAGTGAACTCTCAGCGGTTCCCTATCTGTTCGACCCCTGGGTAATCGTCGATTCTTTATCATTTTTAAATATAGCATATATACGGGACTTTATCAAATCATTTTTTGTGTGAAATAAATAATATTCATTGTAAAAATAACGGAATTGCTCTAATACTTCTTAAATGTGCTGCAGGCCCGTAGGCACAGCCAATCTCCAACTTAATTGTTAAAAAATATATATCTACTATACTATAAACGTAACAAGCTTGTTATGTTTATAGTATAGTAGATATATATTTTTTTAACAATTAACCTGGGGAATGCCTATGCCTGTAGGAAGCAATTTCATTTTGAAGGGGGCACAATCATACATTTTAAGTTGGGGGGGGGGGGAGGGGCACTATCAATTACCAATAATTCCTTGACAAGCAACATTAAAGTTTTTAAAATGTAGGTCAAACTCTAAGGTCAAGGTCAAGAGTTTCTGTTATTTAAATGCGGAGTCAGTAAATAAATCGGTTATTGTTTTAAGGTCAGACAATACGATCCTCAAATATCTGTTTTGTATATCTTCATATTGTATGGAAAATATTAAAAAAAATTAAATACTTTCTGATTTCTAAACTGGTTTCTAATTGTCTTTAAAAAATTGAAACACTAAAAAATGTGATATTGGCAAATTAAGTTTTTTCCAAAAGGATTTTATAGGAAAAATCATCCTCCGGTATCTTGCACAAATGCCTGGTAAGGTACCTCAATTTTTTGTGAGTAAACATAGTAAAGTAGCAATACTTCAATGACAAAATTTAGAAAAAATTATATATTACTGAGGAACATATCGTCTGCCCTTAAATTTCTAATATCTTTGAAACGTAATTGATTCAAATTGTGTAATTTACAGGAAAGCCCTATCTTTATATAAAGTAATAAAATAAATAAAAAGTTCTTTTTAACTTTAGTAAGTCTGAACTTATAAATAATACGCCATATATGACTTTAAAAACACTAATCATTTTAAAAAAAAATGGCCAAGGTTAGTTTTCCAAAATTTAGGTCATACTCCAAGGTCAATGTCATGAGGTCAAAAAATAATGGTACCAAAGGAAAGGTCTTGTCACAAGGAATGCATAAGTGAAATATGAAAGCCCTAGCAGCAACTGTTCAAATGTTAAAAGCAAGATTATTTTTTTTCAAATGTAGGTCAAACTCCAAGGTCATGAGGTCAAAAATGTTGGTACCAAAAGAAAACATTTATCACAGAGAATACACAGGTGATATATAAAAGTCCTAGCCCTTACTGTTCAAAAGTTATGGCCATGGTTACAGTATTTCAAAAACTCAAAGGTCAAGGTTGAAAAGGTGAAAAATGTTGGTACCCAAAGAAAGGTCTGGACACATTGAATACACATGTGAAAGATAAAAGCCCTAGCCCTAACCGTTCATAAAGCTATGGCCTAGGTTAAAGTTTGGCATAGTTTGTGAAAGTAAGCCAAACTCTGAGTCAAGGTCAAGATTCTAACATGTTTTTACCCAAAGAAAGGTCTTGTCACAAGAAATACTTATGTGAAATATGAAAGTCCTGGCACCAACAATTCAAAAGTTATTGGCAAGGTTAAAGTTTTTGCAGACAACAGATTAACAGACAGATTTCCTCAAAACAAGTCAAATTGTTGCCATTGGACCCCTGACAAAGTTCATTCATTTTCTCTCACTGAGAAGCACCAATCAAATTGAAGTAGATGGATAATGCAAACAGAAAGGAATTTGTTAACACTTAAAATGCATGTGTTACACCATTGTTTATCACTGAAAGGTTTAATTATTGTGATTGGTTGAGAGACAGGAAAAACAATCAAGATTTGCAATTTTCCCAAAAGACATCGCTGCAGTCAGCCTGTAAGATATCGAAAGAAATTTTTCTTTTCTGGGGTCCCACAGCAACACCCCTGAAGTTGTGAGAATGTCAAACAGATTAACAGACAGATAGATCAACAAGAGGCCCAAGGGCCACATCACTCACCTGAGCACTGTGGCTAGGAAAAAAGGAAAAATCAGTTTAGTATTGAAAAGCTTAAATGCATAAGTGGTCCCAACCTACCCCTAAAAAGGGAGTGGGGGGGGGGGGGGTCATGATTTGAACAGACTTGAATCTACACTATCTGAGGATGCTTCCGTATAAATATGACAAACCGTGGCTTTGCTGTTCTTGAGATTTTTAAAGATTTTTCCTATATATTCCTATGTAAAACTTTGATCGTTCATTGTGGCCCCACCCTACCCCTGGGGGTCATGATTTGAGCAAACTTGAATCTATACCACCTGAGGATGCTTCCACATAAATATGACCAATCATAGCTTTGCTGTTCTTGAGAAGAAGATTTTTCCTATATACCGTAAGTTTTGGGGTATATGTCGATGGGGTATATAGGTCGAAAGGCTCATTTTCAGCCATAATTTTTAAAAAATCCTTGGATAGGACGATTTGGAAGATAGGACGAGGCTTTGTTTATCGACTTTCTAGAGATTCTTACGTAGAAACTACGTATCAGAACATGTAAAGGTCTTTAACTTAACCCCTGATATTAACGTATGAAGAAAATAAACTGGTATTTTTATGAGTACAGCATTTTAATAGTGTTTTACACAAACATAGTTAAAACTTCCATGAATTGTGATATAATGCATTTTCTCCAACTTGCCTGTTCAACGCCGTCGTTGTTTGACTCCGTCGTTAAACACATAAATACGGTAGTATACAACAGCTATAATTAGGGAAATACCCGAAATCAAACAATAATCATTTCCATTTTAGAACATCGTGGACACATTCTTTTATTCCAACATTATTTACCGGGGTACAATATTAAGTGCGATGACCGCCATTTTTATATTTCTTGTTCAGGGATTTGCTAAAACACGCAAATGACTATTACATGTAACAGTGAGCAATTGAAATTAATCATATTAACATGCTATAATTTGCTTGAGATATTGTTGTAAAAAAATTAATTTAATTGAGAGTACATTCGCAATTTAACAGTCATCAGGAATTTTCACAGTTTTGTTTGTTCAATGATGTATAGCACTAATACCCCTGTGACGGCACGTGGATCTGTTAATCATGCCCCGCAGGTGTTTAAACCAACAGGTGTTAACACCTTTGTGTACACAGTGTATATTCCTCTATCTGTCAGACAATTAAAATTCTATTAGAAGCCAATCTTTGTATAATTCGGTGTACCCCTTGGGATAAAACAAAATAGTTATGACTAACGGTATATTCGGTAAATGATTTTAGGAATTTACCGGCAACAGTTTATTTCACACATTTTACATTTAAATAAATATCACAAGACAATGAAAAAATATTTAGGTATACTATTTCAATTAATCGTTACAAATAAATGGTAATAAAAAAAAATTCAATTGCGATTGTGAAAACTCCTCCGTATTTTAAACTTTGATCATGTTGATACGGTTGCGGTTTTATTTTTAGTAAACGATTGCGACTTCCAACTTCACAAGATGGACACAGCATGTTGTAAATATACTTTGAGACATTATTGACGATATAATAAGTTTTTTTGTACATCGACGGATATTTAATGGAACTTATTTTGTAAGATATCAATGGAATAAATATTTAATTCTTTATTGTTTATTATTTTTTTCTCGGTAAAGTAATTTTTAAAAAAATACGAAAATGGCACAGATTTGCTTTAAAATTGACGTAAATGGTACTGATTTTGGTGCATTTTTCGTAAACTTGGGCCTTAGATAGGTCGATTCGTTAAATAGGACGATCCCAGCGGTTCTGAGAAAAAAAGTATCGTCCTATCTTCCAAAACTTACGGTATTCCTATGTAAAACTTTGATCATCCATTGTGGCCCCATCCTACCCCCGGGGGTCATAATTTGAACAAACTTGAATCTACACCACCTGAGGATGCTTCCACATAAATATGACCAATCATAGCTTTGCTGTTCTTGAGAAGAAGATTTTTGAAGATTTTTCCTATGTACACCTATGTTAAACATTGATCGTCCATTTTGGGCCCACCCTACCCCTGGGGGTCATGGTTTGAACAAACTTGAATCTACACCACCTGAGGATGCTTCCACATAAATATGACCAATCATAGCTTTGATGTTCTTGAGAAGAAGATTTTTCCTATGTATTCCTATGTAAAACTTTGATCGTCCATTGTGGCCCCACCCTACCCCCAGGGGTCATGATTTGTACAAACTTGAATCTACACCACCTGAGGATGCTTCCATATAAATACGACCAATCATATCTTTGCTGTTCTTGAGAAGATGATTTTTGAAGATTTTTCCTATGTACACCTATGTAAAACTTTGATCGTCCAATGTGGCCCCATCCTACCCCCGGGGGTCATGATTTGTACAAACTTGAATCTACACCACCTGAGGATGCTTCCAAATAAATATGACCAATCATAGCTTTGCTGTTCTTGAGAAGAAGATTTTTGAAGACTTTTCCTATATATTCCTATGTAAAACTTTGATCGTCCATTGTGGCCCCACCCTATCCCCGGGGGTCATGGTTTGAACAAACTTGAATCTACACTACCTGACAATAATTCCACATGAGTTTCATCTTTCCTGGCCCACTGGTTCTTGAGAAGAAGATTTTTCAATAATGCCATTAAATTTTTGCTATTTCATAATTATCTCCCCTTGGAGGAGGGCATGGCCCTTCATTTGAACAAACTTGAAACCCCTTCACCCAAGGATACTTTGTGCCAAGTTTGATTGAAATTGGCCCAGTAGTTCTGGAGAAGAAGATGAAAATGTGAAAAGTTTACGACAACAACGACGCCGACTACAGACAACGGACAAATTTTAATCAGAAAAGCTCACTTGAGCCTTCGGTTCAGGTGAGCTAAAAACTATATGCTCCCAAATCTTCGATTACAGGGCAAAAAATATATATTGATGTATATTATGTAAAGATGCTTCTTAAAATGTTTTGTACAAATTTGAACTGCTATTGTGCCAGTGGTACTATTCTTACACAAAATGGCAATCAACACTATACAATGTACAAACAAATCGTTTACATTTCCATTGTCATTTACCAAGTCATTTGTTCCAAAGGACACTTGATAATAATTCCTACAACCTTTTCTTGCAAGGGATACCTGAATGATACCGCATGATGCCATGGCTTTTGCCAGCTTAAACTAGTATTTATGCTTAACAAAAATCTTATAAACATATTTATTTCTCGAAAGATCACCATGTAATTCATGTACAAAAAAATATGTACAATAATTTTATTTACAAATAAATATTCCAAAATGGTAGAAAATAAATAATTGATTTTTTCATTCAATGTATTACTGTCCTGGTGCAAAAACCATCTTCTTCTGGCATCAACCTCTTTCACAGATAAGCTCAATAACCTGTAATTACAAAAGAAACAATGACATGCACATATATCTTAATGCCATGAATGGTCTACAGTTGAACTTCATTATCTCAAATACCAATATCTTGAATACCATGCATATGTCAAATGAGTTGGCAGTCCCAACCACTTATTCTGTATGTTTTTTTTTTTACCTGTGATATCTTGAATCCTCTGATATCTTGAAGTTTAATCTTGGTCCCAAGTTCAAGATAATGAGGTTTGACTTTATTTATATTAAGAATTTTTTTAAAAAAAGTATCAAAAGGGTTTTCAAGTGTCAAATTACAGATTTAAGAATTTCTCACATTATCTTTTTATATATTAGAGAGTTTTAAGACATCACTCAATTCTATCACTCTGGTGATTATTTTCATCATACATTGCAGCATTTAAATGCTAAAAATCAAAATATTCATATATAACTACCCTGAATTCAAGCTACAAACCTGTCAAAAATATTTAGAGCAAATACACTATCATTACTGAAGCAAATTTACTAGCGCCATACAAACAGAAGATATTGAGGTTTCTATGGCACAAGTAATCAGAACTAAACAATATACAGTCAAACCTTGTTATCTCAAATTCATTGGGACCAAGAAAAAACTTCGAGATATCCAAGAATTCAAGATATTAAGGGTAAAATTTATGTACTTAAAGAATAAGTGTTGGGACTTCCAAATTGTTTCGACATATCCATGGTATTCAAGATATCGGTGTTTGAGATACTGAAGTTCAACTGTACATGTACTAGTTATACTAGACCCTTCATCAAAGCATAAATATTGCCAGTTTGTCTATTATTATTTACAACATGTATTACAAGCAGGGAGAGAAGTATTTCAAAGAAATTCAGCAACAAGGAACCAGAGTAGTTTGAATGGAGTAATTAACTTATAAGAAACGAGGATGGTTTTAGGGTTGTTTGTCTGATCTAACACTTACGCTGGGTTCCATCATGGAGGGGTCGAGACATCTGTGTACTGTACTACACACTATCTCCTCCAGTAGAACTTGTACCAAACTGAAACAAAACATGAACTATATCTTAGTTAATTCAGATAAAGAGTACTGTAGTATTTCTTTTTTTTTTTTTGCCAAATATCTATATTCCTTTAAGTTAAATTGACTTTTCTTTCATAAATTTAAGTGAGTGAAGTCTTACTTTTCATCTGACACAAATCTCCACAGATAAAGCTGTAGATAATGTGTGTCCACTTGTATCTGTTGTAGACCATAGCGACCAAATGTTCTCAGCCTCACACATTCCAAGAATGTCTTGTTAAAAAAAAATACAAGTTGTGATATCATTCACATGCTTGTGTACATGTAGTTCATGGTCAATAATCAATGTTTTCAATATATAAAATAAAAGGAGATGTCACAAAATTTTGAAAACTTTCTTTCCAGATAAAAATCTACATGAAATGATCAATCTCAAACTTTCAGTAAACTAACACTGTCACTATTGTACAATTTCTAGAATGAAGATAACAATTAATTTGTTCCCTTGATAAAAACATACAGCTTAGACTATTAGAAATATAGAAATGACATTAGATGAAAGTGAAATAATATGTTTAAATATTGTTTCAAGGTACAAATCTGTATTACATGTATTTTCTTGTACTGTTAGATACCTTTAAACTGATTTTGATGATTCCAGTTAAAACAGAGACTTTGGAGAAATCCACAGCACTGAATATCTCAATCTTCTCAGAAAACAATTTCTGAATGTTGCTCATTAAACTGTTGTCAGTGATGCTGAAAACACATTCAATTTTATACTGAGTATGCAATACATCTCAGTGCATGGCTTTATATATAAAATTTTGTTACTAAATGCAGATACAGTACCTTAACATCTTAATAAACATAAAAAAAATCTTCATATGTACATTTGATGTGCATTTTTCATTTGAAAAAATTGTTGAAAGCTCAGCATTTATAATACCATAACTCAAACCAGGAGATCAAAAGCTGAATGATTTTTCATTAGGATTTCACAAATGTTGAACGCTGTACTAGTGCAATGTCATTAGTGAAATAAAAATTCATCCTCAGGTTAAATTGTAATGGTTGCTCCTTCAATTTAGCTACACAAGTACAGTGTGTTTTATCTAAACAGGCATAATTTATTCAAAGAAGCAATATTTTATTAATTTACCATGAAATCAATAAATACAAGCATTGATTTTTGATGTTCATCATGTCACAACATAGACAGCTGTGCAGACAAATTTTCCTCATGAGCTTAGGAACTTTATTCAATTTGTCAGCACAGCTATCTATGAACATCAAATATGTATATTCAAAGCTAAATACAAATATTTTGAAATTCAATACCAAATGTGTTTCAGAAAACAATCCTTATGCCTACACAAACTAGAACAAAAGTCATCACTGCATGAACATGGGTACACACTTACATTTCTTCAGACAGACACGATTCAATTTTAGCAATCTCTTCTAACCATGAGTCTGTTTCCTTACCTGGGAGCAATGTTCCACTGACCCTTCCTCTGTGCGGCTGACACACTGTAACTCTGCGGATGAGTACGGCGACTGGAATCACTACTACGCTCCTTCCGCGCTCCTTCCTCGTAGAGTTGTCCCACCTGTGTGTCTATAGCACTTATGTCCTCAATGACCCGTTTCATCACAGCTCTCACATTACGTGGCTCAATGGTGTTCAGCCAGTCCCTAGTCTCAACACTCTTACGCAGCATCTAAAAAATATTTTCTGATTCAAAAATGTTTTACAGAGGTATCATTTTTTCAATTACACGTAAATGTGACGATAAGGGGTGCAACGATACACCAACCTCACGATACGATACATATCACAGTATTCAGTTGACGATACGATACGTATCATGATACACGACAAGGTTAAGAAGTCTTTCAAGTTTGTCATCATATTTTTTAATACTCGACAAGGTTATATCAAATGTTCATATTTTTTGATAATTAAAATATCAATTTGTTAACTTTATTTGGATTGATAGGTAGATCTTTGAGTTGTAACAATATTCTAAACCAGTGAAGAACATTTACATGGAACTATGGTAGCCTGGATTTAAAGTTCAGATATGACTTATTTATAAAAGGGGGCCTTTCCTCCAGTCTGATTAAAATCAAACCTTCACTAGCTCCTTTTTATTTTGATTATCTCGTGACAATCAAAATGAAAAGGAGCTAGTGGAGGTTTGATTTTAATCAGACTACTTTTCCTCATAATCTTCCTTTTAAACTGGAATTAAAAAGGAAGACATTCATTCTTTTATTCCTTTTATTTATCTAGAAAATCAGTTGTCATATTTCTTGGGTAATCAGAGGCCTGTTCAACAGAGCGAGCACTTGCGAACATTTCTGTTGGAGGGATAAGGAATTTTGGTGAGCGCTCGCAAACATTCGCTCTATTGAACAGGCCTCTGGTTCTAGTCCACAAGTTGGAAATACACGCTTGATGAGATACCATGTATTACCATAGAATACTTTTAGATCTAAAGGGTTTATCACTTGTCTTAACATCTGTAACTTTTAATCACATTAGGAATGAGATAAAGTCTTTCACCCTTTTAAACCTGAGATGAGTTTAATTGCTGTTACTGCGTTATCGTCGACCTCATGTTTTGCGCGGAAGCCATTTTGAAATTGAAAACGAGGAAACAAAATGGACGATTCGGATAATTCTGGACCGATTGAACTGAACCGTGATGTCAGTTTAGCGCATTGTGAATTGAACCGAGGAAAAATATAACACAATATACCGTCAAACGGTTTATCGTTGCACTCTTAAATAAGATTATAGGGTAAATTGCAACACTATACAATACCTGTGACATAGACAGACCCTGTACTTTGACATAGTGATTAAGAAGTTTCTGGGCTGTGTCCTTGGAATGGGTGGTCAGGTCACTGATGGGGGTCACTTTTGTTCTTTCTTCCACCATAAACTGTTCCTCTGTTAGAGTTATCTAGAAGAAAATATCTTACATTTTTTTTTTTTACCAATTTACCAACATACATGTATTTGTATTGCACCATTTGGTATTTTGCATATTTTTACTTTAAAAAAAAACTTTTTATGTTCTAGATAAATCTGTTCAAGTATATACCTGTAATGATGGCAAGTAAGATATACTTAAGCCTTAGCTTATCAGTTTAAGTAATGTAGAGTTAAAACAGAAAAGATATATAATGTAGCATCGTCGCAAGCCACGGGTTTTGTGTCCATCCTATTTGTGGAAATAGAATGGACACAAAACCCGTGGCTTGCGACTATGACAATGTAGTGGACCCATATTATAGAAGAATGTAGCATGACTAACATATAATTTATCTTTACTGGATAAATAAGATTTTTTCTTTAAAGTAAGTCAGGGTGAAGTCTTGCCAGGTACAATCTGGATACGAACCCTTAAGTAAAATAGAGCCTTACCAAGTAAGATATGGTGGATCCCTCAAAATCTAGACACAGGCGAGACAGAATCAGTAGAAGGGTAGGAGGAATAGAACTCTTGTCTCCGCCTCCCTCACAAAACTCCTGCAAATAGAAACATCATTGCTACTAACAATGTCTTTTTATCTCTAAAAGTAAAAGTAATTGACTTTATAGAGTGGGAGAGAATCCCATCTTTGTATGTCCTGCTAATAAGATTAGAAGAGTACAATGCTTGCTTGCATGTACAGCTGTACATATATGTGAAGAAGTCAGTTGATTCTTGTTCTGTACTCTAGAACTACAAGAAATACATTGTTTTTTAAATATACATGTATGTATCAAATGGCTGAGAACAGGCATCATTGGAAATTACCCATGAATGATACAGTACTGTGAATTCCTAATAGATGAGCAGACTAAACATACTTATGTACACTTTCACAAGTCACTCTTTAAGTTACTGTTATCTACATTGTATGCTTTTTCGCTTTTTCGAATTATTTCATTTCTTCAAAATGGCTGACCTCACAGACTGTGTTGATGTGAGTTAAGAAGGCCACTACAAGCCCCTCTCTGACATCATGGGTACAGAATGGTCCCCTGAAGTATGGCTTAGTGGCAAATGTGATGTCCGAAGCAGTGAATGCCTGAAATACAAAAGTTACATGTCTATCACAAGTGGGACAATGGACATCCATACAAGAGCAATAGTAAACTTGTAGCTGTATTATTCAGGTCAGGTAAACAGTTTAATAGTGAAAACAGCAAATCTCTTATAAGGTAAATAATATCAATTACAAGAACATCACATCATGTATGTACATCACTCAAGTATGTACATCACTAAATATATGTAAAGGTATCACTCAATGCACAAAAAAATTCACAAATTAAACACTCATACTGCTTTTTAAATTCTGAAACACAGCAATTTAAAACATCCACAACATTTACCTTCATAAAATTCTGTAAATTGAAGTATACATGTAAAGTGTATACTGGTAAACTGTAAAAATCTCCTTTGAATGTAACAGACCTTATGTGCAGCTAAGCACTAAACATGAAATGTTACTGAATGTTATGATTTTCCTACATTCCATATTGTGACATCTGCCCTTACCTGTAGATTTCCCAGCACTGACTTGATTTGTTCTAATATGGAGGTCTGCATGTTACCAAGGAGTTCATTCAGGTTAGCTCCACCCTCTTTCCCAGCAGTCTTTGGGGCAGCTAAACTCTGTCTGACATCTGTCATACAATCTACAATAGACAGTAGGCAAATTATCAGTTTTCATTTAATAGTTAAAAAAAGTTCAGAATTATTTGTGTAGTATAAATGCACCCAAACTCACAATTTTTTGGAAGAAAACTTTTATGAACTCTATGCATATTTATGAATAATATGGCTTATATAACAATTCTATCATGAACAAACACAACTTGTGACCTTAGAATGATTTCAAAGTGGGATTAAAATCTGTATATGAGATAGCAATTCCAATAGTTTAACTTGCATTAAAAAAATTGATATAAATACGACAATTTTTCAGTTTTTACAGCCTGGCAAGGGGATGTTTTAGCACTGGAGATATGGCAATAACAGTCTTCTTTCCTGTAACAAAATCCTCCAGTTTCTAGTATGCGTGGCAAGGTTATCGTGATAAAAAGCATTCATCTTCATTCCCTGTTTCCTCAGTTTTACACCTTTCCTTATGTCTGTTTAGAGTGTACATGTATTTATAACATGCTGTTCAACTTGCTTCTAAAGACTTTTTGTCACAAAAATTGTTTAGAGGTTCTCTTTTTGTTCTTTTGAAAGTCTGTTTGTGGGTGTGTTAGAATGCTGTTTTATGATTGGTCAGAAAAATATTTGCAAGTATCTGTTGTATGCATGTATTTATACTGTTCAGTTATTGTTCTTGAGTTCCATATATGGAAATTGTCCAGACCTATTTATAGTTGTATGATACAAGATGCAATGTACATGTAAATGCAAAATTTGAGTATGAAAATACAAATAATATACATGGACAATTTTTTTTATATATATCATAAAAATAATTTCAGAACCTGTTAAATATTTACAAAACTAAATGTAAATTTTATCTTAATGATAATCAAATCTCGTCTTTACCAGAAAAGTGTTGTTTGAGGGCCTGTAGATAATACCCCACACGGTCCCTGGCAGCTTTAGAGACAATGTCTGTTCCAGCCCTGCAAATCGTTTCAGAAAAATATAATACATAACCAGTGTATAAACCTGTAGAAAGACTTGTCCAATTATTTAAAATGACCATTATTATGATTAAAAATTCATTCAACATATGTCTGCCCTACTGAAAAGTTATTTATCTTAGATACCCTCTAAATTACACTTGCACATTTAAAGTTCATTTGCGAGTCATTTTTGGATATTTTATATAAAAGGGGGGGTGGGGTTACACATATGTGTATATAATATTTTTTATGTATAACTTAAAGTTTTTAAATGCAAATCAGATCTTTTGAAAAGTTTGCTTCAAGTAAATGTTTTTATACCTGGAGAAATCAGTGTCAGGTAGAAGCTTGTTCATGGCTTGTAACCGACGATGGAATCTGTCCAGTGATCTAACAAGAATTGTGTTGTCCCCTGTCTCCCTCTATAAATTAATAAAATGCAATATGTCTTAAAATAATCAACAAACAACAATTTCAAATATAAAACAACAAATTTTTTACATTTTCTGTGAATCAGTATTTCATATGAAGAAGAAAGTACCTCAAGTTGGATACGTCTTTGAACATATGAAAAATATCTCTCCATTAAATCATTGACAAAATTCACCAACTTCTTCAGTGCTATGGCATCTAAATTTTCACTGTAAAACAAATTTTCAGACATTTCATCCAAATATTTTAAATGTATTTCCATATACAAAGAAAAATTAATGTTTTCTTGTAAAACTTCAATATACATGTATTTATAATGAACTACATTTTTTTTTCTAAGGGATAATTTGAAAATAACTAATGCAGCTTACTCTTCCTGCAGCCTGTTTAGAAACATGTCATTATATGAGGCAATTACAAGGCAGATGTTACTCAGAAAGCCATTACATCCATTGTCCACAAATTCCAAAACATCCTGAAAAATGTCATGTGAAAGATATAAGGATACTTTATCCTGCAACTACCCCTTGTATTGACCTAATAAAGGTAACCTAATAAACCAAAGCTTTATTCGGTCAATGCCCTAATAAAGCCTCGTGCACGTATTCCAACTTTCTAAAAGCATTGTGACGTCATGAATATTGCAATGTTTACGCCATGGCGTCTTAGTTTTAACTGCAGAGATGTACCTAAATCGGTTGAAAACAGCTCATTTTGGAGGTCCTGTAAAAATGTGTTGCAGGATAAACAAAATACACGGAGACTGTCTTGAAATATAAGCGATATTTGGGCTCGGGTCGAAAACGTGATAGGGGCTCGGCAAGCCTCGCCCTCTATCACGTTTTCTTACCCTTGCCCAAATATCGCTTATATTTCAAGACAGTAACCATGTATTTTATATATATACAGAATATAGTTCACTTCTTCAATGTATTTTTTTCTGAATTTGTCTTAATTTGGAAGATTTGACAATGAGTTTCACTCATGATTTCAGCTGAAGTTGAATTTGCTTTCAAAATACCAGTGTCTGTCTTGAATTTTTATCAAATATACGTAGATCTTGCTTATTCCCATTTGATATCAAAATATATGTACTGCATGTATCTCATCAGAATACTTCATATATATGTTTATACCCTATCTAAGTATTTAGGGAAAATATACCTCTATCCTTCACTACATGTAGTTAACCCAATCAAAATCTTTAATCAGACAAATCTTTTAGGAACAAGTTGGTCAAGAAAAGATCTAGACATACCATGGGGGTGGCTAGGTAGGCCTCTGCTGGGGATTCCATCTCCTCCTTCATGTCTTCCCCCATCTGTAGCCGAATCTGTCGGTCCAGCAGTGACAAATCGACTTCTATCTTCTGTCGAGCACTGTCAAAAGTATTCAAGACCCAACTTTTGAAGAAGTTGTAAAGAATTAATGGTTTTCTTTTTATTCTATCAAAGAGACAGGTTCAAAAATATTATATGTACTTACTGTGAGAGAAATTCTTCACATAACTCTTCAGCAGGTTCATTTAATTGTAGTAAGAGATCCACACACTCTGCCAGCTGTTTGGGTGTTGACTATACATGTAAACAAATCATTCAACTTTCTAATATTACATGTATTTCAATGAGTCAAAGTTGACTTTTAACAATAATCAAAACACGTTTCTTAGAACTTTGACTAAAACAAAACAAAAACCTCTTTATCCTTGAACTGCTGTCTGAGAATCTGACAGAGGTGTTGGATGATCTGATGACAATCCTGGTTAATTCCCTGGAAACTGGTAATGTGCTGGTATCGCTGTAGGATTCTTTTGGCTTTACTGTAGTATCTGACAATAAATATATACAGAGCTTGTTAATTCACAGAAATTATATTCAGAACATTGTCAATTTACAGACATGATATACATAATTTTCTATAACAAATTCTTGTGAGAATAATTTAGATCTAATGGGTTGTAAATAGATCAATGTGTGGGAATTTGTTTTTTTTTTTTTAGCCCTTGTAATTAATTGTTATTGAGAGTATGAATAGCATACACATAGCATTACCTACAAAAAGAATACATATTCTGTTTATACCATTGAGCAAATGCAATTACTATTGTTTTCATGTTCATTTACATGTACCATACACTATGATGTTGATGTTAAGCTTTAAAAGACTGTGTTGATGTACCTGACAGCTTGACTGTATGCATTCATTTCAATGCACTTGTTCAATCTCTTAGGAAGCTCAAACAGAAATTGAAGCTAAAATACAAATATAGACTTTTAATATTAATATATTGCATAATCATTGAACATAGCTTAAACAATGTATTTTTTTTACCAGATTAAATTGCAGAATCAATCAAAATACATTCTTGTACTTTTTATATGATATCATGATATATGTCAAAAACCTGTGTGCAGAAATGGTGAAATAAATTGTTCTAACCATACAAGTTCAATTATCAATGTTTACACAGTAAGTACAAATTATCCCTACAATTTTGAAAATAGAAAGTTTCTACTCTTGGGCTAAAAAACTGACTGAAATGCTGCACACTGCTAAAAATTAGTAAACAGTAAAACCTCGTATCTCAAACTCGAAGGAACCAAGAAAATACTTTGAGATAACCAGGGTAAAATACTTAAGGAATAAGCAGTTGGGACTTCAAAATTACGTCAACATATACATGCATATGGTATTCCAGATATCCATGTTCAAGATACCGAAGTTCAACTGTATATGCAAAATTTTGATCAATATCCATATTTGATAAGACAACACACAGAAAACCTACTCTCTTGAGAAGGGAGTGAACTCCTGATAGTTTAGTAATTTCTTGTCTTCTATCCTGTAGTGTGGTGCTAATATTGCCACTGAATTCTGTTATCGTCGACATGTTGGTTGCCAAATGGTCCATTTCATCCTCCATTTTCTTAAAATCATTTTTCATCTGTCAAAATTTAAATGAGAAATGCATCTTAAAATTTTCAACAGATATGAAATCAGATAAATATATACTGTCAATTCTCTTTGTCTTGAACTTGTTGGGACCAAGAAAAAACTTCGAGATATCCGAGGTTTTGAGACTTTAAGATTAAAATACAGAAAGAAACATAGGTAATCAGAGATTACAGAGCTCACCTCAATGAACGTTGTCTTAAAGTAAGGCAAAGTCCCACACTAATAATCTAGTAAGTGTGCATCCCTAGATGTAACATTTATGCAATTTTGGTCCGATAGGGCTTGCAGTTACTTGGGAATGGACTTACCTAAAAACTTTACACTAGTCACTCATCCAGAAAATGTAGGTCAGATCCAGCATCTGAAGCAAATTTAAGAGTGTTCATCCCATTATGCATCATCCATGCAAGTTTGGTTCAGATAGCCCTTATAGTTCACTTTAACCTGATCACTCATCTGGAAAAAGTAGGTCAGATCCAGCATCCAAAGCAAGCCTGGTAGTGTGCATCATTAGATGTATCATCCATGCAAGTTTGGTCAACATAGGGCTTAAAGTTACTTGGAAATGAGACCTGCTCCAAAAACTTTGACCTGGTCACTCAACTAGAAAATTAGGTCAGATCCAGCATCTGAAGCAAGTCCAGTAGTGTGCATCCTTAGATGTATCATTCTTGCAAGTTTGGTCAATATAAGGCTTATAGTTACTTGGAAATGAGACCTCCTCCAAAAACTTTAACCTGGCCACTCATCCATAAAATGTAGGTCAGATCCAGCATCCGAAACAAGTCCAGTAGTGTGCATCCTTAGATGTATCATCCATGCAAGTTTGGTCAATATAGGGCTTATAGTTACTTGGAAATGAGACCTGCTCCAAAAACTTTAACCTGCTCCAAGAACTTTAACCTGGTCATTTTTCAGCTGAAATTGCAGCATCTGAAACCTTGACTGGTACAATGAATCAAACTAGAAGCATTCTCCATGCAATCTGATTAATATAGGGCATAGAAGTACTTGAAAAGAAATCTGCTCCAAAAACTTTAACCTGGGATGCCAACACTAACGCCGAGGGTATTACATAAGCTCTCCAAACTTCATTGATATGAGCTAAAAAGTGGTTGGGACTTTGAATATACAACCAAATATCTTTGGTATTTGAGATACTAGTATCAGTGTTGGGGAAACCAAAGTTTAACTGTATTACATTTTTATTTTTTACCATTCCAGCAATGAATACCGGCATTAAACTAGAAATTACTTTTCTAATGGTGTCTGTGGCGCTGATGAATTTGTTGTAGTTTTCATATACCAGAGTTTGCATATCACTGTCAAGAGCTCTGATCTGAGTGACCGTCTTTGCCTCTTCATCCATTAATTCTGTCAGAGATTTCTCTTTTATTAGCTTGGAGAGATACATTTCTGGGTTGAAATGTGCTCCATTGATATCACAGGGATCTATAGTGGGGGATCCAGGTGTTCCTTCCTCCATCCCATAGTACATTTTAAGCATTCCATGCCGCTTTTTTTGGATGCCATCATTATTCATATCTGTATTATAGGTAAAGCATTCATCAATATTTACATCTAAAGGGTATAATATAAGATAAGACATGTATACATAAAGTTTAAAATGGCTTGTTTTTCATGTATTTATTTTTGTTTTATTTCTTAGCAAACCAAATTTCATGAATAAAATATATGAATCAAATATTAGGTACTGATAGTTGGGCTTTTTGGAAAAAAAAAAAGATGATGTAAACCTAATCTATTGGTCATAGAATATGCTGCATTGATTAAATATTATAGTGATGGGGTTTAAATTTTCTCTAAAAATTCACTGATCAAATATTGAGCTTGTGAATTTCACTAGTACATAAAATTAATTCACTAGTCCATTGGTAAATAAATAACAAAACTGAAAAAAAATGTTTTCTGACTCTGTTACCCATCATTTCATGGCTCTTTTTTTTTATCATGTCCAAATGATAGCCCTAGTGGGATTTCCAGGAAAATTTCAACCCCTGGTTCAAGGTGCATTTTCTACCCAGACCTATAACACCTAGTCCATGACCGTAGGAAACGGGGGGGGGGGGGCATGCCCCCCCCCCCCAATAATTTTGCCAATATATAGTTTACTTTAGAAAACATTGCTACTATATGCTTGTGCCCCCTCAAAAAAAACGTGTGATGACCTTTTTTTTTTGCTTGTCAAGGAATTTTTGGTAGTTGATAGTGCTCCCTCAACTGAAAATGTATAGCTGTGCCCCAAACTGAAATTGCTTCCTACAGGCCTGTAGCCATAACATTATCATAATGATTATCTGAGTGATAATCGACTAGCATATGATTATGCCCACCCCGTTATGAATGACGTGTTCATCTGTTCATGTCGTTATTACAGGGGGGAAATATTTCTTTGGCGTAATATATTATTGAAGAAGCGTTGGTATTTAAAATTAATAGGTAATAACTGCATAATAAAATTAAAAAATAAACATCAGTTTGGCATCAGGCGTCCAAAAAGTTAGAAAAAAAGAGTCAGTAACAACCTCCTTCTTCTCCGTCGGCCATCTTGATTGCTTATATCAATAAATTCATAAAAAGAAGATAATAATCATAAATAATATGTGAACTAGAAAAGTTATGCATTAACTACAATAAATGAAAAACTCAGATGAGGTGTCATTATATTATTCTCAACTTTTTTTATTTTTGTTAAGACCTTAAGCGGCCTTCCGGTTTCTTGGAATACGCTTCCATTTTATTTCAGTCCACGACTTTTCGTTTCAATTTATGATCCTTACCTATGCTTTCCAGATACCATATGGTGGTGTTTTTTGGGAGAGGGGGTTAAATTTTATCTTTTTTAGTGATAGTTTTATTGGTAAATATGCATATAAATACATTTGTAATCTGTTACCTGAAATCATACTTATATCCCCTTATATTTTCGCCCAAGTTTATCTAACAAAATTATGTTATTACATGTGCAGTATAACAATGCCATCCATATAAAGGAAATAATATTCCCCAAAATTTTATTCACATATATTCTTGTAACATTTTTTTTCAATAATGATGCAGAAAAAGATAATTACTCTGCCCTTAGAATTCATTGTGACCCCCCCCCCCCATTACTCAGGGTATCTTATTAAGTTTACAATATGCATTTTTCCTTTTCTTTTGAGATGATGAAATCACCTTCCCTGCTGACAAATTGAATGACTGTTACTAACTAGAATTTAAAGTCATATATGGCATATTTTTTTGATAAGTTCAGGTAACCAAAATTAAAAAGATCTTTTTATTTGTTTTATTACTATCGGGTATATATATATAGATACTAGGACTTTCCTGTAAATTACACAATTTAAATCAATTGCGTTTCAAAGATATCAAAAATCTAAAACAATAACCAATTTACTTACCAAGTTGACTCCACATTTAAATAACAGACAAATTTAAAGTCAATTTAACTATAGAAACATGAGGTTATTCAAGCTCAAAATTGGTAAAAAAGTTTAATTTGAACATAAATAACATATATCATGTATATTTGCACTCAATCTCGTATTATTTTCAAGCTCAGATACACCATATATAGCTTTAAACTGCCATCTCTACATAACATAATATTGGTGCTCAAAGTTCATGAATGGAAAACTCAGATATAATAGATGATTTTCTCCAATTTTATTGTACATGTATTTTCATTCAGTTACAATGTTAAAACTGAGGCAATTAATATATTCAAATCACTGATATCCATGTAAAAATTTTGTATATTTTTTTTTTTTTTGTAGAAATTACGGTATAAATTGGGAAATCAAAAAATTATTGTAATAGTTTTATTCATTACATATACCAAATATTTCTCCAAGTAAGACTATGGACCTGGACTGACAATTACATACTTATATGTAATGTATTTCAGCACTGCATATACATGATATATACAATATAATACTATAGGTTTGGGTTGCACTTTCATAAACAATATACATGTATATATTAAGAAATTTTCAAGTCAAAATATGTCATAATCATGCCATGTACAGTCTAATGGCACTGTTTATATAAAATATCAAAACCTGTTGCCCTATCCAGTTCATTTCTACCAATCAAATAAATTTGATATTAATATCAGCAAATTGGAAAGGAAATCTACGGTTTAAAATGTGCATGCAATTAATTAATGAATACATTTGCAATTAACCCGATTGCACAAATCATACTACACTAGTCTAATAATATCTTTGCCATGTTAGTATGGTATATCCAGTTTATCAACATTATTAGTATCTATCATAGTATGGGTAGTTTCTATACTTAGACAAACAAAGAAACACACTTTCTGTTCAAACAAATGAATTCTTCAAAGCATGGTTTTTATAACTTTGAACTTTTATTTATAAGATTTTTTATGCAGCCACTTGGAATTTTTGCAAATACAATTTACGAGCCTCCATGTCATCAGCAGGTCTGTTATGTGGTGTCCATACTGGTTCTCCAACAAAAAAACGATGAGCCTGTATGTAGTTCTACAATTTAAAAATTATATATTATGTATTGGTTAAAAAAAGATGGACTACTAATAATCAATTGATTAATTGATAGTCTGAGTGTTACATTACAATATAAAAATAAAAGTTTTTTTAGGCAGACAATGGAAATATTTACAGCATGATTCACACAAAATGATGTAAACAAATTTGTGACTCTTTGAGAAACCATATACACATATAGTATGTATATTCAATATAAATTTATAAAGACAATTCCTATCAAACTGATTTGTATTGTATTTTATACTCCGGTACACAATATGTTTCAGATGTGCTAATTCATACTTGGTAAAAACATGCCTTTTAATATTGGACAGTAAGAAATTACTGTACTTCTCCTATTGGTGTAAATGTGACGGCACTTAAAATAACACACACATAAACTGTAGAATACTGCATATTGTATTACATGAAAGAATGCTCGAGTACATTTAATCTTAAGTATGTAACTGATTTTAACCTTGAGATCATCTTCATTAGGCCAAGAAAAATAAATATTGTGTTTCCTATTCCAACCCAAGAAAATATAGGGTAGGTAGGTAAGGAAAACATTTTATTTTATTTAACATTTTATTAGTTAAAATTCAACTTTGACAATAAACAAAGTGAGAAAAACAAAGAGTTCATTTCTTTTTTCCCAAAGGGCGGCTTACTAATGGCATTTCTATTTAATGTGTATAGGATATGCATTTTCTAAAACGTGGAAAAGATCAAGATTAGGATTTCTAATAGTTAAAATGGAATTGTTTACTTCCGGAAAGATATCGGCACATAAATTTTTCAGGGTCGGCTCATATATTTTAGGGTCAGTCGGGGAACCGGAAACACACAATTTATCTATCTAGGCCCTAGATGAATACATATATTTAACCTCTCTAAGGAGTCATTTGCTATAACATAATGCTATGAATGCACAAAATGCATATACATGTAACTTGATCAGCAATGTACAAAATGCATACAACTTAATTGTCAGCAATGTACAAAATGAAGTTGAATCTCAATTTCATCCCAGCATGAGCAAGATTTGTTATGTTTATTGAGATGGAAACAATGCAATAAATACATGTACTGTTCTTACTGTTGTGTGTTTGAGTGTGTGTGTGTTTGTTTGTTTTTTTTACCAAAACCAAAACATCTACTATCTTACCCCTTCATCCAGTGTAAACCTGTGGTAGATGCCTGCTGGGAGAATGATCAGATCGTTTGGGACAACTTCAATTCTGATCCACTTGTTATTCTTGTCTCTAACGTCAAAATATCCACTTCCTTCTGTAATGTAGCGTATCTCTTCATCTGTGTGAAGGTGCTCCTCAAAAAATATCTTCAGCTAAAAATCAAACATGTGTCTTTCAGTGTCCAAAACTAAAGCAATTACCGGTAAATGAATAAGATGTTCCAAAGTGCATCATTCACAGAATCATTAAGATGCTAAGCAAAAAGCCATGGTGATTCACTTGTGTATTTGCTCCCTCACAATTTCTCCTTGAGGGAGGGAGGTGGCAACAAATGTAGGGGAACAATGAAAAAAAAAATGAAAATGCAACAAAGAGCATGAAAGAGAAAAGTTTCCACGTACAGAGAGAAAGATTAATATCACCCTAGTGTTTTAGTCCCCTTATCTTTGCCTTCTTACCCTCATATTCTAGCACCCCACCATAGTCAGCCTCAGTTGCTCATGTCTCCCTTACTCTCTTACCCTGATGGCCCGGAGGGAGAGGAGTGAGACAGAGAGTGGCTCTAAGTACACCACACTTGAATACATGCATATCAGTTATCTCACCTTTTCCTCATAGTTTGGGAGTTTTTCCTTGCTGCATGTAATCATGTCTTTGTAAGTGTAGCCACGGTCACCTCGGAGCTTGTTCACTTCCTTCTCAGCTTTGGCAGGATCTGAACTTATCTGATAAAGAAAAGATATGGTCATGATTTTTTTGGAAAAGATTTCTTGTGCCTTTTTCTATGCCTTTCATATAATGACATGTTTGACCCCTTGTGAGCATAGATTTGATGAATTTTATAAATCTTATAGGAAGGGAATTTGGTTTGGAAGAAAATATTCTTGGCATACACACATAAAGAAGCATCAAACTTTAGAAGCCAGTGCACCATTAGGCAAAATTTATTGTGTGGGACGATATAGAGTTTGATTATTTGCAAATTTCTTAACCCCAGTGAATGCTTATGAAAATCATGAGTATCACAATACATAACCAACTTACCTCCACCTGGGACTAAAACTCTTGAAGTAAATGAGAAATAAATTGTATCTCTTTTTTTTTTTTTTAATAACCTAGTTTCTTATCATTAATGTATAAATTTTGTCTGCTACAAGGTCAGGAGTAAATAAGATTTCAAATACAGTATATCAAATATTTTCAAAATACAATTAATCTTTGGTATCTCAAACACCTATATCTGAAATACCATCGATATTTCGAAGTAAGTTGGAACTTGAAAGTCCCAACCACTTTTTCTATACTGTACTTTAACCTTGATATGTCAGTTCCTTGAATATCTTTAAGTTTTGAATCGGTCTTATTGAGTTTAAAATAACAAGATTTAACTCTATGAACCCCCACCTAGGGGCCAGGACCTTTGACCAAAGATTAGGTATTCAATTTTAGTTTATAAAAGCATATAGTTCCTTGTCATGCATACAGTTTGTCTGCTATATGTCCTGGATTAAATAAGGTTTTGAGAGAAAATGGAATTTTGCACAGGGTTGTCACCAGGTTTCTGGAAAGGTAGGTGAGAGAAAGGTCTGAGAGTGGAATCTCTCATTTAAACCATTTTATGGTTATGATGCACTCTGGAAGTCATCTTTTAAATTTTTTTAAACAAAATCTAGATGAATAAGGAATTCCTTCTGTTTAAAAAATTTGATTTTTAAAATTTTTTTCCAAAGGGGGAAGTGATCACACCCAATTTACCTCCCCTTCTGACAGCCCAAGTTTCAAAATTCACATAGGACCAAATTCACCCCACTTACCCTGGGATCTGAATGGTGGATCAAAGGAACATGCATTTTACTATTTCAGTACAATGCTAACTGCTCAAATTATAACATGTGAAAACAACTTTCAGTAATCAATATACATTTTACATGTTTGCCCAAGTGTGGTCACTGTGCAGACTGACCTTAAATGCACAGTATGACACCCTATATATTGATATATAATTATGATTGTGTGTAATCGGGAGAGAAAAACATGCTATGGACCAGACCTGGATTCAAACCCGGGCCCACTAAATCACAAATCAGGTGCTCTACTACCAATTACTCTCCTACCTAACCACCAGCTATCAAACCTTTCTGACTGCCACATTCCTTGATCCCTCCTTTGATGTCTGCACTCCCTGAAGACATCAACCCAGACTATTCCAGGGCATGGCACAGCATCAAATGTGACAGAAAAGGAGAATAATTTGACACACAAGACCAGGATTTGAACCTGGGTCCCCTGAATCAATAGTCAGGTGCTCTACCAAATACTAGTAACTGAGTGACAGAGTGATCTGGCTACCGTTGATCAAACCTGTCTGACTGCCACATTCCTTAATCTCCTCGAATGCACCAACCTAGGCTCTTAACTGACAGGTCTTTTACTTGTCACTTCCAGGGCATGGTCATGGCACCAAATGTATAACTGGCGAAAGAGAAAAATGCAACAGACCAGACCAAGATTCAAACCCATCAGGCCCCCTGAATCACTAGACAGGTGCTCTACCAACTAACCTAACTGCATGGTTTCTGGCGATCAAATCAGCCTGATCGCCACATTTCCTTTACATGCTGAGATTATTGCAGTTTCTAAATCTTATATTCAGCAAATCAATGGCACTGTTACCATCACCAGTGCATGTACATTTGGGTTTACAGCACAGTGACCCCCTCCCGGATTATTCCAACTACAGTACTAATAGCATTTTACTCCACCTATAGTTCATCAATCCCAGAGAGTTGGTCAATAAAATTATAATATACATGTACATGTTTATTGCTTATGTAACATGAGAGAAAAAAAAATGCAATGGACCAGACCAGGATTCGAACTCGGGCCCCCTGAACCTCCAGTCAAGTGCTCTACCAACTGAGGTATCTGGCCACAGCAACTGAACCTGTCTGACCGCCACACTCCTCATTCCTTAAAGGTCTTCACCCCTAAACACACCAACCCAGGCTCTTCCCTGGCAGGGTCTTTAACCTGTCACTTCCAGGGCACGGCACCAAATGTAACAGTAACAGGAGAGAAGAAAAGTGTGATGGACCAGACCAGAATTCGAATCCAGTCTGGTCCGTCGCATTTTTTCTTCTCTCATGTTACATTTGGTGCTGTGACCAGGATGTTTGAATAGAAACCATGACTTCGCTAAATTCTGGTTTTGATAGCGAAGGAAGAGCTATAAACAGGTCCGTCACAATCTCTTTATTTAGTTATATAGCTTGATTTAGCTATATAGCTTTATTTAACTATTCAAAATAGCTTAATTTAGCTACACTTATTAATTATAACGTATTATACGTATTTTAATGTACATTATTATCAGATAAAAATATTCAATACAATCACCAGTGATAAATGGGAAATATGTACTGTAAAACTTTCTTTGTTAATAATCCTTGATGAATAACTAAATTAACGAAGGAGTTAATTATCTTATAACCAGTAATTGGTAAAATGTGGCGTAATTGATTAATGTATTAAATTATGATTACTGACAGGTTTCTTTTTTTTTTTTACCTCAAAGTACAAGACCCCCAAATCCTTCAACTGGTCCATCGTGACAAACTGTGGGGGTTCTGTCATGTGGGGCTTCCTCTGGTCATCTTCCACATCGTCCATATACCACGCTCGCACCATTGTTTACAACGTAAGTCTGTTCTAAATATAATTAACGTCCTATATTTCCGATATCGAACCGGTTAATTGATAAAGGTGAAGGTCACATGAGCACGCTCATTGAAGTCCGAAATGGTTGATATAAAGCATCACTTTACGTGTAAGCAGGATGTGAACACATCACATATATAAAACAAAACCCTGTCATAAGCTGGGTGTGGCATGACAACGTATTGTGTCTTAATTAACAGATTAAATATTTGTACTGTTTACATGACGCTATTTTTAGAACATGATATAACCCTATATAACTCAGCGCCCTCTATCGGTTGACTGAAGTATATGTTTCTGATAAGGGGGGTGTGGGAGAGGGTCGCTCAACTCCTCAAAGCCAGAAATTATTTTTACAAATGGTTAAGTTTTGGTGTAATCATTAGGTATTTCTTCATAAAGCAGCATAACCAAATCTATAAATAATAAACCATTTGATTTTCAAGTGTTTTTATCACCCTTTTATCCCCACTTGCATTTTATTAGCTCACCTGAGCCGAAGGCTATGCGAAAAGTGTCTGTCGTCTGTCCATCTGTCTGTCGTGTGTTGTCTGTAAACTAAATACACATTTTTCTCAATAACCCAATGACCGGGCCAAATTCAACCAAACTTGCCATTAAGAGCATCCTTGGTTGAAGGGAATTCAAGTTTATTCATATGAAGGGCCTCACCCTCTTTCAAGGGGAGATAATTAAGAATTAGTGTAAATTTAATGGCACCTTTTAAAAATCTTCTTCTCAAGAACCACTGGACCAAGAAAGATGAAACTTGTGTGTATGTATTCATTACATAGTTTACATTCAAGTTTTGTTCAAAACATGACCCTTGGGTTAGGGTGGATCAAAATTTACATAGGAATATTTAAGAAATATCTTTAAATTAAATCCTCTTCTCAAGAACAGTGAAGTCATGATTAGTCATTTTAATACAGAAGCATTCTCAGGTAGAGTAGATTCAAGATTGCTCAAATCATGTCCCCGAGGGTTAGGTTGGTGCCACAGCAGGGGAATCAAAATAAACATACATGTAGGAATATACATATGATATAGGATTTTTAAAAAAAAAAAAATCTTTTTCATAATAAAATTAGAACAGCAAAGCTATGGTTGGTCCTATTAATACAAAATCACCTTCAGGTAGTGTAGATTCAAAATTGTTCAGTGAAGTCATGATTAGTCATTTTAATATAGAAGCATTCTCAGGTAGTGTAGATTCAAGATTGCTCAAATCATGTTCCCTGAGGGTTAGGTTGGTGCCACAGCAGGGGAATCAAAATAAACATACAAGTAGGAATATTAACATATGATGTAGGATTTTTTTTAAAAAATCTTTTTAATAATAAAATTAGAACAGCAAAGCTATGATTGGTCCTATTAATACAAAATCACCTTCAGGTATAGTGTAGATTCAAAATTGTTCAAATCATGACCCAAAGCAGTGGTGGCTTTAAGGGGAGGGGGGTGCACCTGGCGCACCCCCCCCCCCCCCAAATGGTCAAAGTTAGTGTAAATCATAGTTTCGTCAAGAAAATGTAAAAATGTCTACTCAGTAGACCTCATTTTTACCCTTCAAAATCTCTAGAATCAAGGAGTTTGCTGGGGCTTCCCACTGGGGGCCTCAAGGCAGCCCAACAGACCCCCTGCCTACTTTTTGCACCCTAACTTCAATTCCTGGATCCGTGCCTGCAAGGGTAATGTGCTGCCACAGCAGGGGATAAAAGTTTTACATAGGAATAAATCAGAAATATTTTTAAAAATCTTCTTCTCAAGAACAGCTTAGCCATGATTAGTAATATCTATATGGAAGCATCTTCAGGTAGTGTAGATTCAAGCTTGTTCAAATCATGACTCCTGAGGGTAGGAGCTAGGGGATCACAACAAGGCATATAAGTTTTACATAGGAATATATGAAAATTTAAAAAAAAAATCTTTTTCTTAAGAAAAGCAAAGCTATGATCAGTCATTTTGATACAGAAGCACTCCTCGGGTAGTGTAGATTCAAGTTTGTTTAAATCATGACCCTCTAGGGTAAGGCAGGCCAAAATAGATTACATTTTTACATAGGAATTATATAGGAATTAATAAATCTTAACATCAAATTTTCTTCTCAAGAACAGCAAAGCCATTATTATTCATATCAATATGGAAGCATCCTTTGCTAGAGTAGATTCAGGTTTAAATCATCACCCCCAAGGGGTAGGGTGGGACCACTTATTCAATTCAATTCAATTATAATTATATAATTAAACTTTTCAATGCTGAACTGATTTCTGCTTTTCTCCAGCAAAGATGCTCGGGTGAGCAATTCGTCCCATGGGCCTCTTGTTTAGTGATTTTTTGCTAATGCTGAGTCATTTTGAATGTTATGAGTAGATTAATAATTAGACCATCTGCAAGAATTTAAATGGATCCCCCATCCCCCCCCCCCCCCCCCCGACAACCACCACCACCTCCCTCCAGTTCTGATGGCCTTGATATAGTGAGATAGACAATTTCTGAACATAAAAAGTTATTCTTTTTTAGAATTTTAAAATATGTGGGTTTTTTAAAAACAAGAGCCAAACTGAGCAAAGTTTGGGAAAAGGGGCATTAATTTTAACATTTAAGCAACTAGTAACTAAAACCTAAGGGAATGATTAAAATGTCCAGTCACCAGAATGAAGAAGTGGCAATAAATAATCATCAGTAACTCCATATGTTGATTCTCAATGTATTTCTATTTCTAGTAAGTGGGTCTTGCTCCATTTTTTTGAAAGTGATTTAAATTGGAGTAAAAAGTAGTAGGGTCTGTGGGTAAAAATTATGGTTGGTCAGGTTAGTGGAAGCACACATTTTTTTTTAGCCTAGTGGTTTATAGCATCTTAGTTTTTAAGAAAGAAACTTGATTCTCAGGATGATTTTTATCACTTGTGTTCAAATCCCAAAAAATCCTTTTTTTCATATTAGAATAACTTTTGCCAAGAGAATTTTTCTGTAGAAAAGCTTTGTTTGTCAAAATTTCACTTCTTTCACTTATAAGAACTTTGCTCTATATACTCAATGGTTTACGCATTGAATTACAATTTGCCCTAGGCATTTCGCACATCTTATTTGCCCATCTTCTTTACAGGTGTAAGAAGGCTGATGCATATATCGAGATTGGAGCTGTATTATCTTGTTTATTAGCTGCAGATCTGTAGCTTAATAAATTGGGATGGGTTCCAGAGATCAGCTACAGTGCCACCCATAGAAAAAACTTTATATTATATTTATATACACAAATTTATTATTTATTTAAATACATGTACATGTATATAAATATTATTATTTATTACACACAAAAAGTTGCACTCGTTTCTGGATTAATTTCTCCAAATTCTTACCTCACCTGCACAAAAGCTCAACTTAAAAAAATTCCTTTGACCTCTATCAACTATTACTCTTGTATTTGACATCTGCATGCAGTGTGTTAGACTGTTATTTTGCCACCCAAAATGGCAGTACACTGTATAAATAAAGCGAAATTTTCAATGGTCTCAATTTCAGGCCCAGGGTGAGGTTAACAATGTTTCGCTGTGGGAACAGTGAAAGAATATCTTAGGAACACAGTGTTAGTGATATCTTAATTAAGATGAAGTTTGAGAAATACAGAGAAATAAAATAGAGAAACAGGGCACATTTTTGTGCACAAAAAATATACACTTTTTTTCAGTCACAGGGTGGCACTATTTTTGTAAATAATGGATTATAGGATCATGTGGTCCATGGGCCTCTTTGCCCTCTTGTTTATTATTATTTCTTATAGTGTACATTCTATAGCTTCAGTGTTATTATTTTGCAAAGTAAACATGCAAAGTAATTCATTATATTTCATACATTACATAAGTTAGTAGTGTTGAGAAAATATTAGTTAAAAATTGAGACATCTTTAGACCTCTATCATCATTTGGGTCCAGCAGATACATGTACATATAATAAAAAAAAGATGTGTTTGTGAAACACTGATGCCCCCATGTGGCAACTTATAGCAAAGGTTAAACTTTCTCAAATGCAGATCAAATATGTTGGTACTCAAAGTAAGGTCTTGTCTCGAGGAATAAACCTGTCAAATATGAAAGCCCTAGCAGCAACCATTGAATAGCTATGGAAAACGTTAAAGGTTTTTTTTTCAAAAGTATGTCAAACATCAAGGTCAAGGTCAAATGGTCAAAATTAATGGTACCCGAGGAAAGGCCTTCTCCCAAGAAATACACAGTTGAAATATGAAAGCTGAAGCACCAATCGTCCAAAAGTTATGACCAAGGTTAAAGTTTTCCAAAAGTAGGTCAAACTCCAAGGTCAAGGTCAAAGTTGTTGGTATCCAAAGGAAGGTCTTGTCACAAGGATTACATATGTGAAGTATGAAAGCCCTAGCACCAACCGTTCAAAAGTTATGACCAAGGTTAAAGTTTTCCAAAAGTAGATCAAACTCCAAGGTCAAGGTCAAAAGGTCAAAGTTGTTGGTATCTAATGGAAGTCTTGTCACAAGGATTACACAAGTGAAGTATGAAAGCCCTAGCTTCTATTGTTCAAAAGTTATGGCCAAGGTTAAAGTTTGGTAAAATTTTGCAAAACTGGGTCAAACTCCAAGGTCAAGGTCAAATATAGTGGTACCCAAAGAAACGTCTTCTCACAAGGAATACATATGTGAAATATGAAAGCCATAGCTCCAACCAATCAAAAGTTATGGGCAAGGTTAAAGTTTTTGCAGAAAAGCAGACAGCTAGACAGACAGACAGATGGACGGACAGGACAAAAACTATATACCCCGAATTTTCGATTCGGGGGCAATAATAATAGTACCATTGAATACATGACAGTATCTGAAACATGCACTGCAGCATTCAAATAATTGTGCACCTTAATTAAACAAAATGCACATCGGCCGTATTGCTCACCCAAACCCCGGTGACCTTGGTCCTGCTGGATTTTTTAAAAAATGTTCCCCTTTTCTTCCCATGAGAATTTTGACTCCACATTGTAGCCCCACCCTTGCTCCAAATGACTTAACAAAACTACATGTGGGATGTTTCAATATCAATATAACTAACATGGCATTGTGGTTCTGGAGAAGAACTTAATTCCCTGTATACATGCATTATGTACAAATATATTTCTGTTTTAAGTCCCCTGAATTTTGAATGACTCCCACCTAATTTTCCTTATCTTGATTATTTCCCATAGAAAGGGATCCTTCATGTGAACAATTTCAATTCCCTTCTTGCAAAGTTTGATTGAAATTGGTTTAATTGTTCTAGTGTAGATGAAGTAAAAAATGTGTAAAGTTTACAGATAGACAGACAAATGAATGCCATAAAACAGGTGATTTAAAATTAGCTCACTTGAGCTTATAGCTCATGTGAGCTAACAACCAATGTTTTTACCCAATGTAACACTGCACACAAGTGGTGCAAAATTGTATGGAAGAACACCTTTCTCTTTTATGTAAAAAGTACCACTTTAAATATGTTAAACATTTACTTCATATTGTTTTGCTGTAGATTCAAGAAACATAAAATATCAGTTTACAAATTTAATTTGAGAGCTTGATCATCAATAAATACTTTAAATGTCATGAATGTTTCTTCTCCTTAACCTTCGAACCCGAGTGTTTAGTCCATATTCTGCCTCAGGTGTGTCAGCCACTAACACTTCTGGTGGTGCCCCTCTGTTAGGGGTAGAAATGCTAGACATTTCCGCTAAGTTCTGTTTAAGCTGTTCTTTTAGCCTCCCTCCTTTCTTTCTAAGTTTTTGATTGTGAGAGTTTGATAAATTGGCTGGAGATAATCCAGTGAACAATCTTTTTACAGGTACTGTAGGTGAATGTAACTCAGGTGTCACAGAATGCACTTCACCTAGTTCTGGAGTTTTAATCACTCCTGGATTTGCCATAAATTCACACACACCACACCTTCCTAAATGTGGGTCCATATTTTCCTTTTTCTTTTTGCTGTCCCTATGTGACAATGAAATTTCTTTCCTATGTCCATTTTCTGGGGAATTTTCTTTGAATGCCACACTTTCATCTTCACAGTCTGTGAAATTGACATCCTCTATGACTGTGACTGGAGGAGTTTTCTCCCCTACAAACTGAAGGGAAGCAAACTTTGTCTTTTTCTTAAGTCTGGTGAATCTGGGTGATTTAGAATTACTTCTGCCCTGACAAGTGCAAGGAGCTTTGTTGTCAAGTAAAGATGGGGGTGATATTCTTCTTCTGCGAGCCCTCCGCTGCCCCCTTACTGTTCCTGGGACACCATTAAACTGAGGAGATACCTAAAATGCAAAGTTAGTGTTTAAGTTTCCAATGACTTATATACTTATAAAATACTGACACTCTTTTTCCAAAACAATTTGGATTCAGTTTTCTTCCTACAAAATCAAACTTAAGCTTCTGGCAAATAGCTCAGACTTACAAATTTAAGCCAAGAATGGCTTGTACTATTCATTTTATAGTATTTTTTACACATATATTTTTAAAAATTTCTTTCCTATTAAATTGAGAATAGGAACTTTTTAGCAAAATTCTGAAAAAATTCTGTGTTGTTTAACAGAACATCGTTAATCATTATGAAATATATCAAAAGCATTTTGTGTACTTCATGTATCAACAGATGAATTTTATAAAGATTCATTTCTTCAAAGATAAGCACAGAAACTATAGTAGATCTAACTTACCCAAGAAACATTACTTGTGCTGTGCTGTGCAACAGTTACTGGGTGCTGAGCACAATAGACAGGGGTTGGCAAATTTCTCTGTTTGTTTACAGGACTTTCAGTAAATACTAATGGAGCTTTGAGATGGGATGATTTCTTCCTCCTTCTTGGCATATTTCTTTTAATACAGATCAAAAGCTGAAAGAGGAAACAAAGACCTAGAACATATCTCAATTAAAATGACCCTTGAAGATGAGGAAAAAACATAGACTGAGGAGGAAATTAAACTTACATAATTGATAATGCGAAGCAATTTGAATTTTTTTCTTAGTCACAATTTTAATGCATCTTTTTTTTAAATAGACTAATAGTTTATTTTGCCCCATGATTTATTTGGATAAAAACATTGGAGGAAAAATGTCGAAGATGTGATTTTTGATTAAGACACAAATTTCAGTGCAAAAAGGTCATATTAAATGTACTTTAGCACCAAAAGAAGCATATTGACCCTTATTTTTTGTTCTGATTTTTAATTAAGCTATGTGTGAAGAAACTAAAAATATACTTGACAAAAAAAGTTTAAGACTTTAAATATCAGGATCCAACCTCATTAAGTATTTTCAACAATGTTCAAATGATAAAATGAAATTGTCATGGAACAGTTTATCCACAGTTACTGTAGTATTCCCAGAATGCCCTACCGTGAAGTTGAGCATGCATATTCCAGTAAAAAAGACTTAACGTAGTGGAAGTAATGATAAGCTGCCAGTTTTCTAATGTGAGAGAAAGGAAATTTAAGTGTGCAAAAATATACTGTTTTGAAAAACCCTCCTAACCCTTTATTGTCTTTTCTACAGACCAATAAATTCAATTGTTTTGAATTTTCTGTCTTCCAACAGCCATGTTAACTTATTGACGATTCAGGTGGTAATATAGTTGGAATAATCTAACTGTGTCTCGGGACAAGCCCTCACCACAGTTGAATACGTCCCATATACTTGCAATGTAGCAAATCGGAGTGGATCCACTCCGAAATGATTTTGAAGAATACAAATTAAAGGAGTTGCACTGAAAATAACTACCAAATTAATCATAACAAACCTTTTTGAGATTGTATATGCCTTTTAACCTAAAAAATAATCCATATAAATACGAAAATTCAACTCATTTTCTCAATGTTTTTTCCTCGCTTCAAATTTAACGCAATGTTGACATTCGGAACTCTCTGGATTGTTCAAAGAAAATGCACAGAGTTTGAGTAATCGCCCGTGTTTATTTTGCAACATTGCCAATACAAGGAACAAATTCTATCATAAACCGGGTCCGTAGGACAATATCATTTTAACGATAGAACGTTTTATCTAGTGGTAATAGAATATGTCAAGAATTAAGGAATGAAAGGTAGTTGATGATGAATGCTGGAAAGTGCAGAAATACATCCCCAATCGTGTGCAGAAAATCTTGCGCTGTAAATTGAACTTTATTTGCATTACGGGATCTGTAGCGTTATGGTCATAGGCTAAAATATGAAACCATAACGCTACAGCTCTGCAGCTACTTAATGTCAAGTTTGGTTGAAATTGGTCCTCTGATTCTGAAGGCATTGAATAGGTATAAATTTTAGACATGTCAAAAGATTTACAAAATACAAACAAATGAATGCCAGACACAGCTCATTTGAAACTTTTGCCCAGGTGAGCTAACAAGTTAGAGAAATACTACAGTAATCTACACTCACCTCATCAATTGCACTGTCTGAGCTTGTCAGCTATAAAAAATAAATAGAGCACACTCCATTAGAAACTAGCTGAAAAGTTTCTTCAGGAGGAACATGTGTTAACTGGTTAATGTAGATATTCAAGTTTTTTGATTGCACTATTTAAGCATTATTTGTTTTTAATGTATTCCCTAACACTTTTTTTTGATTTTATCACACGAACTGTCTTTCAATATACCAAACTTTTCGATTCAGAACCTAGACTGTATATTTAGATGTGCAATATTAAGGTGCGGATTCGCAATACTCATTTACATCCCAATCACTGAACCAGCTGATTCTTTTACTTTCACTTTCGGTTGATGTTAAACAATTTTTCATTGGTCGGATTTTTTCAAGGACCCAATGAAATTAACTTTAAGAAATATGGAATGTTATCTTAGTCTCGCGAGACCAGACATTCTACATTTTGATTGGATGAAAAGCTTTATGGATCGAAATTCAAATATGGTCGTAGATGGCTTGCACGGTGGACATGCATTTTCTATATAACTGGTGTCATGAATCAACGAAAGAAATACAAAAAGCTGTAAATTAAGTATAGCAAACGGGGTTTAACAAATTTGTGAGGAATTTTCATGGAAATACAGGTTTTTTAGGTACATAATTTTATGTGTTTTGATGGTGGTATATTTCATCACAGGCACCTGAGTTTTTTTCAATAAGTAACAAAGCTCTAGAACGAAACACTTTACACCTAATATTTTTCGATCTAGGGTATATTTGCTTTTTAATGGTAAAAACTTAGGTGCCTATAATCTTATGCATATATGTTTAATTTAGCTTATTTTGAAACACTTTAAACACGAATTGTCACTGTATGCACATATATACAGGTCCAGGAAAATCACTATATTTAGGTATATAGCTTAATTTACTTATATAGCTTTATTTACCTATATAATATAGCTTTATTTAGCTATTTTAGAATAAGTTTCTGTTTTATGAAAGCAAACAAAAAGTCGCATGAAAATTATGGCTGGTATTTTTTTAAAAAAGGTTTGATGAAAACAACCTAGGGCATAGATAGTAAAAACATTGCCTCTTTTAAACACTTTTTAACCAAAAAATGCGTCTCTATTGTTTGGATAGCTGTCCATTACTGGACCTGCGATGAGGCATGACTAAGTGTGATTGCCTTGCATTGTGCTGAATTATTACCAATCAATTATCTTGTTGACCAAAACTGCTTTTCTTTGTTAAAGTAGCTGCATATTCACAGATTAACTGTTATACATAGCCCCAAAACTTTTAGATCTTTGATTGCAATTGCACAAAAGGAGAAACATTTTTAAAAGTGGGTTTTTGGTGAATTGTTTTCAGTCCATTTCAAAGTTGAAAACTAATACTGCCTCATTATGCGACTTTTTGTCTGCTTTTCAAAAAACAGAAATTTACTCTGAAATAGCTAAATAAAGCTATATTATATAGGTAAATAAAGCTATATAGGTAGATTTAGCTATATAGCTAAATATAGTGATTTTCCTAGACCTGATATAGGTATATACAATCTCAAAGATAATAGATAAGTGCACATTGTACACAAATACAAGACATTGAGTACTGTATTCCAGCTTTACCATGTCTTGTAAGCCAGGTCATGTTGACTTTTGAATCATCAATCCACAATTTCACATTGCCAGAATAATCCTTTTTTCCTAGTCTAGAATGAAATTTCCACCCCGCATATTTGTTTCTGTACACTACATCTAGCAAGTTTGAATACTTAGTATTGCCATTACTTTGCAGTTATCAATCTTACTGCTGCTCATTTGGAAATTGAAGGAAACTCTCAATCTTGCAAGATTTCTAGGACATAATATTGTTCACACCAGTGACAATTGAAAGACTTGAACAATTATAGTATGCCAAAAGTACAATGTATTGCTGAGGGTTGCACTCCAAATAAATAGTAGGTCAGCTAATTGAGAATGTTGTGTATTTTATTGATTTCCAAAAGTAATGAGAGTTGGAATGAAATGATGGAAAAAATTTTGAAAATTCAGTTTTATAGCAGAAAGTACCTCAAAAAATGTAACACAAGAGGACTGGCTTCTTTTAAGTTTTGTTAGCATGGGTCACTGAATGTTTTGCAAGATTTTTTGCCAGCACTTCTTTCTTATGTGTCTTTAAAAAGTTAAGGTGGTATGGGATACCAAACGAAACTTCTCCTACATATTTATGTACCCAAATTAGAAGGATTTGAAATACCCCCACCTTTCAGTATATTAAAGTGTAATTTTAATAATTTTTTTATTATTTTAATGAGAAATACAAAAACGATTTTTTTTCTTGCATAATTCTTTTTTCATAAGCTTAATATTATAGGCAGGCGTTTGCTAATATAAAGTGTTTATAAAAACAAAAATGACAAGAAATATGTCTTAGTATTTTTTTAATTTTCAACAAAAAATAAACGTAAAAAACTGGGAAAACTTTATTTCTTGAAAACAGACGGATAACATTTCATGAAAGTCTACAATAAGAATGTATCTTAATATGTTAGCAAAGTGAAATAAACAAATTGAAAATATATATATAAATGGAAAATATAAAATGCATTTAAAATTTTTTGAATGAAAAGATCCGAGCGGAAGAGTTATCCTTCTTTATTTTCCAAGGGTTGAAAAAACCTGGGTGCTATTTTAGAAATGATGAGCATTTTTTCCCAACCATAAAAAAATCGCACTCTATAGTTTTCAACTTTGAGCGGTTTTGAAAACAATGCATGGACAATCGCTTTCCAGGACGTGTCTTGTTCAGAGCAGTTGCATTCATCTGAACGTTTTGGGACTATATACAACAGCTAACTGATTTGTGACCAAACAGTTACTTCTTGAATTAAATAACAAAAAAGTCCAGCTCTGGTTAACGTGATAATTGATTGGTGATAATTCAGCACAATGTGAAGTAATCGCACTTATCCATGCCTCACCGCACACAAGGTGCTGTACAGTTACTCAAACAATTGAAATACAGCTTTTGCTTAAAAGTGTTCAAAAGCAGCAATGTTGAAACTACCTTTTACAGGGGTTTGCTTTTTTAAATGTCCGTTGTACAATTATAAGTAAATTTATATACTTGCGATTTTTTTGTCTGTTTTTACTTAAAATGCCGACTTGTGAGAACTTGCATTGAAATAGGCTTCAGAGTGTTCTTTTCAACAGTGTATCTACAAATTTTGACCCGATAATGAGCACTCATCCAAATCAAAACAATACTTCAAACGGAAATACGTCATGACGTGGAGGTATCCCATACTACCTTAACAGCGATAGATCTCATGATGTATTCAACAGCACATTGTCCCAAGCTGATTCTCAAGAAGGTGTGCAAAAATGGATACAAGAAACAGTGGAATGTTTATGTGCCCCCTTTTGGAAGATGAATCTGCTTTGTTAGCCATTTTTAACTGCATGTAGATAAAAAAATTCTATCCTTTATCATGTTTATAAATGATAATATCCTACAGACCCATTTTAAAGAAAGAATTTATTACATGTTTCAACATATAGCAAATTAAACTTGGTAAGATAATTCAAAACTACTCATACACTATGAAAAATGTAGAGAGTTTTGAATGTCAACATGGCAGATAAATTTATTATGAGGGAAAATATGTTGAATTTTTCCTTTATTTGTTAAGTTTTAAGGCAGAGAGTACACATAAGCTCAAAAAGATGTGTTATGAATAATTCGGTGGTTATTTTTTTAGTGGAATATCCCCCAAAATTGTGCTGGAGCAGGTTTCCTCCATTGCAACTATGGGACATATTCTTATGGGTGAAAACCATATTTTCTTGTTTGGTATAGTTAGTTTATGTAAGCAAAAGATTATATAAACCTATCCTTCTCTTTACAGATTAAACATAATGTCAAATGGATCTGGTTCTGCTGAGAATGTAAGATTTATGTCATTTAAATGTCCTGACACTTCTGCTTTGAGTAAAACGTCCAGAGGACATAGTGAGAGACAGCCAAGCACTTATGTTTTGATCCTCAATAAAGATGCAGAAAACCAGGCTTCAAATGGTAGTTCGTCACAACATCCAGGTCAGCAAAGACAAGGAGCACAAGATGCAATCAATGTCTTGAAGAATAAATCAAAATCAAGAGTAACATTTTCTTCAAATGATAGTTTGAAGCTTAATTTGACTAATGGATTTGATGACTATGACAGTTCTAGTTCTTCCCAGAAAGTGTTTAAAGATGATGCAGAGGAAGCAAAAGATGAAGGGTTTGGAGAAGCAACCAAAGTAATTAGATTGAAAATACCCAGTTCCCTGCAGAAAGCAATGCAAATAAGTCAGAGACTAAATGCACAAAGACTGTTAGCTGAGACTTCCACCACACAACAGAGTGCAATAAAAGAGCAGAAAAATTCAACAACCAAGTCTTCTTCTCTTGTAGAATCAGGATACTTATCAGCTAATAGTAGCTGCTTATCAAAAGAATCCTTTGAGACCCCTAATTCTGTTTTTCTGCCTGCAAATCATCAAACTGCAAGAAAAATTTTCTACAAATCATCTACCAACTTGTCAGAAGGAAAAAGCCTTCACCATAGCCCTTCATATCTCAAGCCATCACCTATATCATCACTGTCCTCGGGATTACAAAATGTTGCTGTTTTTCAGTCATCACCGTCATTTTCACCCTCACCAGGAGGAGTTCAAAGTTCACAGAGTTTACAGAGAACGTCTACACCAAAATCAGGGTATGTGGTGGAATCAAAAGATGGTCAGAAATTTGTTTTACCTGTTGATCCTCAGCAGACAAAAACTGTTTCAGTATCCAAGTCTGACTCTTGCATAAATATAAAACCACTGGATGTGGCTCAGTTTTTACCATACTCTAACAATAAAGCATCATATGGCTGGCCCACAGTTAACAATACCAGTGCTAGTCAGATTCATTCCAGCAAGATTGTGAAGGCTCATGAAAATTCTAATTTTCATGAAGGTGATAAAGCTGAAGTGGAAAATTCATCAGAGGTTTCTAATAAAGACTATTATTCTGCAAATCAAACAGAAACTAACTCTTCCTCAGTTTTTTCAAAGGAAAAGGTTGGAGATGTTGTGATAAAATATGCAAAGTTACAAGAAAATGAGAATGTTGTTAAAGTGGAAGTTGAGGATAAAGACTTTTCTGCTGAAATACCAGATTCTCAAGGCTCCGTAGATGATATACCAGATTCACAGGAGTCCACAGAAAAAGGTACCAAACTTTTTAACTATATCTAGTTAAATATTTATCTTTTCTTCTTGTTTAATTTGTAGCATTATGAGCAATGTACATTTTCTTTTTATAGAATCTTTAAACGATTCCTTAACCAATATCCAGTGGTTGGGAGGGATGCAGCTGAAGGAAGATGGAAAACCACAACTGCCTGCCACTCAGAACAAAAAAGACACTGCTATACAATGGAGATGCCTAAGTCATTCAGAAGTTCTAAAAGTAAGAATGCATAAATACCAGACCTGTTTACTCTTATGATTTTGCCATATTTTGTACGGAATTTGAGTCTAAAATATGTCTCACGTTTTGATATTATAAAAATACGGAAATCGGAAATCCGTTCATTTGGATTTTAGCAGTTAGTTTTCGTTATGATCCGTCTCAGTTTCATGCTAAAAAAAGAGAAAGATTTCAAACACTTAAGTGATGTCGGGTTGCCAAAACGCGATGGTTTAAAAAATGACTGAAACCCCTCTAAAGAAAGCAAGAAATGATGTTTTTCTTTGTTATTAAACACATGTTTTGGTAATCAGAAATGTAATTGTTCTATTAGTAATATATGTAAAATTGATGGAAAGTGAAATCTTACTGGCAAATGCCAAATCTGGCTGACAAATCTATTAAAAAATACTGAGAGACAACAATAAGGGTAAACAGGTCTGAAATACTTCAGTACAAAATCTTAAGGGATGTGGTTCTGTGATTGAAATTGATTTTGTAGTTAACATTGGAAATTCTGACTACTAATAGTTAGCATGCACAAAGGGCAATATTATATAAATACTGCATGTAGTTGAGTGTAACATTGAAAATTTTCACCCCAAGAAAACCATTGTCAACCGAGGCACAGCCTGAAAGTATAATATATATATATATATATTTTCAAAATCATGCAAATTGTCTTTGACTTCAGAAGCATTCATTGCCAATAAAAACTGAAAGATTAGAAGATAGTCCTTTGATAACTAGATGCAGTGATATCTTAATCACAATGTGGTTTTTATAACAGATTGCCAAGGAGTATGGGAGGGCAAAGAGACCTCCATTTTCTTACATGACTTTGATCCAGATGGCCTTGAATAGCAGAGAGGACAAGCGGAAGACCTTGCGTGAAATATGCAAATGGATTGAGGAAATCTTCCCTTATTACAAGTATACAGCAAAACCTGGTTGGAAGGTGAAATAACTACGTTTTTTTATGATTCCATATTTTTTTTGTTGGTTACATATGCATCTAAGATACAATGAAGCGCATTGAATGGAAGTTTTGAGCTTTCTTTAGAATGTTGATTGGCATACAATGACACGCCTATTTCTTTAGAAAGGAAAATTAATGGTCAAATGGTTCATTTGAATACCTTTAGAATAGGTATTCCATAAATATAATACATGTAAATAGCTAATCAAATTGACAGTCTTCATAAACAATGAATATACACATGTGTTGTGATAACTTTAGTAAACAAATTCATAATAATGTACATATTCGTTGAAATACGTGTTTTCCAGGAGCGAAGTCTCACTCTCTCTTCTAACTTTATAAAATCTCCATTTTAGTGTAACTCATTTGCTAGTTGCAGAGAGTGGGGTGCCCTAAAGCATTACGACAAATATCTCTTTCTCGTTTCTAAAGAAATGGGCATGTCATTATGTAGCAATTGACGTTTGATAAGAAAAACCCAAACTTTCCACTAAAACAAAAAATTTTACCACTTCAATGAGCTTCATTGTAAATAAGCACATGCAAATACATAAGAATCACTTTATTTAATTTTTTTATGCCCCCATAATTGAAGATTCTGGGGCATATAGTTTTTGGTCTTACCATACATATGTCTGTCTGTTTATCTGTTTGTCTGCAAAACCTTTAACTTTGCCCATAACTTTTGATTGGCTGGAGCTATGGCTTTTATTTCAGAAGTATTCCTTGTGATAAGTCCTTTCTTTGGGTGCCAACATATTTGACCTCTTGGCCAAGGAGTTTGACCCACTTTTGCAAAATTTTTTGAGCAATTGGTGTTGGGGCTTTCAAATTTCATATGTATTTCTGCGACAAGACCTTTCCTTGGGTATCATTTATTTTGACCCTCTGACATTGACCTTGGAGTTCGATGTACTTTAGAAAAACTTTAACCTTGGCCATATAACTTTTAAACAGTTGGTGCTAGGGCTTTCATATTTCACTTGCTTATTCCTCATCAAGTGACAAGAACCCTTGTATACCAACTGTTTTGACTTTTTGTCCTTGTCCTTGGAGTTTGACCTACATTTGAAAAACTTTATCCTTGGCCATATCTTTTGAGTGGTTGGTGCTAGGGCTTTCATATTTCGCTGAAATAATCGTGCACCTGACCAGACTGCATGTTTGGCTAATTTTGAGTGAGTTTCAAAAACTTCTTGGAGTTTGACTTACTTAAGAACAACTTGGTCATAACTTTTGAACAGTTGGCGCTAGTGCTTTCATATATCACATATGTATTCCTTGTGACAAGACCTTTTTTTGGGTTCCAACATTTTTGATCTCTTGACCTTGGCCTTGGAGTTTGACTTGAGTTGACCTGAGTTGAGTTTTGAGAAAAAATCTCAAGCCTTGATGTCATTTTTTCATTCTGTCTTTTCTGCAGCGATGCATGAAACCATGAAACTGAGAGTCAGAGATAAATAATAGATGATAACTTCAATATTTTGGTTCAAGATATATACATATTACAATATATACATATATACAATCCCCACACCTTTCACCCAGTGTTTTCCCTAACAACCGGCCAAATTGACCACTTCAGTTGATAAAAATGCCGCTTTGAAATAAAAAAAAAAAAAAAATCAAAATTTATTTGGGCCAAAATTAAAAAATTGTTTGCCCTTTTCCGACCCAGATTTTTAACAATGGGTAGGTAGGTAGGAAAAATATTTTATTTTTTCTTCTGAAAATTATTCAAAGAATGGCCAAAATGCTCATTTGAGTCACTTTCGATATTGCTGCTCTTCAAAAGGTTGTTTTTGAAAGATTTTTCTACATTCCCATGAAAAATTGTGGGTCCACCCTGAAGCTTAAGGACTCATAACATAACCGAATTTAATCTATCCTACATGGGAATTCTGAATATAAGTATGACTAATGTGGCCTTGCTTTTATAAAGGAAAAATGTTTGAAAATGATTTTTACCCTACATGCATGATTGTACATGGACAATAGGGCACTTTATGCTGCAATAAGAAAAAGTTAGAGACATATTTTCTGTTGCACGTTTAAAATTTATAAGGCCTTGAGGTGGTTTATTTACGTTTTGTCTGCTTGTATTAATTTGTGTAAAAAAAACAACAAAAAACAATTCAAAGGGGGGGGGGGGGAGGTAGAAATTAGAAAAAATGTAAAGGGCATTTTTTTTCTATGGAAGATGATATATCAAGTGAAAACTCATCATATCAAAAATTTTAAAAATTTATATTTAAAAAAAATACGTAAATCCTATTGAGAACTTCTTTCTGGCTTAGAATCATTGAACCTGCGGGTATCAACTTTAAAATTTGAACATCATTTCATGTATTTGACTTTTGAAGTGATACTCTGTGTTTCCAAGCCCATTTCTCATCCAGCTTTGAAGTTTTAGTACATTTATGTAAGTTGACTTAATATATCTGAAGGTTAAAACAGCAGCCTTGTTAGCCACTTTTCCTCATCAACGATGTTTTTTTTTCTACTTTCGGTTTTAAAAAGCACCTCCAATTTTGAAATTATTTAAATTTATTTAATAATGATTTATGTTTGCTATCGTTTACAAATTATGCTCTAATTTTCAGTCATAATTTTCTATCCCCTATTACTACTTTTGTCAGCTGTGTGCATTCAAGTGAGAAGTGATTTCCTGTACTTTTCACACCCTGAATTAACACCTTTGCATGCATTAAATATTGCTGCATGCAGTGAAAAAAACAAAATTAGCTATTCTAGAGTTAACAGTTTTCACCAATTACATTTTATTTTTAACGCTACATGTACTAATCAAAGCATCTAAATGAATTTAAAGAAGTTTTTAACAAGATTAAAACAAACTGGTTTGAAATTATTTAAATAAAAAAAAATGTAAATGAAAAGAGGAATAAAATATTTTGAGTCGGGCGAATTTTCGTGGGTCGGTCGGCTGAGGGCAAACAAACAATATTTTAATTTAGGCCTTGTTGTAAGGTCCACAGAGATTTGTCATAAACTTCAACCCAAAGCCTGTTACAATTGATCTCTAATCTTTTACTTTGAAATAAAGGAAAAACACTGTTCGTCCTGTATTTTTTGCTTAAAATCTGTAGAGTAGTGATGATTATATTATGAACTACATTTATGTTCCCAAAATCTTTAATCCCAATATTCTTATTTCCATCATGAAGTACAAATCAGTATATCTTATAATTGTAAATTGAAAGTATTGGTAATCAAAAATTAAATTGCAATTAATTTCAGTAAAATAATCAGTTGTAATCAGTTACAGAACAAACACAAAGTAATATATTTTATTACTCAGAATTCCAAAAGTTTCAAGTAGTAGTTCATTATTTACAGGTAATTACATGAGCAAGAAATCTGTTCATCTTCCATGCATCAAACAAGTGTGTAGTCTTTGTATTGATCATTTACAGAATTCCATTAGACACAATCTGTCCCTGTACAGTATATTTGAAAGAGAGAAGTCAAAGAAACATGGCTCCTACTGGACAATACGTGAAGACTGTCCAGAAAAATCTAAAGTGGTTCCATCCAAGGAGAAGAAAGGTGAAACCTATTATTGTGTTTGTAAATCTTGAGTTCTATTAATACAGTGGTATCTGGGTATAACAAAATGCATGAGGCATTATTTTGTATCTCTTTATAACTGATAGATACTCGTTATATATGAGTTCAGCATTTCACAATCAATCGATATTTTAATGTTGGACTATTCATGTGCATGCGCTCATCTGAAATATTTAACGTTCATGTAATTATGAAAATATGAAGTGTATTGAATAGACTCGATTAAAAAATAAATTTAATAATCTATTCAAGTACAATATTATTGTTTTAGTGCATGTGACCATATTAAGGGGCTTAGAATATACATTGATCACCTCACAAGTATACTAGAGGTAAATTAGATTATTTCTTATGTAGATTGTAACACAAGATTTGATTGGTTTCTGAGCCAGGTATAAAGAATCTGGGGGAATAAGACGAGCCATGTGCCCATGCCCATTTTTCGGCTATGCAAGAACATTTATTGGAAAAAATCTCTCAATTGTTCGAATTTACTTAAGCATTTTAATGTTTACCGTAGTTTTCAAAATGATATTTATATTATAAACAAGCTAAACAGTTGACTTTCATTTACTGTCACATATGTCTTACATGGGTAAGGACTTCTATTTAATAATTAATCTGCATATTGAGTGTTTACTCTTATTGTGGAGATATTATAAAAATGTTAACATCGTATATAATGATAATGGTGATCTAGAAGCGCTTTTATTTAAAATAAATAAAAACGGGAATAAAAGTATTCAAATATCTATTATAATTTTTATCCGGCATTTTAAATAATTTACTGTAAATAAGTTCATTACTACATGTATATATTTTATTTCCAGTGAAAAATATGTTATTCCTATAGACATTTTTTTTATAAAGTAAAACAAAAAAAAAACCAAAAAAAAAAAAAAACAAAACAAAAAATCAAACAATCAGAGCATGACTCGAACACTTTCCTCAATAAACGTCTCTTTAAAGAGCTCCTCGCTAACCACTAGACCACGGAGTCACACTTACATGTCTCTTTAAATAGCATACAGTTCTTTATATTTAGCAAGCGTTTTTGGACTTAGAATTTTTTAAGACCACGGTGAAAATTTAAGTAAGTTAGCTTAATTTTTTTATGTAGAGTGGGTCTTCATACCAAATTTTTGCAAGTGTAAAAAGCAACATCATTCCACCCTCATTAATCGTTCTCAAAAAATGGTACGATGACCCACTCTATTTAAAAAATGTAGTTATATCATCCAATTTATGTCAGTTTCTGTGAAAATTGAGCGTGATGCCATTTTGTTGTGTTAATCAGAATCATTTTCGCTGTTACAGTATTCAGGTTTTGTCAAATTTGTATGCAAATGGTAATAAGCATTACATTAATGCAACAAAAAGTGAAATTTTTGTAAAATGAATTTATTGATTTTTTATCGATCGTTATGTAGGCATATGGCTCGGCTTATCCCCCCAGTTTCTTTCCTTACACTTGACTTGAGCCTGGGTAAATAACATGACGTCACAATGCATAGTAAAAGCAAATAACACAACGTCACGTTGCATTGTAGCACGCAGTAAATCTTATCGATAGTTTGAAACACCATTGTTTGGACTTGGGTTTACAAAGAATTCATTTGGTTACATGGGAAATAAATTCATTATCCAGGTTCAGTCAAGAGTGTACGGGGATTTACCCTGGATTTTATTCCATACACCCTCCGGCCTCAGGGTTATGGAATAAAACCCAGGGTAACTCCCCATACACTCTTGATTGAACCTGGATAACTAATATTATTGTCACTCTGCACAATTCAAGTCGAAAACATCGGAATTTTATTTTATCTAAAACTAATGAATAAGATTGCTTAATTATTGTAATGTGCTTAAAATAAAATCATCTGTTCATTTTACATACGTCTGTAAAATAGATTTGCTATACTGCTACCCCTTCTATCACATCTTTTGTAGAAGGATCTTGTCTTTCTGGCACAATGCCACAACCTCTGTTTCACTTTAATCAATTTTAACCAAACTTTACTGAGAATAATTATTGATGATCACGGTTGGAATCACTTCAGAATCAATAACAACATAATTGGAAGACTCAGTTACTATGAATTCTAAATCAGTATTGTTATTTTTAGCTTCACATGGTGGCAAAAGCAAGTTCCCTAACTCTGCCAAGTTACTTATACAGTGCTAGTCTTGTCCCATGATCCCTTGCATTTTGTTATCAGTTCCAATAATGAAGTGCAAGGGATTATGAGACATGACCTAATACAAAATATTAATTAATAACAAAATCATTTTCTGCTCAGACAAAAACCGTTCTGAATCGTAATATTCTAAATTCACTTCTTGGTTTCTAAATTTATCCTCTCGCCAAATTTATCCTCTCGCCAAAGCTCAGGGATAAAAACATACAACTCGCTGGATAAAAAAAATCATATCCAACCACAAACCATGGGAGGTCCTATATATATCCAATGTTAACTATTAATCGGCACAAATTCTGACCTCATTATTTACGGAATCCAGTCATAAGTAAATTGGCTATAACTGACATTTTCGTAAAAGAAATAATTTGGGAGTAAGAAAAGCGGTACCTTGTTATATCCACTGTATTCAAATGACTTTATCAGTTTTTTCTTAAAAAGTACAGTTTACAGAAAATCATTTCATCTCAAAGTTGTTTCAGAAAGAGAAGATAAGTTTGCCATTGTAAGCATGCAAAGAATAGCGATGCATATGTTATATACAGTATACATGTGCGTTATTTTTTTAATAGAAAACCAGTAAAAGTCAGTCTTGTTTAATATCCAAGTGCTTTGCATTTCAGATGTCCCAACCTCTCTCTCCAATTATCCTGTGTTCCTTCCACATCAAGCACCAAGGATCCCCAAACTACCAATCCCACCCCATCACAAGAACAACCTGGATGGCCTGAAAAGAAGTATGAGTTTAATACTTGTAAAATGATATCCATATTTACTCAGGGTTCTCACTAGGATTTTGCCAACTTGAGTCCCAGGACTCAAGATTTCTGAGAAGGTTGCGTCCCAGCTAAATTTGATGCGTCCCAGAATAATTATGTTGAGTCCAAACTAAATTATTGCAGTATCCTTCCATCCAAACATCAATAAAAATCTTTATCATTTTATCAGTTTGTTTATGCAATATTAACATATTCAAGTATATAAACTGGTAATGCATTCAAGCCACATTCTAAAATACACGCATAATCAGTTGCCATAAAAATTAACTTGGTGTTTATAAAGCTAAAATTAACTGTTGCATAATCAACTAGTACCCGAAAGTTGACTGTATACAATCACAGGTGTCATGTGCAATGAGGCGTAACTAATCCTGTCGGTCATCTGCACTGGGTGAAATTTGCAAGATAATCAAGCCGCATTGTGTATACAAGCAGTAATTATGGTTTCTACATGTAGACACTCAAGATTCAAAAGTGTTTTTTTTTTTTTAAAAAAAGAAGCTGCAGTGTGTTTACAGCTGTCGGAGTTTGGCATGCAACATTATTATGACTATGGACTAATAAACATGAAGTATCTTAATCATGATCAATCCCTGTTTAAAAAAAAAAAAGAGAAATAAGTACAAGAAAAGTTATTTCTTGGATGAACTTTATGATAGTTACAGGAAGGTTTCGATTAAATATTTCTTTGACAAATCCTAACATCTAAATTCCCCGTTTCTGAAATTACCCGAATTTTCTCGCTAACGAGGATGCGTCCGATCATGAGTCCGCGGACGCATCGATTTTAAGAACCTTGCGTCCCAAGTAATTTTGCTGCGTCTAGGACGCAGATTCTTGCGTTAATGAGAACCCTGATTTACTTTTTAAAGCACAATGTCTTTGGTGCCCACTGCAATATCTTTCAATACATGAATATCAATGAAAATTTTTTATAGAGTTACTAAATTTTTTAAGTGTTCTTATTCAAAAAAATACGCTCATTACTGGTTCCTTTCAGATGGTCATTTATGCACTGTTGTTTCTGCCCAGTATTTGAAAATTGATATAAGCCTTCAAACACAGTTGGGGCAAGCGGTAAATCTAGTACTCAGACTGTTTCGGATTTCGATTTCTCATTGATCGTGTTGATATCTTTATTATCGATGCACAGAATTTCTTCAAATTTTTTAGACACATTTTCTTGGTTGATATAAATTCCCTAATGCGTAAATATTTCAACAAAATTTATACGTATACTAAGCTGAATTAGCATTGTCACCTGCCCAAAAGTGGTAAATCTAGTACTGTGTTGGCTCTAAATTTGCTCTTGAGTACATCTGGGAGGACAAATAAAGAATTCTGTAGACACCTTTTTTCTCTTAGAATTCTTTATGTGTATTTGGAGTTTTGACTCTTAATAGGACAAAAAAATGTTTGAATAGATAATTAAGTCAAAAGTAAATATTTTATTAATGTTTGAAATGTGTGTCATGTAACACATGACAGACATATAACGTAACATGACAGACGTATAATAAAATGTGATATGATTAAATTACATTTCTGATGCTTGGCAATACAAATAATCTGTAAAAAAATAAAATTATACAATTCCTTAAACAATGCAAATTTTTTTTCACTCTTACATAGAAGAAAAAAAGATTTTTAAGCTACTTTTGATGCACAAACTGATGATTGTAACACTGACAGACTCCTCTACTTAACTAGCCAAATCAACCATAAACTTTCATTATTTTATCAAAAAGATAATGTTGCCATAAGAAATGGACATTATTCAAATTTTGATTCCTTATAGATTTTTAATTTGAATTTTTAAAAAATAAATCTCTGCTATACGCTTTGTAGCATATAAAATTTCCACCATGTCTGTCATGTTACGATATTTCTTGAGCAATAACTGTTTGAAACGAGCCAATAAAATTTATCATTCAAAGCTTATCTTTTATTCTTGGAAATTATAATACACAAGATATTATTATTTATGAAAATACTAATGAAAAAATAAATTATTTCATATCAAACCTATATTGTTACATGTACAGATGCACGTAACCTACTCCAGCATGCTAGAGGTTCATGGCGAGATACTTTTGACTTGGCGCCGCGTAACCTCTAGCATCCATTGTAAAAATTCTCGCCGCTGAAATCCCAAGTGCAAATAAATTGTTTAATAAAAAAATCAGGCTTTAAACATTAACGAATGACACGAAACAAAAAATATTAACTATTTGCGATAAAGCTTACACATAAAACAATGTTAATCACTCTTATTAGCGATAAATCCATTATTTTTAAAATCGAAGCAGAAATGAAAACAAGTCGTCTGTTTGAAATTTGGGAATGGAATACAGAATATCTGACAAAACGTAACTAGTTTTCCGCTATGAAATCATTGAAATTTTCGTTTTCTGACTAGCAATCCGCAAAAGCAGCATGAAGTCAAATGGAAAGTAATTCTGGTGACAAATTGAAATAATGACGATTTTGATTAATGAACAATGATGCATACTGAATAAAGTGGATTTTAGGATTTCTTGTGACTTTTATACACCATGCAACACGTAGGTACCAGAGAATTACTTATTTACAGTTTATTTCACGCATTATATGTTCCACCCAAAATCTCAGGCGGAACGAGCTCTTTAGAAAATGGCCTTCGGATGTAAGGGTCCGAGGTATATAAGGAGCGTAGGGACGTTAACCGAGGCTCTTACTTGTAGGAGTAGCACGTAACCCTGACAGACTCATTTTAAAAACTGCAAGAAAACAACTACAAAATTGTATTGATTAAGTTATAAAGACAAATTCTGCCTTATGATACATTAATATTCTTAAATAAAAATACTTTTTGGTTTAATTCACTGAACGTATAAATCTGAATGCACCTGTTTGATTCACCGTAACATGAACAGACATTCGTTTTGTCCGTCACCGTTACGATAGTATTCAGGTAATGTCTGTCAATCGGTATGTTATGTAAGAAATGTCAAATTTTAAGTGTTTAGGTAGTGATGAAGAGCATGCAAGTTCATAATTTTAAAACAAATCCAAAATACACCTACTAGTTGACAATATTTGATGATATGTGTTTAATATCTAGGATAAAGACAACTTATATTTTTATGAACGTAACATACTTTGTGTAACATAACACTTGACAGACAAACGTTCCTGGCTTCTCGGGCTCTCTCGGTAGCGCTTCTTATCGAAATGTTTACACATTTGCATAGAACACTGGAGAAAATTTAAATATTCATAACCTTTATGTCAAATATATGTGAAGAAGCATCTCCGAGCTCCATTCTTAAAATAGAACGTAATGCCCACTTGCCATGACAGACACAGGAAGCATCCCACAGATTTGTTAATTTCTAAGCACACATGCTTTTCTGTTGAATCTGTGATCACTTAATTGATAAATACGTAAATTTTCTATCATTAGACAAGAAGGATGAAATAGTTTGCATAAACAATGGCCCATTTTATAACAATGTACCCGGTGTATTGAGACTGACAGACGTTATGTTCAAAATATGAGAAAAAATAAATTCCAATTTTTCTTTTATTTGAGACATAATGTGGATTAAAATACTTTTGTAATTTAATTTAATCCTTCTTAAACAGTAGTGAATGAAGATATTCTGTGTACAAGGTATTATCACCGCATATTTGTCTTTTATTTTGACATGGTTGAAAATGCCCCCCTACACATGTGCAATTCTAGTGGAATTATCAAATTCATTTCAAGAAAAAAAAAGTAAGTTGATGAAAAAATCTGCTATTTTATCGTTTTTTATATATTTGCAATATACTTTTCAATATAAAACATTTCTTATTTCAATTTTTTAAATAATTAGGGCCCCGCAAGGATTTGTGGGTGCCCTATAGTAATCTGTCTGTCCGTCTGTCTGTCTGTCCATCTGTCATTCTTCCGTCCACAAATTTTCTGTTTTTTTCTAATAACTTTTTTTAGGGTTGACCAATTAACTTCAAATTTTGTATGTTGGTTGAATAGGCAGTAAGACATATTTTTATGCTAAGTTTTGTTCTCTGTGTCATCCAGTTTGGAGCTGGGGTGGTGGGGTAGATTCCTTAACTTTATATAAGAGTGAATGGGCAAAGAGAGATAACTGCTGAGAATGTTCCTATTGTAAACTAGGAAAGGCAGCAATGAGTCTCTTGGGATTAATCAACTTTCCTCTTGAAGAAAATCCAAAGCATTTATCTTTATCTGCCACAATGATATTAATTAACACCCCTGTCTGCAAATGAAGTTTGTTTTGAAGTTAAGGTCAATTCTGAATGATGTTTACATTCTCTGAAATGTGGATTTAAATAATGTTCATACTTTATTTTGTATTTTGGTAAAATACACAATGAGTTATGATTTTATTGAATTCTAAAAACAAGATATAGATAAAGATATCTTTTTTATTATTATTTTTTTTTCTGCCTTATGTAAATTCAAGCATACTATTTATCTAACAGGTATTCAGATGATAACCTCATTCTATCATTGCTGAAAAAGTTCTTATTGTAAACTTAGAAGAAAAGGTTGAGAGAGCAGTATAATTAATCCCCTGGGTTTGATTATCTTGCTGCTTGCAGAAAATTTTATCGGTTATCTTTCTGTCACTTTAAGTTTGATTAACACCTTTATCTGCAACTGATGTTTGTTTTGAAGTGAAGGTCAAGCCTGGGTGATATTTGCATTCACTGAAGGCTGGCATTTTAGAAAACACATGCTTCATTAGGGCCCCGCAAGGATTTGCGGGTGCCCTATAGTAACCACTCTGTCTGTCTGTCCGTCAGTCTGTCCGTCTGTCTGTCCATCTGTCATTCTTCCGTCCACAAATTTTCTGTTTTTTTCTAATGACTTTTTTTGTAGTTGACCAATTAAGTTCAAATTTGGTATGGTGGTTGAAGAGGCAGTTACGAAGACATATTTTGATACTAAGTTTGGTTTTCTATGTCATCCACTTTGGAGCTGGGGTGGTGGGGTAGATTCCTTAACTTTACATTAGAATGAATGCCAGGGCAAAGAGAGATAACTGCTGAGAATGTTCCTATTGTAAACTGTGATAGCTGCAACTAGTCCCATGGGATTAATTAACTTTCCTCTTGAGGAAAATCCAAAGCATTATCTGTTTCTGTCAAATTGAGATTAATTAACACCTCTGTCTGCAAATGAAGTTTGTTTTGGAGTTAAGGTCAATTCTGAATGATTTACATTCTCTGAAATGTGGATTTAAATAATGTTCATACTTCATTTTGGTAAAATACACAATGAGTTATGATTTTATTAAATTCTGAAAACAAGATATACATAGAGATATGTTTTTAAAAATTTTGTTTTGTTTTTATTTATTTTATTTATTTATTTATTCATTTTTTGTTGTTGCCATATGTAAATTCAAGAATACTATTAATCAGGGTTAGAAACTCCCTAAAATTACAACTCGCAAATAATTGCGAGTACCAAGAAAGTGAACTCGCAATTTTATAAGACTACTCGCAATTTTCATATAAAGTTAAAATTATATAAATTAAATACGTGTAACTTAAGGAAAAAGTAACTACTGTACAATACACAAAATACAACTACAGTGTGACTTTTATTTAAATTACTGATTTAAATCAAAGGCATTGTGTTCTGTCATATTATATAATTTTGCTACAGTTTCAATGCAAAAAAAATCAACTCGCAAGTTTTTGCGAGTTACCTAATTTTTAACTCGTAATTGGGGAATTCTAACTCGCGTTTTGCGAGTTGTATATAGTGAATTTCGAACCCTGATTAATTACAACAGATAGTCCAATAATAAACTCATTCTATCATTACTGAAAAAGTTCTTATTTTAAACTTGGAAGAAAAGGATGTGAGAGCAGTACAATTAATCCCCTGGGATTAATTATCTTGTCTGGGGCAGAGAATTTTCTAGACATATCTTTATTTGTCACTTTAAGATCAATTACGGTAAGCTTTGTCTGCAACTGATGTTTGTTTTGAAGTTAAGGTCAAGCCTGGGTGATATTTGCATTCAGTGAAGGCTGGCATTTTATAAAACACATGCTTTATTCTTGTTTAAATATACATTTAATTGAGTTATTATAGATATGTTTTTTACTGCCTTATGTAAATACAGGGATACTCTTTACAGGTTGTTGGATATTTATGAATTATCTTGAAATTCTATAAATACAGTTGTTATTGCATATTCTTCTTCGTATATTTTTTAATTTTTGTAATCAATTAAAATTCTTATTCTGTAAGCTGCACCCTTATATTTCTACCCCTCAGCAGGGCCCTTGCTGACTGGTCAGTTTCCTAGTTCTTCTTTAAATATACATTTAATTTAGTTATTATGACATTTTTTACTGCGTTATGTAAATACAAGGAAACTATTTACAGGTTGTTGGATATTTAGCAAATGCTGTTGCTTATTCTTCTTTATATATTTTTAAATTTTTGTAATCAAGTAAAATTCTCATCCCCTAATCTGCACCCTTATATTTCTACCCCTCGGCGGGGCCCTTGCTGACTGGTCAGATTTCTAGTTTAATTTATATTCCTCTTGTTAAAATCATAGGTCAAGATGTACTCAAGAGCGAATTTAGAGCCTGTTATAAATGCAAAAACCGAAAACAAACGAGGAAGAAATGGAGACTGTGAATATGTTATATTATTACAAAGTAAAAAAGATGTGTAATGAAGAAAATAAATGTTATGTATTTTTTCTTTCTTTTTTTTTTTTTTGTATTTTTGCGACTTTAGATTTCGGACTGGCGAAAATCACTTCGCACTGACTTATTTTGTCTCCTTGCCAGTCCGAATGACTGGCTATCTGAAAAAGTTTTCCACAACGATATATATATATATATATATATATATATATATATATATATATATATATATATATATATATATATATATATACAACGATATATATATATATATATATATATATATATATATAAAGATATAAAGATATTATTTTATTGAATACTACAGAGCAAAATGCAAAACAGTGATACAGATTTCATAGCTTTGTTATGTGTACATGTCATGAATATTCAACCAACTACGTGTAATTAGTAAAGAATGCCTTTTAAAACCATTTAAAATTATAAATGTGACTTTTACCTTTTTGGAACAGGTCTTCAGCCAATATTACCCCGCCCACATTCCTATGGATCACCTCTGCAGACTTTTGCTCTTATCCCTATACAGAGCATGAACCAACCCCAGGGGATGTCCAGCACCCAGGGGCAACCCATGCTGATCCAGGTGCCATCCAATCCCCCACCATTATCCCAGGACATTAAAAAAGAATCAGGTAGTCTAGATTATTCAAAATGTGTCATTACTCTCAATATTGCACAGTTGAATCATTACGAGTCTGCAAACTGAAATTTTGAGATTATGTTGGAAGTAATGAAGTATTACACTGTATATAAGGAAAGCATATCAAAGTGGAACTCATGTAATATATTCATAGGGTTGTACATGTATAAGAGAAATTTATCAGTAGTTAGAATGCTTTTAACAGTCATTGCTATACAGCTTAACAATGTATGTTATATGGTGCAGGATGTATATTAAATCTTTCTACATAGGCCACTTTTATGCTGACCTGAGCTAAACGTGCAATTGAATTTTTTTGACCAAAGTTTACTTTACACTTTTTGACTTGTTCTACAGAACCACGGGGTCAATTTCAAATCAAACTCAGCAAAAACAATTTTGGGTAAAGGAGATTCAAGATTATTAGTCCCCTACCAGTGAAACTGGAGGGGACTATAGGTTTCCTCTGAGTCTGTCTGTCCCTCTGTCAGTCTGTCCCACTTGGTTTTCTGCACTTTTATCTAAACGCTTGCAGATATTGAGCTGATTTTTGGTACGTGAGTGTATCTTGATGAGTTACAGATTAAGTTTGCATTTCGTTCCACTTTAATGATTTTTGACGGAATTACGACCTTTTCAATTTTTCAGGGTTTTCTGCAATTTTTTTTTTCTAAACGCTTGCAGATATTGAGCTGATTTTTGGTATGTGTTTGATGAGTTACAGATCAAGTTTGCATTTTATTCTGCTTCATTGATATTTGACGGAATTATGGCAATTTCAATTTTTAACGGGAACCAGACTACCTTGCCGGTAGGGGACTAGTATTGCTAATCCAATACTCTCAGAATGCTTGTTAAAATGAAAGGCCACAACTTTTTTCAAGGGAAAAAAAGAAAATAATAGTAAAAGCAGTGTGGGGTCTTAGATTCTTTTCAAGAAGCACTATGCTAGAAAATATAAAAAAGATAAAACTTGCAGGAAAGCTTCTTACTGAGTATGAAGAGTATGAATTCAAGACTTTTCCATTCCCCCCGCCCCCCAAATTTATACAAGTAGTAAATATGTTTGTTACATATAACCAAGTTTACCAAGGACGTTTTAAGGGTCTCATCAGCTACAGGCCTGCCTTCTCTCCCAATTTACCTCTAATTTTTACATTTTTTGACCCCATAATATTAGCTACAACAGTTTAAAATCAAATCTCACGATTTTTGAATTTCCATCATTAGCTCTACTGGTCAGAGACCAGAAGAGCATATTCAATAGTAAGTTGTCCATCTAAAATTTTTTTTCAAAATGCTACTCCTCCTACAGTTTTGGTCCAATTTCAATATGACTTGGCACACAAGTAGACTACCCTGAAATTCCAGAGGTGTATTCAGGTGCTTAGGAGGAGTAAGCATCCCCTGATGACTGGTCACATCCGCCCTGAGCCCTATGTATTGATCAGGTAGACAGAACATTCCTAATTGTAACCGAGCAGCAAGGCAGATTATGTTTTCATCATTTATTTAAGAAGAAATAAGGCATTGACCTACAATAACAAAGTATATAATAAGCCAATATTACAAAAAATTATTTAACAAATATGAAAATAGTATATCAAGTAATTTACCTACAGTAAACGTTTTAGAAAAAATGAACTCTATGAAAAAATGTGTACTGTAAACAAATGAAATTGAAATCTTAGACTCATTATTATTTAAGTTACAACTTTGACTGCAAAAATACAGTAAAGTAAAACGTTTGCAATCAAAATAATTACGTAAATCAAATCTTTAAATGGTAATGAAACACATAATCAAATATAAAAGTTACATACCATAAGATGCATACGATGGACATTGGATTTACTTCTTGAAAACGTATTACTGCTCTGACATACATAGGTAAAGCGCTGTAAATTGATACTTATAATGAAAATGTATTATTGGATGAAAAAGTAAGAAATAACCAATCAAATCAAAGAACCAATGAAATCATAGAATAAAACTTTACTCAGGCAACTCAATCCAGATGCACAAACGAACTTTTGACTAATCAAATTTTAAGATTATATTTCTCAAAACGATATGAGAAAATAAATAAAAATGAATAAATACATATAGAAATAGAATTACATAATATCACATAATCAAGTATAAAAACGAAGCCTAACAATTGGTGTGAAACATGTCAGCCAAAATATGACCCAATGATAGGTCATATTTGCTAACAAGGTCATTTAAATGATCATAGAATTTATAAAATGCTGACTTTAAATGGTCAACATTCTTCGCAAAATCTTTTTTCAGCACATACCCATCGGGCAGGTGTATCCACTAATTATACTAGCCCAAACATTTACATGCCCAGAATTTCATCAAATAATTTTATTCTCATTTGCCTTCTTATGCCAAGAAAATGATCCAAAATTTATTTTTATCGATCTGTTGTCAGGCCATTATTACAGCTGATTAATTGTTTTCAATGTGTACACTTTTTGTGTCTTCAATGCAAAAAGAATTTCTTAGAAATTGCGGTAGAATAAACTGTAGTTAAAAATTTATTTTGCACTTCACTTTAGATGAATAATTCATACACTTTTAAGTATATTTAATGTTATTCAATTTGATATGTACTTTTATATGAATGAAAATGAAACATCTGGTGAATAAATTGATCACTCGAATCAAAGTGAAAGTATATCGTTATAAACAATATGGAGGATTAAGCCTCCAAGTATACACGGGCAATTGAAGTTAATGTAAATATTGAGTAAATATGTGCATGTGTAAAAATAAAAGGGTCTTTTTTTACATGCACATACTCAATATTTACATTAACTTCCAATGCCCATGCAAATATTCATGCACATACTCAATATTTACATTAACTTCCAATGCCCATGCAAATATTCATGCCCTTCGGGCTTGTAAGTGTGCAATTTCCACATGCCCACTTCCAACTTCACTAGGTCCCAGACATCGGACTCTGGGGATTTGTAGAAGACTGGGTCTATGAACATGATGAAGACTGCATAAATGTTGTCAGTGAGGAACTCTAGCATCTTTTAAATATCGACTTCATAGTGTTTGTGTGTTGAATTAGAGTGATTTTTAACAAAGTAATTTTTGTTGATTACAAATCACAAGATATGAAAATTTCAGACTTTTATTTTTATTAGCTCTATTGGTCAGAGACCAGAAGAGTTTATGCGATAGTAAGGTGTCAGTCATCCGTCCGTCTGTCTGTAAACAATTTTTCAAAACGCTACTCCTCCTACAGTTTTGGTCTGATTTCAATATAACTTGGCACACAAGTAGATTACACTAAGATACATAATTTAGTGCATTGTTTTTTGATTTCGATGAACTGTGTTGCCATGGTCACTAAAAATAGAAATTTCTGTGAAATTCCTTTAAAACGTTACTTCTCCTACAGTTTTGGTCTGATTTCAATATACCGTATATACTCGCCTATAAGTCGGTTTTTTGGGAGTTAAACTTTAATGCAAAACTCTTTATCCGACTTATACGCGAGTTATAAAATGATTGGTATTTTAGCGGGTCAATCCCTCTAATTTCAGCTTAAAAAGTACAACCGACTTATAAGCGGACCGACTTATAGGCAAGTATATACGGTAACTTGGCACACAAGTAGACTACACTAAGATACATAATTTAGTGCATCAGTTTTTGATTTTGATGAACGGTGTTGCCATGGTTACTAAAAATAGAAATTTCTGTGAAATTCCTTTAAAACGCTACTCCTACAGTTTTGGTCTGATTTCAATATAACTTGGCACACTAGTAGACTGCACTATCGTACATAATTTAGTGCATCAGTTTTTGATTTCGACGAATGGTATTGCAATGGTTACTAAAAATAGAAATTTCTGTGAAATTCCTTTAAAACGCTACTCCTACAGTTTTAGTCTGATTTCAATATAACTTGGCACACTAGTAGACTGCACTATCGTACATAATTTAGTGCATCGGTTTTTGATTTCGATGAACGGTATTGCAATGGTTACTAAAAATAGAAATTTCTGTGAAATTCCTTTAAAACGTTACTCCTCCTACAGTTTTAGTCTGATTTCAATCTAATTTGGCACACAAGTGGACTTCACTTAGATACATATTTTAGTGCATTTTTTTTTTTATTTCGATGAACAGTGTTGCCATAGTTACTAAAAATAGAAATTTCTGTGAAATTACTTTAAAACGCTACTACTGCTGCAGTTTTAGTCTGCTTTTAATATAATTTGGCATACAAGAAGACTATACTAAGATGCATAATTTAATGCATCGGTTTTTGAATTCAGTGAACAGTGTTGCCATGGTTACTAAAAATAGAAATTTTTGTGAAATTCCTTTAAAACGTTACTCCTCCTACAGTTTTGGTCTGATTTCAATCTAATTTGGCACACAATTAGAATACACTACAATACATAATATGTATTTCGGTTTTTGTTTTCAGTGAATGGTGTTGTCATGGTTACTACAAATAGAAATTTCTGTTAAATACTTTCAAAACGCTACTCCTTCTACAGTTTTCATTTGATTTCAATGTAACTTGGCACAGAAGTAGACTACATTAAGATACATAATTCTATTTATTGTTGCATGTTGCAAAGTTTCAAATCCAAGTACAACTTTTCCTTTGTTATACATACAGACCAGTAGAGCTACAGTCTCATCAGAGACTTCTGGTTGAAAAAGCAGTTGTCTATGTTATCAAAAAGCCTAGTTTTAACTGGTATTTTCTCCACCTCATCGAATTAAATGTTTATTTACACATACATTTATACTAGTCTTTGCCTTTCTTTGCATATATCTGACACCTAGCTATAAGTTGAGTAGTCTGTTGAATGAGCTAGATACTTTACACATAGCATCAAGTTTAGCTGCCACAATGTTGAACACACTTAGTTGTGAAAATGCACACCTTGTCTATATAGCTACATGTACATTGTATACTGTGGAATCATTTTAATTCATGGGGGTCAATGTTCGTGGGCAAGCAAAGTTTTACTTGTTCGTGGGGACATAATTTTGTGGGTTACTCAGTTATACTGTACATTCAATGAATCAATATGTTTACAAAATAAATGTTCATGGGGATGTAAATTTGTGGGTAAGGGTGACCCAGGAAATCCACAAACACCCCACGTACAATGATGATTCCAAGTATATTGGTAACCAGGATTTGGACATTCAGTCTTGAACATCCAATGTACTAAATGGTACAAACTACAATGGTTATATCAGAAGCTGACAATTCTTAAAGTATAGAAATATTGCCTTTTGTTTTTATTTTTGATAGGAATATATAGGTTATGTCATTTATTTCTTGTGATTATATTTAAAGAAAAGAAGAGGAATTTTCAAAATCAGTTTTTTCAATTTCTTCAAAATTTCATTTGGGTTTCTTGGAAAAACTTTTTTCAAAAATGACCTTATTTGTTAATAATTTATATCATTGTTTTCCAGATGCATCTCTAAATACAGAGAAAGGTGATAAGAAAATTGAACACAATAAGAAAAAGGTTATCACCATTGCTCCAAAAATTTCTTCACCAAACATTGTTGAGCAAGCATGGATAAATGCTCAATCCCTCAGTGACAATGAGAAGAGAACAGAAATTATTGGTAACACAGACACAGTTGCTGATTTAAGTGCCAAACGAAAGAAACAGAACAATGGGCTACCCAAGCCTAGAATCTACCCCCAGTCTAGTCCACAGAAAAAGCAACGGTCTCGCAGAAAACAAAAACTAGTTCCTAAAGAACGTGACTTGTTAAATGACAGCTCTGACGACAATGAGGATGATGTGAAAAAATTCATAAATAAACTGGAACAAGATTTACCTACTCCACTGAGGGCAATCCTAGATAGCAATGAGCCAGACAAAGTAACAACATCAACCCCGATGAAGAATACCACTGGTTCCCCTGAACTGCCCTCTCCCATTAAGGGGATCACTCCTCTCAAGGGAGTCAGCTTGCTGGATTCCAGTTTTTTGGATGGCTTCAAAGATTTGGAAGATGGCAAAAATCCTTTTGGTTCACCAAACTTTATGTTAAGTATGAAGAAAATGTCCCCTTCTCTTATGTGTAGTCCCAGTGCATCTCAGTTTGACAATCTGTTTTCAGGATTGACTCCAATAAAAGGAGATTTGAACTCTAGTAACAATGAGAATTTATCCAGAATATTAAGTGAATTTCCCTTAGATGGAATTGAATCTGAAGATGAAATGTTAACTAATAATCTTTCAAATATGAATTGGAGTGCAATATGTCAGAATATCAACTCAACACCAAGTGGAAAGAATTAGATGTAGTGTCGTAAGGTGTTTGACTGTTTGTGTTAATATGTGGCAAGTTTATCAATATGTAGATTAAGTGTGAATGTGTTCAGTGGCATTATTGCCTTAAGTGTGTAGTTGATTCTAAAGCCATGTACTGTCATATCTGAAAATGTAAAATTGCTCAATTGTTTAATACCAAATACTGCTTTTTGTTTCATCTTGCTTGCAAGGAAAATTTTCCCCCTAATGCATAGTAAGCAAAAAAAACCTATGAACTTGATTCAAATGTTGTGCATTATTATCTTATTGCTGGGCAGTGAAGTAAAATCATAGGCACTTGGAGGTCAAGGAACCGACCATCCCACCCAGCCACTCCTTTTCCCAATTTTTTTTCTTGACACCCTTTTTTCATACATAAAATGAGAAATCATAGAGACAAAGGGGTTACTTTATTGATGACATGCATATTAGAATACATGAACGTGATGAATAGGAAAAGTATCAATCCCAGATTTAATAAGAAAAAATATTGGAAAGGGGGGGGGGGGTTAAACCAAGGGCCTGTGAGTAAAGTAGTAATTTAAAATGATGTATAAATGTACCTGCTAAAATCTACTTGATGTCAATATTGTCATTTAATTTGGTTTCTATGCCCAATCATATGTTGTTTTGTTTGTAATCCAAGAAAATTGAATATTTTTTCATTACTTTTAATGGTAACAATTTACCTGTATATCATATAGGTAAGATATAAGTACAGTAATCCTAGTTAAAGTTTATTAAGCATTTGTTGCCATTATGTAGGTGTTCAATTTTATTTCCACTACTTTCTATAGATTTAAACTTAAATATCACTTGTGTTTTGGGGTATAATAGTTAAGCAGATAATTGGGTAGTTGAAAAAAATGATTCCAATAATACCACAGTGAGTGATTTTGCATATTATATATGTAAAAATCATTATATATGTTCAGGTCCCTAAAAGAAATATGTTCAGGTGTACATGTAAATATAAATTTCAATATGTAATAGGTTTAAAATGAAATATAAAATCTTTACTTGAGCATAAATATGGAATATGCATGGCATTAAAGTAATACTTGATATCACGATTACTTAACTTAATGGAACTCTTTTGCAGTGAAGTTAGGAAACGCCTGCTAGCTGGGGGCAATTTGCTGTTGCATACAACGCGAGATTGAGCATTGTGGATTTTTAAAGGGCAGATTTAAAAAAAAAAAAAAAAAAAAAAAAAAAAAAGTCCTGGTGAAATATCTTGTGGAACATTCGCTGAACCATGCTAATAAAACTTAAGAGAAGCTAGTCCTCTTGTTTTACATTTTTATTGAAACTTTTCACTAGGCCAACTCTTCTAATTAAATTCAACTATTTTTTTTCTGATAATCTTTACTTTTGGAAGCTGATTAAAAAAAAAACTCTAAACATTCCAAATTAGACAACCTACTATTTAAAGTTCAATTCAAACTTTGCAATACATTGTACTTTAGGCATACTAATTGTTCGAATCATTCATTAGCATAAGCAATGTTATGCCCCGGAAATCTCGTGAGATTTAGAGTTTCCCTGACTTTGCTGCAAAAGAGTGACATTAAGTTAGATAACTGTGACGTGATCGCGATACTAAGTAATACTATTCTGGATATAATTCACTATGTTTTTTTAGCTCACTTGAGCTGAAAGCTCAAGTGAGCTTTTCTGATCACCCAGTCTAGCTGTCTGTGTGTCACTTTTCACATTTTTGACTTCTTTTAGAGAACCACTGAGCCAATTTGAACCAAAGTTGGTATAAAGCAACCTTGGGTGAAACGGAATATTATATACAGTTATGGAATGGGTATGAGGGAAATGGCAAATTTATTGTTCCTCGAGGGAGGAAACTATCTCCCAAGGAAGGAATCAAAGTTGTGCAATGGAACAAAAGTACATGTATATAGAAAAACAATCTTTTAAAAATCTTCTTCTCAAGAACCACTGGATCAGAAAAGTTGAAACTAAAGTGAAAGCTTCCAGACATATTGTAGGTTCTAAATTGTTCAAATCATGGCCCCTGAGGTAGGATGAAGCCACAATTGGGAATCAGTTTTTTAAATTGGAATCAATAGGAATGTAAGATTCTTAATTGTTCAAATCATGGCCCCTGGGGATAGGATGGGGATCAAAGTTTTACAATTGACTATATAAGAAAAAATTTCATGAATCCGCACAAGAACCACAATAGAACAATTAATTTGAAAACATTTCCAAGTTGTGTGGATTCAATTTTTTTTTTCATATTATATATGCTGGGTTAGAGTTGGCCTTTGAATTTAATTTTACAGAATGTATGTACACAGGAAAAGAATTTTTTTCACCAGATCACCAAAGCCATGTTAATGATATTGATATTGACGCATCCCCATGTGTGGATTCAGAGACTCCTTAAAGTTAGGATTGGGTCATAATATGGGGTATAGCAGAGCTAAAGTAAGCATCATGGCCCATGGGCCTTTTGTATTGATTTATGATTTTTCTGTCCTAAATGTATAGGATGTCTTATCATATTTAAAATATATATCAAACTTGAAAACATTTATAGTCTGTATAAAATATTCCTTGAAACTCTAAGAACTTTAGCCATATCATTGTACATGTGCTTTTAATTTATAAGTTTTCCTGTTTTGAAAAAAAAAATGTTTATACAGTAAACTTGTCAGATCCGGACACCAAAGGTTCCAAAGAAATTTTACAACATTCTGTGTTAGATAAAAATTTAAACAACTGAATTTACGAACAGGGGCTAACAGTTTCCATCATTTTGGAATACACAACATAGGAATTAGATAAGTTTTACTGTACTGAGTAAACGAGTGTTAGAGAAGATAGATTTTGTCTGAAATGATTGTGTTGTTTTGTGACGGAGTGAATTGTTGATGACTGATTTGTTTGTTATCTTACTGTGTACATGTTAGAGATAAGAAACAGTGATAAATGAAACAAAACAAAAAAAAGTGTGAAATAAACATGTGATCAGCATTGTCGACTCTCTTTTAAATATGCATTAGACCTTTGTTTGAAGTACTTATTTAGAAGAACAGTCACATTGAGTCAGGTGAGCATTGTGACTAATAGGCCTCTTGTTTGTAGTACCATATATAATTGAGTTTACAAAAATAAACGGGGGAAGTTGTTGCTCCATGGCAAAGACTATTTCCAGAGAAGGAATACTGCAAAGTCATCTTCCCAATTTTTAGTGAACCTAAGCAAAGGATGTAATAATTGACATATAGGAAAGAACAATTGCTCGGAAAAAGACATTTAAAAATCATTGGTCATTAGTTATTTTCTACAATAAATATATCTTTTTATGTTTCTTTGCATTTTGAACTTTAAAAAAAATATTTTTTGCAATTTTAAAATTGACCTTCAAAAATGGCTTAAACAATTTTCCTCTCTAAATCTCCGATTTTTGCATGGATTTTGGCCTAGAAGTCCTTGAGGGAAGGCCTGTCCCTAAATAAAAGTATGACTTATTTTGATAGGTTGTCATCTAAGGAATCATTTCAAATAGGATTTCTTTTAGGGGCACATCTGCTACATGTATATAACCTTAAGGTCATTGACCGGAAAGTAGTCTTTTGCTGTCTCCATAAATCAACGAGCTTGTCGGAGATTTACGTCAGTAGTCAAAAAATCAATTTAATTCATATCAAATAATTCAATTCCTGATAACCCAGCAATTATTTTGCAATAGAACTCTCAGGTGTTTTAGAGGAGGGGTTGTAAACAGATGGACCAGTATTCTCTTTAGAGAAGTGGACAGGCTTTCGCCTACATCCATGGATGTAGGCGAAAGCCTGTCCACTTCTCTAAAGAGAATAATGGACCAGGTGCTGTAATGATAAACAAGAGATGGGTCACAGTGCTCACAAGAGTAATCTTGCCCTTGGTATTCATCGAAAGACAAAATATCTTTCCATGAAATGTTATGACCACAATATTATGAAATGTATGTTGCATTTCCTTTCCTTATAATAAAAATTCAAAATATCCGTTTCAAGTTTATATTCATGTGAAATAATTATTTTTTTTAAAAAGTATCAGAAAAGTTTAAATCAGATTACGCTTTCATGAAAAATAGGACTTTTCAGAAGTTGGATGGATTTGCAGAGTTATGCCCCTTTTCTATAGTAATTCTCATAGCTAATAAATCATTAAAAAATTATGCTTTCCGCTCATTAGATTTTCTTAGATTTTTACTGCAAATATTTTGTACATGCTAGATTTAATTTATGATAAAATAATTTGTGGTTGACGTTTGGTCCACATTTTCGTTAAATTTCTGGACTAATCATTTGTACATACTTAGTATATGGTACTTGAATTTTCATTTTTGATAATTAATGAGAAAAATTCCAGATGAAACGTAAAACCGGGCACCCTTCAATTCGAAAAGCTTTGTGCAGCATTTGGCTCGATCTGCAGATGAACTAAAAAGTGAAATAGTTTCCTCAGAGATTTTCATCGGACTATTTTAATCTTTAATTCAAGGCGATGTTTCAATATGATAAAGGGAAAAGTGTGGATTGATGTTTATTCAATAAACAAACAATCATCTCCAATGATCTCAATCTAGCTCTTTACCTTGTCTATTAAACTGCTTTTTCCTCAAACTTTGCCTTGTTTCCTTTTTTATCCCCAGGGATCTAGGTGCAAGGGTTTCACTTTCGTTTGCCACAATGGATTTCCATCTTTTACTCATACTTTATGTAATAAAGTTATAATCTATCTAGGAAGGAGGTTTTTCCCCTGTCTTTGTCATTCTGATTGTTTGTCTTCAAGATTTTTTTTTTAAATTGTGAGTAGATTTTAATGAAGAGGATTTATCATCTGCCATCTTCGCAAGCCATGGGTTTTGTGTCCATTCTATTTCCACAAACGTTTGTGGAAATAGAATGAACACAAAACCCATGGCTTGCGACGATGTGGAAATAGAATGGACACAAAACCCGTGGCTTGCGACGATGATCATATGCCTAAATGCATATCTGAGTACATATTTTGTCTGCAAGATGTCCAAACGAAAGAAAATTTTAAGGTGCATTGCATTTTCAAATGTCCAACTTGGTCCAGATTGGGCCCAAAACTCACCCTGCATGGGGCCACAATTTTAGCATGTTCATAATAAGCATGAAGGGATAATATTAATTATTGAAATCTACATTAATTGGTTTGGCTACATCCCTCAAACCCAGACATGGGGAGACAACGAATTACAGTAGAGTCTTTCAGAAAAGCTAAATACTCCAGGAGTATATTAAAATGAACGGAGCACAATTATTCTCTTTAGAGAAGTGGACAGGCTTTCGCCTACATCCTGTCCACTTCTCTAAAGAGAATAGGAGCACAATGTGAATAGGGAGCATCCAAAGTGGCTGCGTTCAAGAGTCGCGGTTACTGCTAATGTCATAAAATCCATTATTAAGGTTCATCGATACTAATCTGATTAGAAAGATTACATTTACTGGTGTAAATTACTATTGTTCCCATATGAAATTGTCAAATTTACAGGCCATTTCTGTCAAATTTTAGCCCCACAAAGGTATACTGAAATTATGTGCATCTTAATTATAAATTACAGTATTTTTGGAAAATATCAGCAGCGTTGAAGAATGATGTTGGATCTTAAGTGATATAATGTAGCAAGTATGACTTTGCATCTAAGAATAATTTTATAACTAGATCGTTCCAAAAGTTAGTAACATCCGCACGCAAGTGTTTGCATCTAAATATATTCTCTTAGTATATGGGCCATCACAGTTATTCTAAAATTTTGGCCCCTAGCTGATTGTTATCAACCCTGGTATCAAGGATGAAAATGCACATCTATACAGAACACCACCGGTCATATTCTAAAAGATGATTTGACTACTGACGGACCGGGACAACTACAATATACCTGAACTTTTTAGGAAGTGCGGGTATATCATTAACTGAATTATGCACTTGGAAAAAAATGATAGCGATTGTCTGCATTGCTGTTTGTATTTTTTATAATTCAGTTTCCAGGAAAGCAGTCTAAATTGCACCTTAGGAAAAGTACAGATAATTGTTTCGTTATTTATGGAGGTCTTTTTGTAAAAGAAACATATATCTGTCCAATTTACCAAGGTAATTCACTTTTCATGACGAGGTGTTTTCTCTCTGGTTTAATTGCAAAGCTTCCACTCCACATTGCTTTCATTGAATATTGGGGTCATGTAACGTACTGTTATAGCAATTGGTATTGATTTGTAATTTCAAAAAAAATCTATTTGCAAAAGGACTTTAGTGAACTTAAAAACATTTATATAAAATGAAAAAATTCTGAAATTGTTACAACAATCTTCATTATTATAAGTCTTAATTCAACACAATCACTGTTATACTTTGACATAACTATCTCTGTAAAAGTTCGTTTTTCTTAAAGAAATTTTGTGATTCTTATGAAATTACTACAGACAGTGAGTACATTTCACTCTAAAATCAAAATAAGTATAAGATAAATTCAAATCAACATTCTCTCTCTCTCTTTTTCTCTCTCTGGCAGTTCATGAAAGGCGTGTTAGAACTCATCTCACTAAAGAGACTAAAGAGAAAAAAGACTCAACTTGAATGGATATTGATCATTTTCAATACTTGTAAAGAGAATTATTTTTGAGATGAATTAAGCAGTGTTTTCGACCTTAAAAAAACTAATTTTTGTGAGGAATACAAATCTTATCGAACACAAATCTTTTGGCAACGACGGTTGTAAAACTATACAATTTGATTATTGTTTGTTTCTGTTTTGAAGTATCTACTTTATGTATTAACATTTCCATTACCCTAGAAATTTTTTGGGGGAAAAAGTTCTATACTGTCGTAATAAATGCTACAGGATTACAAAATAATGTCTAATCAAACAAACTGCAATTCAATTATCGAATTGAAATATAGACGGCTTAGAATAAAATTTAGGCATGCTTTTAGTAAAACAAACTTAGAGCAGTATAGGCCAAAAGGTAAATGCTATTTCTGTTTTGGGTGATTAGAATTTTATAGACCATCAAAATGAATCTGTGAAAAAACAAACAAGTGGCCCAGTAAGGAGACTATTTTGAATTTGAAGTCTTTTAAAAATTCCAAGTCTTGAGGTGCTGTCCTTGTTCAATACAGGCACATAATGTCGACAAGGCCGGGGAGGGGGGGGGGGCTGCCCCCCTCCCCCAACTTTTTTCAAACATTACTTTTTACTATTGAAAATGTTTTGCCCCCCCCCCCTCCTTTTTTGTTGCAGCATAGTCATATCAGGCAACATGGCGACGTATGAATAAAATATATCTTTAATTTCATAAATAGTCTTTAATTTCTTAATCTATAACTTGGCGCTCAAAAAGTTCAAAACCTTCCCTTACTTCTTTTTACGGCATCTGGGTCAGGTAACCTGTAGTTGCTATCACTGGTTGTCTTTCATTGTTCGTTTTCATCGACATTTGTCAGTCGTCTTTTAACTAATTTTGAATATTTTCATATTCTCTACTGGGCCAATTTCAATCAAAATTAACGTATACTTCTATGTGTAAAGGGCTTACAAAAATATGAATTTCACGAACCGTCCCCAAAGACCTCTGAAGAAGGACTCAAATTGCAACCCCTCCAAAAATGTCATTTCTAATTTTTTTTTCTCTCTCTCTGCTAGGAGATATAGAAACTTCATAGTCTTCAAAGAAAAACGAAGAAAATGTAATAAACAGAAAATTAAATGTGTTGAATATGGTGGAATTCTGGGTGATGTAGCTGAAATTGAATTTATTTCAGGTCTTTGCCAGGATTTTTTTTTATATTCACACTCGTGCCTCTCACTCGTGAAAATATCAAAACTCTTGAAATAGATTAGAAAACATTTTATATCCTCTATGTACTCACAGAGGTTAAACTTCTAACAACAAAGGTCATTATCGGATTCTACAGCAGATCTATTGATATTTTAATTGATAACCATTCCTTTGGATGTTTGGAGCGGCAAAGGATGAATAGTCTGAAAGACGTAACAATGCATCAAACAAGACTAAATAATTACATTCATTTACCCAGTAATATCAGGACCCACAAAGAGAGCTTCAAAGACCAGCACCTCTATTCGAGGAAACAAACAAAAGGTCTCTATCAAAAGCGCATAAAACTGTGAAGTAAACACTTTTGTAATTAAAACCGATGAATAATTTCCAATTTTCAAAAGATATAATCACTGTGTATTAATGTGCAACATTTTGATAATGACATCTGATCTTGATACCAATACCATATTTTCACAGATAAATTTTGATTTTAGTGCAAACAGTGGTCAATAAAATGGTGAGCTAAGTTGAACAATAGAAAGAACCATACCCATGTAGAAATTCGAAAATATACGATTATCAATTGTAACAAAGTTTATATACATGTACATGTAATTATTGTAATAAATATATACTGATACTTTAAAGAACTTTTAACTTTAAAAAAAAAATCTCATATTAAGCAAACAAAATGCATAGTCATGATGAGCAAGGGTGTCTCTTCCCAAATTGTGAATTTCACAGTCTCTGGGTCAGGTGTCAGGGTGGGGCTCTATTGGTTACCGGTATATGATGAAAATGCATTATTTCTTTGAAAATCTTCTCTGCTCCTGGGTATTAAGCAAACAAACTAAGTGTATAGTTATGATGAGCATGGTTGCCTTTTTCCAAAAAATGTAAATTTTATGACCCCAGGTTTAGGGAATTTTGGAGTAAGGGCAGGGCTCTTTGGATTATATTGTGAACATACATAATTTCTTTGAAAATCTTCTTTTCTGCTCCTGGGTATTAAGCAAACGTACTAAGTACATGGTTATGACGAGCAAGGGTGCCTCTTCCAGAATTGTGATTTTATCGGGCCCTGGGTCAGTAGTTGTGCTGTTAGAGCATATCTCTATTAATTTTATAGTGAAAATGCATTTTTTCTTTGAAAATCTTCTCTGCTCCTGGGTATTAAGCAGACATATAAAGTGCATGGTTATGATGAGCAAAGGTGCCTCTTTCAAATTTGCCCTTGGATAAGGGTTTCAGATGTTATTGTTGGGCTCTATTAATCTTATTGTGAAAATGCTTGGTTTTCTCTGAAAATCTTCTTCTCTGCTCCTGGGTATTAATTAAGCAGACATATAAAGTGCATGGTTATAATGACTAAGGATGCCTCTTCCAAAATTGACCCGGGGTCAAGGTTTCCGATGTTAGGGTAGGGCTCTATTGATCTTAGAGTGAAAATGCAATATTTCTTTGAAAATAGTCTTCTCCGCTCCTGGGTATTAAGCAAATAAGAGTTTTGGTCCTGGGCAGGGCTCTATTGATCTTGTAAGGAAATCCACTGAGAGAAGTTACTCCCCTTTGCTATTTATCTATGACAATTAATCACTGTAAATAATATAATCTATAGGTCAGTTGAATAAAAAAAAAATAATGCATGAATTTAACATGTACTATACAAAACTAATTTTCATAGTTTTTAATGGTCAGGTAGGTTTGTAAATAATAGATAAATAAAACGAGACAAAATACCTTTGTACATTAAATATTCAAAGACTTAGAGAGGCCAGTGTTAGAGAATTTGATGGGTTTATTATAAGTGCTTAAGCACTTGTAATGTTTAATCTGAATGGTGATAATGACAAATGGGTGTGTATTAGAACTGGCAAGTACAGGCAAGTAAATTGATATACCTTTTGATTTGTTACTGAGAAACTATTTTCTTCATCCCTGATCATCCTATATCTCTTGCTTTTGGATAACATATATTCATCTATCAGTTTATTTTATTGTATACTTCATTAGATTCTTTACAGCGTTTTATTATGCTCAGATGACCGTTAAGGCCCTTTGCCAGCCTTTGTTTTCTTTTCTTTTTTCATTGTCGATTTTTTTTTACAACCGTTGCTGGAAAAAATCACACGTACGAGGTCCATTTAAATTTTTTAGTCAGCAGTCAAATAATATGACATAGCCTGTGTATGTTCCATGTTCTGTGCAGAAGAGCAGATACCACGGATGTCCGTCGCTTTGTATTGTGTTTTTATTAGGGATGTCAACGAGTACCCGGTTAACCGGGTACTCGCTCGAACGTCCGAGTATCGAATACTAAAATCGGTACTCGGTTACTCGGATGTATATTTTTTCATATTTCAAAGTGCATATATTTATTAAAAACTTATTTAAAAAATGTGATTTAAATAGGTAATGTCCAGGTCTATACAGTAATTACCGTCAACTATACTAGTTAATACCCGTTATCGCCTGTGGCTGTGTTCATGTATATACAGTAATTACCGTGACCAATCACTGGATACACAGCCCCTAATTTTTGGATGGCTTTCATTATTTATTTTCAATGAACATCGTTTAATTATGATCTATTAATTATTCTATGATTATTCAATTACATGTAGCATACGGAAGCGAAATCGGACATACATAGAAATACCGCTATCAATTTACCAGAATGTTCAAACGTGAATAACTGAAGATTAAAAAATGTTAAAAGGCACCTGCATGCGCATAGTCAATTTAGCGTATAGGGTGGAAACAACCATATTTTAAAGGAATCACTCTTTAGTTTGCTGTGTACCAGGGCATCATCGGTAGTTGGAAACGTGGGATAATTTATGCATAACGGGTGGAGTTGTAAATATCGAGAAATTATAACATACTTAACTTTCAGAGTTATCATAAAAAAAAAAACATTTGCAAACGTAAATAATATACGACTCGCGATCACGACTGAGTCCATTCCCAAAGATATTCTCTTTCGCTAGTCTAATCATTACAAAGTTGCGTCCTTCTCTTCCGTTGACCAAATTATCTTCATAATAAGAACTTTAATAAAGCATTTGTAATTATTGGTGTATTAATTGATCATGTCTTTTGTGTTTGTTTGATACATAAATTAAGTACCAAAAAAGGCGTTTTCGTTGGGCTCGATGTTTATGTACATGCATTATAACATGTTATAAACGAAAGAAAACATCGATGTGGTATACAGGTCTCAAAATTTTACATATATACACACTTTTCCGAGTACCCGGGTACTCGATCGGAAAATCGTCCGAGTAACCGATTATCAAATTTTGACCGATTTGACATCCCTAGTTTTTATCTATAATCTGTGACCGATTGTAGACGTAGGAAACATTGCTGGGTTTATGTTAGATCTGTTGTAATTCAGTGAAAGATGCATTCATGATTGTACTTTTTTCTGCTCATACCTGATTACCTGTTTTGTGAACATTCAATGGCAATACATGTAAATGCTTCTCGTGTTCATTTTATTAGTTCACTTTGGGAAAAATGATGAGAAATTATATAGTATACATTTAAATTATGCTCTCGTTCAATAGTAACTTAGCTTTTTTTCCTTTTTAAGGAAAACTCAGCACGATCCTCCATAATTCTTTGTATAAAAGTTGGCACACGTCTTTTGTTGAGTATAACCGACTTTGATATCAAAACTTGCCAAATATAATATGACTCCTTGTCATGTTCGATTTCATATTCCGTTAAAATTACCAAACATATTAATTAATACAAACATTAATATATTTACAACAAACCTTTTTACCGTAAAATAGAATTATTTACATATAACACTTGCTAACGGTATCTATGTAATACTGTATCTGATTTTCAATAACAAAATGTCAATTTCCATAAAAGCCAAATATCATATATAACACAAATTTTAACCACTTTTATTTTATGATATACAGGCATCAATTTAGCGTTACGGTCTATTATGATGCGAGAGATTCAAATGTAAATCAAATAAATTACTTAATCAAATATACAGTGAAGCCTCATTAATCCTGACACAATAATTCAACGCTTCACCTTCAAGATATAAAAATTGACATATATAAAAATCTTAAAAGGGTAGTTTCAACAATCCAGACTCTTATTACTCTGGACGATTGCTTGGGAGCTCAAGCGTCCGTCCGGATAAAGGAGGCTCAACTAAACATGTAACATCAATAAATCTGGGGGGAAAAGATTGTCATATTTTAATACTTTACCTGTCTTAGGAACTCATACGTGGTAATAAGAACATTTTCAAACGAAGGGTAGTGTGTGAATACTAGTAAAATGCATCTTTCAAGATATATATATTGTCCTTTGGATAACTGTTTTCTTTAAGAAATACGGAAACAAAATAGTGATAGAGATAGCCAAAAAAGGTCAGTAGTTAATATTATAACTTTAACCCTTTGCAAAGTTCTAAGCGTCTTTCTTCCAAAAAAGAAATGCTTACGAAGTATTCATATAATAAAATGCTGTACACGAATATAACGTGGACCAAGATATTCATTAATCGTAAAAGCTTGGGTTGATTCTATACCAGAAAACAATAAGCTAAGCACAGTAAAGACGTTATTTGTATAAATAATATTAAGAAATACCTTTCATTGTTTTGAAAACCACCAAAAACATATGTCCCCTCTTCAAAATAAATAAATAAATAAAGAAAGAAAGATTTTTTTTTTAAAAAGTCTTATTTCTTGGACTTTTTTCTCTTGGACTGAGTCTTTCTCAGATATTCAGTTTTTCTATCATGATATCTGAAGAAATTGACGACGCGGGGTGTGTCCATAAGAACTATCCCTAGAATAACAAGGCAGATGACCACGGCACCCACGCCACCCACGCGCTGTGCAGACGGTCTGTCGTCAGGCGCAGAAATCAATCGTCTTTTGTAGGCGTTTGTGTCCTTTACACTGACTTTTAACTCCTGAATCATCGTCTCAATCATCTGCGCTATCTCCTCATCTGTATAGTTTCTGGAACTACATGACTTGTCAGAACAGTAACAGAACGTATCTGTAGTGGATTTAGATGACTGCGTAGTTTGAGTGGAGGCCGTCGATGACGTCATCGTTAAAATTGTTGATAACGGCGTTGTTGACTCTGTGATTAATTCCGTCGGTAAGGTTGATGTTGTTGGTTCAGTTGTTGTAGAATCTCTTGATTTTTCCGCTGTTGTTGGTATTTGTGTTGTCTCTGAATCAAACGTTGTTGAGTTCGGTGAGATTTCTGTGCCAAGACAAAATATACTATGCATGAAATATATCGAGATAACGAACGGTATTCAAGCTCAAAAGTCCATAATCAATACAAAATAGGAGCAGAGCAAACACGGACCTCCAAACATCAGAGGTGGGATCAGGTGCCATGGAGGAGTGAGCATCCCCTGCCGACCGGTCACACCCGCCGTGTGCTCCTTGTCATGATCGGGAAATAACGGAAAAATCCGTCGACAATTCAGTGTGTAAATAATGGCCTAACAATTAGTGTGAAAAACGTCAGTCAGCATTTGACTCAATGATAAATTGTATTTGCTGACAAGGTCATTGTATCGACCATAGAATAATAGTTCAACTTTGCATGTTATTTTATTTTACTTTTGATTAAATCTAATCACTTTTGAATTTTTTTTATATATTAGGCCATCTTTAAAATAATGATTGCTTGCCCTCTCCCGACTCGGGGTTAAAAAATTGGGTCGGTAGGTAGATGGGAAAATCTTTTTTCTCAGAAAATTTCAACATATATGTTTACGGAATGGGAAAATTCAAGAATAAAAAGAAAAAAAATATCTTAATTCCTAGAGGTTGAAAAAAGTTTTGAGTCGGGCCATTTTTAGCCAGTCGGTCGGGAGAGGGAAACCAAACAATTTTTTAAAAGTTGGCCTTACTTTTACAATTTTTAGATTCTGTAAAGGTTAAATTGTTTACCAAATTCCCACTCTGCAGGAAGATCTGTCGATGATATATCAATATATCTAGGATAAAATGTTGTTAAAGGCCAGGGATAATTCCCAATAAGTTCCTTTGATACCACAATGCCACGCCCCATTTTCCATTCCTGAACAGTATTATAAGTATCATAGTACCATGAAATCCAGTAATCATCAAATGAATCACAAGCATTCGAACACGCGTAGGAAAATTTAGTGTAGATATTGTCTCCAAATTCGCATTTTGTATTGTTTTTATTTCCAAAGATGAACTCTCTAGTCAGAGTGGGAAGAATATCCAAATCCGATAAAAATATATGGGCGGATCCACATGCTTTTACTCTAAATATCAAAGAGAATCGATTCTCTGCAGTTATTCCATAAGAACTCAATCTGATTCTACTCGAGTTTCCCGGTGTTGTAATGAAAATGCATTCTGCAAAATAAATTTAGTGATACAGTTTCCCTTTCAATACTAAAAAAAAAAAAAATAAATAAAATAAACAACAATTAAAAAAAATTTGCTGGGAAAATTCTACGTAGACATATAAGAGATTTACGGAGTGGTTGTGTTGCTCTGCTAACCTTCTTTCAAGCTAATGTTTTGATTTAAATATATTTTATTGATATATAATCAATTGGATCAGACATTTTTTACAGATAAAAGATTGTCCTCTCCAGTGCAAAGAAAAAAAAAACAAATCCACGTGATGAACAAACAAACAAATGGAATGTACATATATACATTTAAAATGCAACTAGATGAAATCCCGCGCAAGCGCGGGGAATTAAATTTATACCACTAACGACAGGAAATATATTGTAGTATTACTGACAGCCTACAGGCTTATAGCAGGAAGAAATACTTTATTAAAAATCCCGCATGAAGAAGACGTACGTCTTCACCGCCCCCTCCCCCTTAATCCCCCCCCCCTTTCTGTAAAAAGAAAATTGACAATTTCATTAATTGACGTTTATTGTGAAACCTGTTATCCTATGTTATGGATATTTTACTTCAGATGCTCTTATTTCATTTCCGTCAAGGATAAAAGCAGCGAATATGCACATTTTACTGATAAACTTTTTTTTGGGGGGGGGGGGGGTAATTGAGTCTTGGTTCATAAATATGTATGTACCTTATTGATATGTAATAAATGTACTTTACTTTTTTACGTATCAATAAGGTAGATACGTATTTATAAACCAAGACCCAAGTACAGGGTCTGTGTAAAAATTAGCTTTTAATGTCCTATGAATAGACCGAGTACTTGATACAAAAGACTGTATTCAGAAGAAAACTGAAATGTATTGATTAAAACACAAAATTTTACACAGCTTTAATTGTATTTGAACAATGCCTTGGTCATTAATGTTCTCATTTCATGTAAGCAAGTTTATTACGAAGTACAAATTGTACTTCGGGTTCGTTGTCACGATGCTTTCAGTAAGGAATATATACAAATTTTACCGATGAATTTATTAGAAAAACCTTCTACATACATGTAATATATAGTCTTTCGATATATAAATATATTCAAAACTTATAGTGTTGTCAATGATTTACCTTTATTTCAATGGCCATTCATACAAAAGCTTTTTTTTTAAATGATCGCCTCTTTTTTTTTCTTTTTAACATCGGGCTCGATCCTATATGATGTTCTAGAAGCTTCCATCAATATTAAGATCGGTGAATGATGAAATTAATTTGCACATTTCCCTTTTTAATCGGTTATCATAACTTATTTCTTTTATATCATTTAAATCAAGTTTTGATTGAATAATTCAGTGATGACGTTTTATGAAATAAATAAATGATTGCTTGTTGTCAGTTTCATTAAAAATTGCCAGTATCTTAGATCCGCCAACCGGAAACGCCACCGTACTCATGTTTTTGCTATTTCATGGCTGTTTATAGAAAATAAAAGTAAACTTTTAATTTAATGTACGATACTTACTATGCGAGTGAAATCGAAATATAGTTTACGGACATCATCTTGTATACAGTGTATTGTAAGAGGAGTAAGTAAGAACTCTGTTGCACCCGTTTCGGAGTTTATTTGCAAAATTTATTAATTTATAAGTATAGAAGGGATGAAAGGAAATCAAGGAAACAAAGAGAGAGTGCAGAGAAAAGGGAGAGGGTTGTAGAGTGGAATACCGATATAGGAATGGTTACACTGAATGTGAGGCATCCCCCTCCAAAAAAGAAATTCAGTTCTACATATTTAATAGTTTGAAAAAGATCCCAATTGTGCCCTACTGTTGGAAGGGATAGGAAAGAAAATTTTTGAATATATTTACATTTCGCTTGAAAATGGCTCTGTAATTTTGGAAAAATGACTTGAAAAATCAAAAAAGCTTTCTTGAGCTCCCTCCTCACTAGTTTAGAATCATAATATACTGCATGTGTACTTAAAAAAGCGGGCTTCATATTTTAGCGGCTTTGGCGTGGACAACGATGCGCTAATTCATGAATACCGCCAAGAAATCATTTATTAAATCAATATACGGCGCGTTAGTGTGTAGCGCAAATTCATGAATTAAACTCTACTAATTCAACTCAATACCCAGTGATTGCGCTAAATTTTAAATACGCCAATTTATGTACACGTACAGTATCCTTTAGGAACTAGAACAGCGACAATTTAAGAGGCTGTGTGAGGCTATAATGGATAAATTACACGTACTGGTCGATGGTTTATGTCCCCAATTTTGTGTTTATTTTACACTTTTACATATGCTCATTACTGGAATTTCATTTTTCGTGTGGTGAATTTTTAAAAATTTTATAGAATTTTTGTTTTGTCTCTTTATGAAAATGTAAACCCAGAATATATCAGATTATAAACACATAGCAGCGGCTTGATGCATTAATAAACATACCCATATTTCCGTTTCTCGTCTGAATAGAAACGACACTTCAGTTGTTTGAATGGATTCATCTTAATTTTATATGACCGCTAACATGAACAGGAAGGCAAGAGCTTTTTAAGTTATCACCAGGAGCGCTTTGCAGTTTTGGACGTAGGAGTGAGGAAACATATCCCCGTGCTCCATTTTCATGTGATGCAAACTTTTACTATATAACAGCTATTACCAGGATTACTTTTGCAGCCATATTTTCCAACAAAAGAATTTACGACTTAGACCAAAAACTTCAGTTGATTGTAATATTTTGTAAAATTAATGATTCTGTTCAAAATTGCTAGCTTAAAAGTATCTTCCTACAAACCTTTTAAAAAGATTAAACCATTTTCTATTAAATATAAATTAGAAAGCTATTAGCAGAATTAAATTTTGGTCTTAGTCGTAAGTTCTTTTGTAAAACGGGCCCCTGATTTATATGTCTTAAAATCGTGATTATAAAGTCTTTCCAAGACACTCTACTTGATAAATTTAGTAAAATAAAAAAAAAAATATACTTTTAAGACCTCCGCCCACCTCCACCCCAAAAATTGAAACGTATATTTGAGATCAAATAATTGTTGAAAGTCAACAAAAAAAGCTACTGAGAATGACTTTAATTTTTTCAAATAGTTTGATTGTTCGGGTTTTTTTTCTTCATTAAAAAAGTATTCATACATACCAGCCATTTCAAATAAAACTGTTATCCAAAATAATCCAAACATGATCTTAGCTTAAATGATCAAAACCTGTTGTTTTCGGTGGATTTAAAACATCGTGCAATCACATCATTAACGAATTCGTGTCCCAAGATGATGTCTCAATGCACCCAGAGTATATTCTATTTGTCGATTCTGTGTCCGTTCGATAATTCAATTCCTTCTACCGCTAAACACGAGATGGCAATATGTCATTATACTGTTTTTACTTCAAACAGTCTAATGGAAGAACGTTAAGGAAATTAAACTCTCTTTAATTAGTAGCACTCTACACTCTATAAAACACACTAACAAAAGCAGGATTTCTTTGTATGGAAATTCTCATGAATGCAACATCGCCGTACGTTTTTATATCATGATCATCCGTTTGAAGTCAAAAGGCATTTAGGTAAATTGCTGTGCATCATAACCGTAAAAACACTTACTGTTCCATCATTGCCTGAATCTATGATTTATACTGGGGTTGTTTTCTACTTATTTGTCCGGGACGCCATATTACATCAAAGAGTTTTTTCACTTACATCGATTTGTTTTTTGTGAATCCTGTAATGCGCAATTATGTGAAAAGGTGAATACTTTTCAGCACAAATCAGTGTAAGTAACTAACCTACGCAATCCAAGCCGTTTATCTTTTGATACCTCTTTTAACATCCCCATCTGAAACTAAATTAGTCTTTAAACAAATCATTAAGTCTGAATGTTGAATATTTATAATGATTGCACCAGCTATTTTTCTTTCAAAGAAATTAATCATAAAGCCACCCCTTAATATTGTATAAAACTTCAAACAAAAAAAAAAATACGCGTAGTAACTATTTTTAAGTGATAATGAGTTGTTTCACTTAACTTTATTTAATAACATAGCTTTTAATATATATATATATATATATATATATATATATATATATATATATATATATATATATATATATATATATATATATATATATATATATATATTTATAGAAATACAAAGGCTAGCAGAATCCTGTTCACAAAAGCTTTCAATGGTCGAGAGTTCAACCCCGGGCTGGGGCGGAAGTGGGTATCCTTGTAAAAAGTGAATTTCTTTGTGCTTTCTATATTAATATTTCTTCACTTAGGGCAGTTATGTTAGTTTAAGAGTTGTTGTAAAATGTGCTTTATAAATAAAAATTAATTTCACTACAACGTGTATTGGTAACGATCCTCTAATAAAACTAATGTCCAAATAACTGTATCTCACTTCCATTCTCAATGACCGTGTAGTGTAGGGCAGCGCCGCGAGAATTCCATCGGCATCGAAAGCAAGTTTTTGACTTGCCTAGATAGCCGAGCGGTCTAGCGCGCTGTCCCTGTACTGCTAGGAGACAGGTTCCGTTGGTCGAGAGTTCAACCCCGGGCTGGGGCGGAAGTGGGTATCCTTGTAAAAAGTGAATTTCTTTGTGCTTTCTATATATATAGATAGATAGATATGTGTGTGTGTGTATTTAAAAATTTATTTTTTGTTTTTGGGTGACATTCTTCGTTATTGCCGATGATGTGTACAATATCTATTTCACCAACTAACAACGTATCTCGGTACACTGAGGCGATTGGCCTTAGATACCATTGAAAGCTTTTGTGAACAGGATTCTGCTAGCCTTTGTATTTCTATAGATGCAAAAGTTCAATTAAAAAAATCAAAGATAATCAAAGACTCGCCGAAAGTTATCTATAAATAAGGCAAATCTCACATCATTTTTTTTCTATAGCTAGTGTGCATCCCGAAATCAATATCAATGCAAAGTGCTTATAGTTACTTGGATATAGACCCGCTCCAAAAACCTGTTCGCTCATCTTAAAAACATCCCGAGTTGCATCATTCATGCAAGTTTAAGCATAGTTACAGAGCTACTCCAAAAACATTACCCTAGTCACTCATCTGGAAAATGTAGACAGTAGGTAGTGTACATCCGTAGACGCATTATCTATGCAAGTTTGGTCCATGTAGGGCTTATATAGTTACTTTGGAATGGATCTGCTCCTAAAACTTAAACCTCTGTCTCACCTGGAAAATGTACGTCAGATCCAACACCCGAGGCAAGTCTGGTAGTGTCCATCCCTATAGATGCACCGTCCATGCAAGTTTGGCTCAGGTAGGCTTATAGCACAGGAGTTCGCATACCTATCAATTTTACCGAAGTTTTCAGTAAATATAAAAAATACGTAATACCTAATTTTACCGAAGTTTTCAGTAAATATAAAAAAATACGTAATACCTATAGGTATTACGTATTTTTTATATTTACTGAAAACTTCGGTAAAATTGATCCGAAGTTTTCAGTAAATATAAAAAATACGTAATACCTATAGGTATTACGTATTTTTTATATTTACTGAAAACTTCGGTAAAATTGATAGGTATGCGAACTCCTGTGCTTATAGTTACTTGGGGATGGACTTGTTCCTAAAACTTTAACAGGGACTTTAACGGGGTATAGCATTAGTCCATCTCGACTTCGTCGAGGTGAGCTAATTAAATATCATAATGTTTTTTTTTTTTAATTTTAAGTTGAAGCAAACGAACAATGTGATATTTTTTGAAATTTTCAAAAGATGATTCAGCTTGTAAAAGCTGTGCCTATTTTAATGAGGATGATTTTTTCAATTGTTCACCATGTTATAACCAAAGACAAGCCCTGTCATTTTCTTTTCATTTTTCAAAATCGCACATATATCTGAAGTAGATGGTAGCATCCTTTTTCACTTTTTTTTGTTTGGATTGTATGTAATTTGATTTCTTATTTGTTCATTCTTTTTGGAGGGGTTCTTTTTATGTTTTTTTATTATTATTGGACTTGACTAGGCATTTTTGCTTCTGTCCAATCCCTTTCATCCTGAAATAGATATTGTTTAAATTAAATTAAATAAAAAATCAAAATTATTTAAATTAGACATAGTACACACTATAACTAAATACTTCATCTTGAAACTGAGCCCCTGTGTTTCTAAATACTTTTTTTCGCGCTTAAATTCTGTATACATCCACATCAGTGTCCACTGGTTTTCGGCACTTAAGAATTTTTTCGGAAAAGTATTGTTCAAACTTCGAAAAAAACAAACAAACAAAAAAAAAACAACAAAGACTGAAATATCTTCTGAATTATTCTATACTATTTATTTTAAATATCAAACATCAATTTCGCGAAAATAAGGTGTCGCAAAAATTTAGTGACCTACAGTATTGATTTGTGGAAATTTAGAACTAGACCGAATCTTTTTTTAAAAAAAAAAGCTTCTTCGTTATTTACCCCTGGGCTATTATTTAAAAAAGTGTTTGCAACTAGGTCTAGGTACCACTTAATTAACCTAAGCAAACCTAACCTAAGCGTTATCTTAACTAAGTCAACTTATGTTCACAAAAGAACCATAGCGCATTTGATAGGCATTTTCGCCTACTCTAGTACTGATTTCTTACATTCTTTAAAGCTGAAGGCAGAGATCTATGTTTGTCCACCATATTATTCTGCATTTTCCGTTAGCTGTACGGCCCCTATATAAGCCGTTCACTTGGTATCAGTTCGGTGTAATCAGTTTTAACCGGTATGGACGGACGTATTCTACATAGCTTTTGTAAAACTCTCGTAGCTACAAAAGTAACTGTGTGCTTCTTTCACGGCAGAAGAGAATTTTACCAAAGAAACTTACATTAATTGCACAGGTCATTGCAGTGCAAACAAACACAAATACAAGTAAACTGCAATAAAATGTTAACAAAGATGATGTAAGATAACCAACACGTGTCGTCCATTACATGCAGGTACCCTTGACAAGAAAGCGGCCAGGTGTAATGAATGCGAAAGGTATATACCCCAGTGCTGCTATCGGAGATAGGAAACTAATATGGCGTATGCTTATTTACGAGTCGTGTTCAGCTTTAACCTAAATTTTGTCATACAATCTTAGTTTTTACATATGTAAGTAAACTCAGATTACACAATAATGATATTTTAAATCTATATAGTACTTTAAATGAGTAGAGTAACGAACAAGTAAATGATTGTTACATGGCATACTTGCAGCTATGAAAATATAACTCTCGTCTACAAAAGCTATTACAAAGGTAGATCTTGAAATCATTTACTCTGGAAGGGGAAGTATGTAAAGTCAGCCAAAGTATATTTCCGGCTGCTAAGTGCAAGTGAACTCCAGATTTTATTGATGCAGTTATCAAAAGAATTTTTTATCCAATCAGAATCAATTATTTTATATAAATTAAATGATTTCTTAATTGAAGTGGTATATCTATGAATAGAAACAGGTGATTTCCTTTTAAATTCTTGAGCTGCGGACTAAGACGAAAAAGGGAATACCAAATTTTACAGATAAGGCGAAATGGGAACAAAACGTTTTACAGTTAAGGCGAAATGGGTTTGTTCCCATTTTGCCTTAACTGAAAATTTGGTACTGAATTCCCAATTCGCCTCAGTAAGCTCTGAGGTGAATTAAGGCGAAATGGGAACTTGTACAAACATCTAATCGTAAGTCTCGACATTGTTTGTATAGCAGTATTATCAGGAACCTGTATATTTTTATGAATTTTAAATTAAGAACGAGTAATTTAATTTGTGAAACTGCTGTGGAGATAGAAAGACATATAAAGTTTTATCTTAAATATTATCTAATATGATATGCTAACATATTGATAAACAATGTAAAAACATTTTGCAATAAAAGTCAATGGAAAGAGTGTATTGATAAAGAGAACATTGATAGACTGCATTATCACAGAAAATATATCATAAGCATTTAAGTTTTCACAGCACTGAAAATATGTTAAGCACAATCAAAATCTTAAACTGAAGAAGAGTCTTAAGATATTTATCATCATTTCGATCCTGTGATAACATTTACACATTAAACAATAATATTGAAATATTCACTTTTTTCCCTTAATAATTCGTTTTAAATCCAAAATATATCTTTTTAAACTGTGTTATTAACTAATCATGATAAAAACATCTTGTAAATTTACAAGTTTTGTTTTTACAGTAGTATTGTTAAGAAATCCCCATCTGTCCTTTAAGTACTACCTTTTTCAACTTTTCTTTCCTGTATTTCACATTTAAGCGAATAGGAACATACCTACACATGGTAAGGCTTGCCTTATATGTCATAAAAACTTAAGTTCTAGTCTTACCGTGTGTGTACCCTTACTACA